GTTCTTCAGTAGACAACACGTGTTAACACAATGTGTTTCTTCAAATGTGCCAGCAGAATTTTTATAAAGATACACGTATCAGAGAAAAGATTTGTCTTTAGAAGCAGAGAGAAGCTAGCAGAGAACCTTAATCAGAACTGTAGTTGAAAGTGTAGTTGAAGGTGTGAACATTACTATTCATCACACTTCTGTCACATTTTTAAACCTAGAATTAATCACATTTCATTTTTGGGTAAACCTTTTTTTGCAATTTGTATGTTTGGAGGAAAACCATGCTACTATTCTTTCTCATTGAGTCTCTGTTAGAGGTTTTTGTAAAGCGTATGGGGTTTGATTAAAAAAACCAGGGGATGTATGCAAGTTTGTTGCCAATATAAAGCAGCAATTAGAAGTCTCACTTCATCAGTATAATGGTAACAATTTTTCAAATACAGTGACATTTCTTTTTTTCAGGCGTGTCATTGCTCAGAGTGGAATTGCAGTCATAGATTGCTCATGGGCCAAATTAGAAGAAACTCCCTTTAACAGAATGAGGGGGAGTCATCCGCGGTTGCTGCCTTACTTGGTGGCTGCAAATCCTGTAAACTACGGTCGGCCATGCAAGCTGTCCTGTGTGGAAGCTTTTGCTGCAGCATTTTGCATTGTTGGTAGGCTCAATTGTCTGATGGCAAGTATGGTGCTAGCAATTGCTACATTCTTAATCAAACAGAAGAGATGGTCTGCAACAAAACAAACTGTAATGTTGTCATATGGGTCGTCACTTTCTTGACTTTGGGATCAGATTATCTAGCTTTCCTCCAGATGCGTGTTACCAGTTGCACTGAGGTATCCGTGTGGTATTCATGTCAGCTACTGAATGGGACACAAACTGATAATCCTCATTTTATCTGGATGGTGCATAACGTTAGAAAAGCTGTTAAAAAAAAAGAAGACAGAACACAAATGCTTAGGCAAGATTGCCTTAATGAGAGGTAGCAGCTGGCTGTTAATAGGGCGAGGTCTGGGTAAGAACAAAATAAATTGCCCCCTCTTGTGATGTTTTTCAGACTCATCACAGAACTTTGATAAAAGAAATGCTCTACCATACTGCAGACAAATCTTATCTTCTGAAAATACTGTATGGTACAATTGATCTTGTACTGAAGGGCTGTGGGAGATACTGCTTGAATCATTCATTACCTGTACAAAATACTTTTATGTAGCACTTGCTAGAAGGCTATGAACTGCTCTTGGATTCAGTTCCATGTTTCAGGTTAAACTGAAATTTGAAAATATTTGTAGTTTTTCCAGAAGTTTTAATCCCTGAACACTGAAAGAAACACTGGCAAACAGCTTTCTATTGTATTGACATGAATGCACATCCTTAACTAGAAACATGTAAGCCAAGTGAAATCTCACAGTAAAGAAGAAAACTAATAAATTATTTTCTGTTTTAGGATTCCCAGATCTAGCCACCATTCTTCTAAGGAAATTTAGATGGGGTAAGGCATTTCTTGACCTGAACAAAAATCTCTTGGAAAAATATGCAGCCTGTCATTGCCAGGACGACATGCTAATCGTTGAGAAGGACTTCTTAGCCTGTATCCAAGAAAAAAAAGACGAAGAAGTAGGTAAGAGACAAACAGAGAAACACTACACGTGCCCTTTTTCTAACTAGTTTTCTTTACAGTATTTTCCTTAAATCCCATAAAAACATTAGCAAGGTGGAAGGTAGGTGCTTTGCTGATATGTGTTGTTCTATCTTTATACTGTGCTAAGTGTCCCTGTTAGCCCATTTTTTTCAAGTCAAGTAGGGTGGAAATGACTAAAGCAATTTAATGCATAGAGTATTCACAGCTGAACCGTAAAGCAGTTATCCTTATTCAGCTAACCAAAATAGAAACTTAGGAGCAAAAAGAAAATACAATGCTTCCTTGTTTTCTATACAGATGTTAAAAACAGAGTATGAGTAAAAAGACTAGTAATTGAGAAGGAACTATGAGAGAAATATACGCATACAGTCAGACACCAAGTTAGTTACACATAAATCTAAGAAGGACTTTTAATAGACATATTTATGTAGTTCTCAATCAAGATGTTTAAAATCAGATCTATTAAGAGAATTAAAATAATTTATAATAAGTACAAGTAGTTTATTCACAAAGTCTTCCAGTAATTTACTGCAATCCCAGTATTTCAGGCTGTATTCAGCTGAGTGCTTGGTCTCATTCAAGACAGCACAAAGAAAGGCAAATAATCAAGAAGATATGAAAAGGGATTATCCTAATTAACATTTTCCTTTCATGGTGATTAAGCCCTTAAAATAGGCCAGGGCTCATACTGCAAGAAGATGGTCAATAGCGTTCACTTGCTCTAAACTTTGATCTCTTTGCCATGATACTGAATTAAATCATCCTCCTGGTGGAAGCCTAACTAGGTACACTAAACTGAAGACAGCTCTTAAGAGGCAACATGGCTATGCCACTTAAAGCACACTTCCACCTACAATCCTGTGTATTTTCTGGAACTGCAGAACCAAGACTTGTTTGACTTTTCTGACAGTTCTTCCCAGCTACTTCAGCCAAAGTAAGCCCAGCCCTACCCTTACTCAGCAAGAGCTAAATCTGGACAGCTGTAATTCACTTTTCAGTGGACATCAGCTAACTAGACAGCCATTTTAGAACATAATCAGTGTTTTCTTACCCAAAGCCTTAGAAACCTATTATACAATCGGACCACCTCTAAAGAGCTACAGGACCCCTTGCAGGGGGTGAGGGAAAAGAGTGAAAAGCCTAAACTGGGCAGGCAGGACTTGGGTTATTTTCTCATCTCCCCCAGTTTCTCCTCAAACAACTATGGTAAACTTATGAGAGATGTGAACTAGCCTTTCTGTGTCTTCCCCCCTCTGCCATTCATCTATGAAAATGAAGGAAGACCATTAAGAAAATGCTTTTTTCATCTTCTTTTTCCAGATCCATTTGATGTTGACCTAGAAAAAGAATTTTCTAATCCCAACAGGCCAGTCAATTCCTCAGGGTAATGAAATTTAATTTAAACCATAGTTTTACTCACTATAAGTTATTTTGCTTTGATAATCTTGAAAAATGTTTCCAGTCTAGCACCAAGGAAAGAAGACTCTGAGGAGGACAGTGTAAGCAATTCAGATGATGCCACTGAGAGCAGCGAAAGCATTGATGAGAGCAATCCAGAAGACATAAAAATCCCCAGTAATCCCAAAGAGTTGTAACGTCTTGTATAAAGAAATTTTTTTGCGACTACTTGAGTGTGTCTTGTTCACCTGTAACTTGATGCTTAGCAAACCTCAGTCTCTATGCAGGTTTGTGGGTATTTTTAGGCACGAGGTGTTTTTAGGCTCTAGGTTATTAAATTTTTAGGTAAGAATGGAACATTAAATTATTTTGTAAGGAGTTTGAAGCTTAGTTAAAAGTGAAAAAATAACCCAGTATTCTAATTGATGTGTCTGGAAAGTGGTTTATAATAAACTTCATTATTAAACTAACAGTATATTAGGTAAACTTTCTTAACTTCTGGTCTATATTTCAATAGGAGAACATGACTATGCTATTGGGCTGTTCATGGTACCTACCACATAGGGAGTCTCTTGACTTTTTGCAGGCTTGAATCTGCCATATGTATTTCAACTACTTCATCTGTTTAGAATAAACTGAGCTAAGCCTGAAAGGAAAAAAACACTTCTTGGAACTGCTTTAACATTTCAGTATGTCTTTTCAGGAACTTTAATTGTTCATTTTAGTTATTTAGAATCAGTCCTAAACAACAACAGTGTTTTTGGCACTTCATACTCAGAACTGTACTATGAAATTTCACATCACAGGTTCATCAGTGCTATCTCTGTGCATTTTCATCACTCAAAGTGGCACTGTACCAAGTCAGAAATAAACACTGTCTGGCCCTTAAAGCTTTGTGATAGATTCATACCAGCACTAGTATCTCAGGTCACTTTTCCCAACGCCTGCCAGTTTGTATAGTGAAAATGAGCTGTCAGCAGTTGTTTTCTATATATTTAAATAGAATACTCTTTGGAGTTTCAGGCACCCAACTGAAACCTAAACTTTAGTGATCATTCAGTAGAATTGGAGATACCAAGGACAATTTGTAGACTCACCTTCACAACTCAAAGTTCTTCACATCACAGGACTTTCTCCTCTTGTCCCTCTACTATTAGAGGGATTAAATACTAGTGCTACTGGAGCTAGAGCTGGGAGTAACAGCAGCAGTTTGGGTGGTACAAATACTCAATTTCCCTTTTAAAAACAAGAAGGACAAGTAAATTAATTCTATAAGGAGACGTTCCCTTTGGTTTGTTTTTTTCAATAACTTCCCCACCCATATGAAATCTGTCCTAAATGTGCTGCTTCAGCAAGGGTTTCTTAGACAGTGACAAGAAAGCATTTCAACATAACAAAAGACTGAGAACCATGTGAGCACAGCAGCTATTCTAATTTGGGGGAATGCTTTTACATTATTAAGCTGTAGCAATCAAATGGAGACAAGCAAAACAGATCTGGAAACAGAGCTGTATAACTTAGATCATAGAGCACATCCTCTCCATAGAAGCTATATGCATTAATAAATGGAAAGAGGCACAAAATTACTTCTAGCAATAATAAACAAGCGCCATTTGAAAATCCTCAGCATTCCTTGGACAACTTCTATTATTGTTCGTATCAGTCTAAAGCTCACGTTTTTTATATTAACATGGTCACACCGGCATGCTGATCCCATTATGCACAGTAAGCAACTGATCTCTGCTTGAGGAACTGATCAGAATTGACTTGCTGCCGTTACCACACATGGCCCAAGGACGGGCCACATACCTGCTCCAGGTCAGGGACCGGCAAAACAAATGAAAGCAACATCTAAACCAAAGGCAAACGCAACATCACAGGTCTTAAAAACAACTTGCACTGAATTGTGTCCAGAGCCGTTTAAATGGCTGTCTTTTAATAATTTTAATGAAGATAAATGAAACAAAGCCCTTTATATAAACAGTTTATTTACTCTAAACAGCAACACAGACAGAATGCCATATAAACACAAAGAAAGTGATGCAGAATAAGGATGCTGGCTAACTTTGGATCTCAGAGGCTCTTAAGCAATAACAACCTAGTTTCTGAAAGATAGAAAAAACAAATTCAGGGAGGGAAGGGGGTGGAGGGCATGATTTTTTTTCATACAGCCAGCTAGAGGCTAAATATAGTTCTAACATTTTAAAGCATGCCTGCATCAGATAGCAAAGTAACTAGAGATACTAGTGAATTTATAGAAGTATAAAAGTTTATAATTTTACAGCAGTTGAAATACTGACATCAATATTAAAATAAAAGCAAGTTTTACATAACAATCAAAAATACAAAAGACTGAAGGAAGAGACCCTGTATGAAAAAACTGGGGGCAATTCAGCAAATTTAGAACTGTATACAACTGGCGAATATGGAAAATGGCACACATACAACCCCCTCCCCTTATGTGGATATTAATTGTACATAGCAACATTACATTTTGCAAAAGTTTTGTAAACAAGTTCTTGCCAAACCAATCCCTTCCTTTTTAAGATGCTGCGTGACAAATGCTTATGATGGTGCAAACTTCTTGGCTTGTGCTCGAACCCTCTTTTCATATTCCACTCTGTTTTGGCTGAAAAGAGAAAGGGTAATTATAGCTGGAAAAATCAGAGGCTGTATTACAGGGTTAGTTTCATAATGAAGAGAAACAGAAATCATTGCTGAAGGCAAACCTTTTAGATAGCAATCCATGGAACTCTACAATAAATTAAAGACTTTTCTGGACAAGTATGGTACTGTTCAACTAGTTACTTGAATCACCTGTTGTCAAATGATTGCACTGACTTTGTACTGTACCAGTCTATTCAAATGGGTTTGCACCTGCTCTTCTCGAGACCAACTGTACCTCATGTGCAAACATTCCCTTGTTCATCCGAATTTTTCTACTCCCCACTCACATTAAGACCTGAGGTCATTAATAACAAATTCCATACCCTAACAGTACAAATAACGATTCACTAATGGCTGGTCGACTTCATATGGTTTTAAATTATCATCTTTACTGCTTTGGAGAGAAAATGGAAACACTCCTAGGAAACAGGAGAATGACAATGGTGTGGTCATTTCAGCCTTTATATCTACAGATCCTGACTCACAGATTTAGGTTTATCCTAATCTTCAGTTGGGGAAAAAAAGGTAGTTCAACACAGTTAAGTGTAGCATAGTTACTACTGATGAGGGAACTATGTCCAGTCACTAAGCCTCTGACTCAAGATGTAAAAGGGCAAGTTCTTTGTCTTCTGTTCTTGTGCCAATGAAGGAGCACCGTAGTAAAGCATTCATTTACATTCAGTTGTCCATTCTGTATTAGCCATCAGAAGTGTGAGTTGAGCTAAACAAAAATTTGTAACCATTACTCTTCTGCCAGAGATAGTTTAGAGTGCTTAGACTTTGCAAACAGCTTTGCAGTAAACTTACTTTCAGCTACCAAGGCTTGCTGCAGTGAAAGAAAAAAAGGCAGCAAATTATATCCTCAGAACTTGACAGATTGGGGGGAAGAAATGAAACCAGTTGTGGTCACATGCAATGAACAATTGCTAGCAAAGAGACTGAAGACTGTCTCTTCTCATGAAGAGATTTACAAACTTTATTCTACATTTTTTCCTCAAAGTTATATTGCATTGCCACATGAGAACATAGCCTAGCTGTTAAGTCTGGCACCCATCGAATCCACAGAGAAGAATGCCTTCCATAGGAGACACAGAATGCCTACAGCGAAGAGTAGGAAGTAGGCTAGCACCTTAGGAGTGCTAAAGTTACTGAATGACAGTACCAAAGGAATCCTGAGAATACGTATTCTTATTCTGAATGTTTATTCTTGAAAGTTTAACAACTTGACCAAAAGACCTCTATGTACAATGGTGCATCTTCTGCAGTATTTATCAACTATGCCAACATTACAGATGCGTGCACAATCCTGCTCTGTTTAACTTCTACCAGACATTCACTAAGTAGCGAGAGACACTCTCAGACTGCAGAATAATAATAACCCATCTGAAATACTCTGCATGTCCAAGAGACATGAAAAGCATAAACGGGAGACTATACATACTTGAAGTAACAAAAATCTTGTAATATTTTAAGCTAAACAGGTATTTTTTCCCCCTGGAAGCACTTTAAACAGAAACAAGACTAGCCAAGACTGGTTTTGTATATACATGCACGTGGGAGATTATTAAAAAGAATAAACCACAGACTATCTATACATGTATAGAAGTATATTATTGAGGCCGCCTTCATCATTCCTGGCTCCTGCAACTGTGGCCACTTAACTGTCTTCCATATGCACTCAACTCCATCAAGCCTTCAGTAAGTACTTTAAAAAAATAACACTGAGTGAAGCCATTAATTAAATGCAAAACCCACTATCCATCCCTATGTTTGCTTTTCACTAGGACCCTAAAAAACATATTTAACATAGCTTGCAAGTACAGTCACATTTCATGTTATTTTTCAAACTTGTCACTCTCCTGGAGGCCTCCTTCTGTCCAGAACTGTAATCCCACAATTCCACCTTGGTTATTATTTCAGTAGCTACCAGTGCCAAAAGCATTTGTTTAAAATGCTTTGCTTCCCTAAAGATTATAGAACAGATATCCTCTTTTAATGGTGGAAAAACTTTTAAGACTAAGCCTAAAAAAAACCCTAACAAACTAACAAAGAAACCCAAAAAGTCTCTTTAGCTCACAAATGATCTCCTTTCCTAATCAATGCAAACTTCATTCTGCTAAAGCTACAGGCATTCTGTACTTTTCAACCTATTGTTCTGGAAAATGTAGTTTTCCCAAGATGCCATGTTTCCTACACTGACCACAGCTCTCCTTTGTCCTTCAGGCACAAGTTCTTACAGGTATGTACCACTGGGCAGAAGTAAGTTACTCCTGTACTGACAAATGTGAACTGTCACCTAATTCAGTCTCCTCTTCTCCTGGTCTCGTGATACCATTACACCACATTGTTACTATTTGGCATTTAAGGGAAGGGACTCTGTTAGTCTAGAACCAGGATGAAAATCTTGATATAGGGAGCCTTCACATCTTATTGCTGCTGCTTTGCTATTAAAAGCTCCACTAGCCTAACAGCCATGCAGCTACTATTTTGTTCAAGTTTAGCACAATCTAGACATCTCCACAGAATACAGTAATGAAGGTAAGAAAATTACCCATGTCATTTGTGAAAACATTTACATGTTATACTACAAGTAACAGACACTTGGAAGCAATATGACAACTTTCAGGCTCATATGCAAAGACACTTACCAGTAAATTGTGTAAGCCTCTGCTTGAGCTGGGTCTTGAATATTTGGTTCATTTAGAAGTTCTTGTATGCCTAACAAGATCTATGGAAAAAGGAATAGAAGTAACAAGCATATATTATGACTACTACTAATAGAGATTCAGTGAAAAACCCTTAGAAACCAGTTTAGGTACACACAGTGAACATCTTATACTTGCATCAGATAAGCAAGCAAAGCAAAAGTATTAAGAACATGTCCAAGTACAACTAATGACCTGTTTAATTGTGATTGCTGGCCGCCAGTCCTTATCCTCCTCTAAGATGGAGAGACACACGGTGCCTGAAGGATACACGTTTGGGTGGAATAACGGTGGTTCAAATTTACCTGATAAAGAAGAGGAAATGACTTGCATACAGTGCTAAGAGGAAGATCAGAGAGTTGGGTTAAATCAGTTGGGGGAAAACAAAACCCAAAAATCCCCACACCAACACTGGCAAAAAAGCCCCAAATAAAACCCCACCAATTTCTGGAGCTATTAATACCAGTTTTCTTCTTGGCTCAGCCTGTACCTAAAACAGAAACTCCATCACATCTGTGATATCAATCCAGGCAATCCAACATTGTCTTTCTGACTGGTAATCTTTTGGTTTAGGAATGGAAACAGACAAAGTAATTCAGAGTAGCTTTGTGATAAAGACCTTTTAAAAACAATTCTGTCTTTTCAGCTTTACATACTATTTTATAAGGGAAAGATACTACCCTTCACTCATCTTTTCTCTCCTCACTTTAAAATATTGAAAGTTTCATACAAAGACGACTTAAGTTCTTAGCATTTTTTTCAGTTTCATATTTTCCTATGTATAATCAAGATGCACGGAACCAAAGGAACCAAGTTTAAATTACAAGACTAACTGACGGCTTGTGTAGCTTTCCTTTTGCCGCTCAATCTATATTCTGGCATTGCTTTTAATCTTTACAGGACTTACAACAGCTAGCATCTTCAGTAAAGTAATGAACACTCCCCTTTGCAATACATGAAACATGTACATATTAGTGCAGTTTTCTCATCCATCTGACATTGCAAGTATTCACAAGACATAACAGTCTTGCTGCCCTATGAAGTTCAGAGGTACTTCAGAAGCTGCACTGGCAGGAAGTTTTTTCAGTCACATATACATCTTACAATAAAGTTTGACAATTCCTTTAACACTGTCAGGATGTGAAAACTGGTATTTTTGAAGAAAATAATGTGAAATGTTTTCAGTTACCAGAGAGGTTCGCCCCTGAGTTACATGTATTTAGGTGGTATCAAACAAAAGGAGTAGCCAGGAGCTGACAGAGATTAAATATGCGAATGTGTTGATAGATTAATTGCTGTCAAAAGAGCAATTTGTAACCACTGTCATTGGTCTGAGAGGGTATCCAATTCAAGAACCAAGAAACCATGCAATGGAATAGATGTTTTCAAGTTTCTATAATAGGTGAAGTTTGAGATGATATTAGGAAAATTCAGTTCAAAACCTTAAGGAGACTAGGTATCTGAAGATCTACTAAGTTATACATGGTAGCAGAAAAAGAACAGATTCATATTTTAGAGCAAGTTGATTAAAAGGTTCAAGTTACAGAGCCCTTTTTTCCAAGTTCCTGTCTTCTGAGTTCTCAGCTTAGAAGACCAACTTAACAGTAAGAACACAGGGATTTAGTCTAAGCTTGCCTGGATAATAGTTTCTAAGGACAGCTGATAATGTAGCAAGCATTTCAAGCGATGCTTTCACCAAACTTTGAGAGAACCAATCTCCCTCCCCTCTCAATTCAGATATATCAAGCACTTAGCTGATTTCATCACAACTTTCTGTGATGAAATGCAAGTGGGTGGGGAAAAAAGAAAAGGCAATGTATCTTTAAAAAAAAACCAAAACAAAATCAAACAAAACTGTAGGAAAGTAATAACCATTTGTAAGAAGCTCATGGATTAATTCAACACTGTTCTAATAAACCTGTCATTTTTAATTACCTGTGGTAATTTTACTTACATTTTGGGGGTGAAGAAGGGTAGTCATCCTTGAAAAGCATCCGTAGTTTAAATAAGCCTCCTTCCCATGGTGTCTATCAAGAGTTAATGTAGAATTTGGTTACAGAAAGGAAAAGTCAAAATTGTGGAAAAAAGTTTACCAAGAATACAGCTTCTCAGGCAAAGCACAAGACATTCTTCTGCTACAAGGCAGAAAATAGCTGTCCTGCACTGTAGCACACTGTCTGGACTACGGTAAACTATTCTACCTATAGAAGAAGCTGAAGTAGAAAGGACAGGGTTTTTTTCTTCAGCTACTAAGTGATGTCAACTCATCAACACAGTCAGAGTCATCACCAGTAATTTCATATAAAAGTAAAATTTTCACAATACCTAAGAACAGGATACTGCTGAAGTTTTACACTATAAATGTAGAACAAGGAAGGGGCTGTTGTACCCCCACTAAAGTCTCAGAAGAAAGGAGAGGGATACATCCCTTATGCATGGCAATGTAAATGGCTTCTCTCGTGCCTTATGAGAATGTGGTTAATAAAACCATAAATGAACTAAAAATGCAGACAGAACTGTACAACTGCTACACTTAATGAGATTCACTAGTGCAAACTAACCCTGTCTGCGTTTGGTAGAATGTAGTCTCACAGATTCCATCTTTCTGTATTACAAGAAAATTTAAGAGGCTCTTTATCCCTACCCAGCACTGGGAAGGACACTAATAGGAGCAGCTTCCATGACAGAGAGCAAACCAAATAAGACAGCACTATTCAAAAGTGTCATACAAACAAGAAAAAAACATCTAGCAATAGAGAAAAAGACTGTCTCAAATATACAAAACACATAGAGAAAAAAGCCCATCTTCTGACAAACTGAGTTCTGATAAGAAGTGCAGAAATGTAGAAAATATTCTAATAGCTATAAAATTTATTTCTCTGTAAATTCCCCTTGCTATGGAAACACTGTAATGAAAGTAAATGTTGGGTTGATTTTTCTAAAACAACTGGAGTAAAGATGACAACTTAACACATCTTAAAAGCAAAAACTGATCAAATCTTATCCTCACAGACAGACACGCTTGAAGACCACCTCAGAAGGAATTTTTTTATTATTTCCTATATGAACTATGATTTTTAGCTGAATGAAAACCAAAACATCCAAAAAACCTACACGAAGACAGAGAAATCACTTCATTGTCATTGGTATTCATTACGCAAAGTCTCAAGCTAGAAAAGGAAGAAAAACATGCTAGGAATCAATAAGATAATACACTTCCAGAAGTGAATGAGTTTTATTCTATTTGCTGTAGTGTATTTAAAGAGCTTGTTCTAAATTGCTGTAGCCAGTTGTCAACAACTAGAAAAATCCATTCTCCATACCTTCTCAGAGGAGTTCCTCTTTAGAAATTACAAGGTTTTTGATGAATAAAATTTTTGTTTGCTTTCAGTCACACAGGAAGGCAAACAGCTTTTAATAATTTACACAGAAGAACAGAACAGTTGGCAAAGTTTTTATCATTTTTCTGATACAGCAACATACCTTATGGGTGAAAGATAGCAGACACTCAGAAGCCCTACTAACGCTAACAGTATGACAGCAGTATCATCGAGACCATACTGCATTATGGGACTAGTTGCAGATGTTTTTTGAGTCAAATTTTAGGTAGTTAACAAGTGATTTGCTGTCACATAAGTGAACAGAGTTCACGTTAATCCACCCAGGATTAACGCCGCTTCAATATTTAATCTGGCTGACAAGAAAGCATTCTGGTGTTCTCAACTACTCATCTCAGGGAAAACAGCTGCAGTACAGAATGCCTCCAAACACAAAGAGAATAGAGACCAACTGCTTGGTCTGATAGAGATGAATAAGTCATGCTGCTTCTTGTTAAATATAATTTTTTTATTAGCAGGAATCACATCAGCCTAACTGATCTTTTCCAGGTGTGACACATTTTCTGGTACACATGAAGAAAGCTTTAAGGCCTTGTCCGCTCCACTTTGCGGTTTACAAAACTTCAAAGCGATACCATGAAGATTTTGTATGGCGTATAAATTTTACCTAAGTATTTAAAAGTGACACCTCCATAAGGTACATAAACTGTTATGGGGAATAGTCTTGTTCAGGCAGAAGATAAGGGGACGAGTTTTTCCTTAGACTGTGTCAGAATATTTGTTTGTGCTTTTTTAAGAACTAACTAATGCTGCGCCCAGAGCACTACTACCAAAACTAAGTTCTAACTCTAACAGCAATATTATGTCCAGCATTCAACTAGGGCAGCATCGCAGACCCTGCAGGTCTTGCCTACACACAAACTCTTCTGAGAATCTAAGAAACAAGATCATCAAAAGGGTATTTAGGCAAATTGGCAAAAGGCAGTAGAAAAGGCAAGGCAAAAAAAGTCCCACACTGAAGACCCGAAAGAAAGAATTAAAACCCCCAAATAATTAATAGGAGTATTTCAGAAGAAGCAAGAAGAAGCAGAAGACAAGCTCCAGAAGACTCTTAAACACTCCTCTGAAAACTTGTATTCTTCAGGTGCTAAGTGACAGGAGTTGAACAGGCTTACACTATACTTTGTCCAATATTCCTAGTCCACAGCACTTTTAATTCTAAAGTATCAGCAGGATCCAAACTTCATTATTAAACTATACATAAGGTAAATTCTCAATTGTCAATGTAATGCGTAGGCAACTTACATTACTTTTCACCATAAATGAGAAATCAGGAGAACAGTAAGTCTTACCCCTTTCTTTCCTGGAATAGCACACTCCCAGTTCATTAGATTCATCGTGCCATCTGGATTTTTTGTAGGTACTGCTACAAATCCCTGAATCAAGGGAATAAGACATATGGTGAGGATTTTACAAGATGTACTTAAAATACTTTGTGACATATTTTATCTTTACACAGAGTTACTTCTCTTTGCACTACTAATCCTATCAGGGTAATGACAAAATCATCACCAGAACACTGAAACAATTGCAGAGTCAGATATTTAGTAGCTTTCATACTTACAAATGGATGATCTTTTCTCCAGGCTTTTCTCTCCTGTGCAAGTCTGCTAAGAGCTATGCCAGACATATTCAGAGTCCCTCTACAAGAAAAGTAATTGCTATTAGCATATACTTCTACTTGTAGCATAAACAATGCATTATGTTTAAAAGCCCAGCTCACTCAAGAGTAATTTTGACCTCTCATTTTCACTTCAATAACCTAGACACATGTTTCTGCACAGCCAGCAGAATTTATCATCAAGAATAACATCAAGTTTTCCCATGCCATCAAGTTCTAAGTAACTGGACTTGACCAACAAAATTCCATCCTTATCTTACTGCTTTATATTTGAACCCAATCTTGGAATAAACTCTGACAGTAGCTTGACAACAGAAACACTATTAGTAATGGAAAAAGTGCTCAGACTTCCTACTTGTGCAACTGATACACCCTGTTTATCTCCTTCCTACACCACATGAGGCATGGCAAATTTCTTCTGTAGGCAATTATCTGCATTTCTCCCATTTCTGGCAAATGGGAATACGAAATACTACTTTTTGGGTAAATTCCCACTGAAAGCCAGTATTCCCCAGAAAAGCCACAGGGATATAGAATTTAACAAAGTCATCTCAGTTTTGCAGTGATGCGGCTATAAGATTTCTAGACAACAGCAGGAACAGGCAGCAACACAGAGCTCAGCTAAGGAAGAGCCATCAGCTCATTCCACCAGACAGATTTTAAATTCCAGTACAAACTGAAGAATATTTCTGCACCTTCACTAGTAAGTAGTAGCTTGCCTAAGTAGTAGCCAAGCATGGCGACCACAACTACAGAAAAAATATGCAGAGCACCGGTCATTCACTACTGCATGACACAGAACAACAGTTCTAAACAGGATGATTGCACGCGTGGTGCTTTCAAATTCAGGGGATGATACTCCATTCACCATAACAGTACTCAAAGTGAGTTTATTTTTCATTGTCAAACTGTATCTAAACGCAGGGCTTCACTAGCCACAGGTTCAAATTCCAATTAAGGTTTTTAATCCTTCTTATAACTGCACTTCCACACATTTTAATTAAGAGATGATAATTGGCAATGGGAGAAGTCAGGCCAATTCGTTCTCAATTCCACATGTACCTTGTAAACCTTTTTGACAGCAGAAGAGTAGAATGCTTCCACTTAACAAGTTCACAGAGTGACTGAAAGTGCTGTTTCAACCCTATTAAAACAAACCCTTACACACTGGTTAAGAATTATGCAGAATTTCACTCAATATGTTGATTACTTATAGGAAGTAATTCAGTCTACTACTATTACAAGCATATGAACGGTAGATCTTTAAAAATACCAGAATAAACAATGTATACAGTTCCTAGGACAATATGTATTTCAAATCTGTTCTTCAACCTTTTAAGCCTGTTTTGCCTAGACAGCCATATTCCCTAATTCACTTTCAAAGTAGCAACCAAATTAGTGTCAAATAAAGCTTTTTAAAAGGGACAATGCACACTCAGTGGACACGCACACACACAAAAATAGTCCTACGTTCAGTCCAATTTTCCTCTAGTATTCCCAACATATACGCCTCTATCTTAATTATGGCAGAAGACTTGCAGGACTTAGCGAATGTGTACATGTGACTTCAGATTTTAATCTGTTCACAAGCAGGAAATGCAGAGCCATTGAAAAAAAATACCAGCAAAACTGAAAAAAAAACCCCAACAAAAACCAAAGGCAACAAAAAAATCTCTTCCTTAACCAAATTATACAGGCAGCAAGTTTTAGCATGTTGTGAGCAAGTTGTAATATGTTTTAAGAGATGTAAATGAACGGCATATACAGCAGTTTCAGCTGTGCTTTTGGTACCTGGTAGTCCACTGCACTAACACTAACCTTCTCATCATAGGCTGAGAAAACCGTATTTGCTTATAAACCATCCAAATATTCTTACTTAGTTCACCAAACTCAACTACTTTTTCTGCCAAAAGGTTGGCATTACAGGATGCTTTTTAACACATTTCCTGTGGCTAACAACCAATTACCTACAACCTCAAGGGAAATACCAGTTTCTCACCGAGTAAATAAAGAGTGGATCTGCTGCAGAACATCAATAACTTTTCAAGTAATTGAAAAAAGAATCCCGAGTTTTCAGACCATACATCCTACTTACTTTTGTTACACACTATACTGTGCCCTAATACAATAAAGATTTTTCTAATGCTCTACAAATAGGTTTCCAAATCTTGAGGCATTTGACTTAGTTAAGCACTGGAAAATTTCAGTGCATATGAGAGACAATAGGCTTCACATATCTGCTTTCTAGACTTCAGTTACATTGAAGAGAACAGACAAGCATCTAGAACCTCATCAGTCTATTAGAAAATATTAAACAAGACTGAAATCCCATTTCACAAACTAAGATCTCATTAGTTAAGCATCCCCTCAAAAGCAATCTGCTAACAAACTGTCAATATGAATTCTCTATATCCCAATCTATTAATGTACTACATTACCAGAAAGAATTCTGCACCAGAGGAAGTCTATTCAATCCTATTTTTGCACATGCCACAAAAGTCGAAGAGACCAGTTTTTCACGTTTTGAGTTTAATCCCCCAAATTCCCCCCTGCCATTAAGAGCTAGTAATGTCCCTTTTACTGCCATCAACTCAAAGTTAACAGAAACTTCAAAATTTACTCATTAGCTTGCCTTTGCTGCTGTTACTGCCTGCTTTAGAAAAAGGACAAAATAAAACCATCACGCTCATCATAGATGCAAACTTGTGTGCCTCATTACAGAATATCTTACCCATTTAGACTTTCTGATGGAGTGGAACAACCTACTTTCACATACAAAATGCTCGTCTTGCAAATAATCTTTCCCGTGCCACAAACAACTCTCTAAACACATCAACAATATGCTCTTTGAGGTTCAAGAACTTTCAGTACGACTTATTGATTGCAAGCAGCAAGAAAAAAGACCCCAAAACGTTAAGACCGCTAGCCTCACATTTTTACTTTGCAGGTTAAATACTAACATAGAAAGACATTATTATCGAAGTAGTTTGCCCCGAACTATACAAACTTTATTTTTCAGAAAGGTGGAGAAAGCCACGGTCTGAGCTTTAATCAAAGCACGCTAACTCTGGACTGGGATAGAAAGTCTCCTCTGCTTGCGGCAAGAGAAAGGTAAAAGAGGCCGAGCGGCGACCAGAGTCGCACATAAAACAACAGAAGATGCCGCACGGCGATGGACTCCGTGTTCGACGGCCAAGTAACCGGACAGGGCCGAGCACCGCCCGCCACCGCGGAGGGCCGCTGGTCCCGCCAGCCCCGCGAGGGGCCGGGGCAGCGCCCAAGGCCTGCACGGGGCACCGCGGGCCCGCCCGACGTTCCCGGGCATATACCCGGCGGGGCGGGACCGGCTCGCGCAGGCCGAGCGGTTCCACGCCCTGCCCGGCGACCTCTGCCCGCCACCACCGAGACCTGCGCGGTGCTCAGAGCCTCAGGCGGACAGTAGTGCGCCGGCCGGCCCAGCCACAAGGCAGGAGCCACCAGGCCCGCACGCCCGTGGCCGCCAGTCCCGTCCCGCCCCATCGCAGGTGAGGGGCGCCAGCCCGGCCCGACCCAGCCCCGCTCCGCTCCCCGACCCCGAGGCCACCCCGGCCCCACTCCCGGCCAGGCCTCACCGAGAGCCGCCGCCGCCGCGCGTGTCCCGGATCGAGGCCGCGCGAGTGACCCGGATGTTCCCGCTCCCGCTGCTTTGTCTCCACTCCGGAGTTTCCCTCCCTCTCGCCTCGGCGCGGAGCGCGAAAGCGCTACTCTGTCCTTCGGCCCGATCCGTCTGTGAACCTATCGTCACGCGTTACGCATCCCCGCGACACAGGACCCAGAGGTGTCCCCAACAACGCCTGAGTATGAAGCACCAGAAAAACTCCACGCGGGGCTACCCCAAGGCCGAGAACTTCCTCGTACCTCTCGATCCCGCCAGCTCCGGCGGAAAGCTGAATCAATTCTTACCTCTGGCGCCGTGGGAGCCGCCTGCGACTTAAGAACGCCTGGTCCGTCGACGGGCGCGCGCAGGTCTGGCGGGCCGCACTCGAGCCGGGCCGAGCCCCGCCCCCTGTGCCGGCCGAGCCTGATTGGAGGAGGGGCCGCGGCTCTGAGGGGCTCCCGCGGCTGCGGGCGGGCGGAGGGGCCTATCAGAGAGCCGGCAGGCGGCACGGAAGGCGGTCTTCAGTTCGCCTCCATCCCGCGCTGGTTTCACTGACCTTTACGAGATTTATGACCTGGGTTTTGTTTCCCATTGCTTTGTTGGTTTGGTTTGGTTTCCTTTCCTGGGGGGGGACGGGATGGGACGACGCATTTTTAGTGGCAAGTAGAGTATGAATCACATTCTATTCTCATCTTGGAACTTATCTTTCTTAATGAAACTGAGGAATTTTTAGTCTTGAAACCGTTGCTTAGCTATGCCTTGTGCTTGTCTGTGTCAGTGTTGCTTGAACGATTTTCTGTGTAGTAATAAAGAACTCCAGAATTGACTATTTCAATAAATAATCACCTAGATTCCAATCAGCCCTAATCAATATATATGCTGAATATCACTCTACCTAAGAAACCTGTCACCAGTAGCAAATGCCCACTGTAGACGAGGATAAACACATACTCCCCTGTGTAACTTTCCATACAATTCCAGTGGCATTACAAAAAGCAGTGGAAACTGTTAACACCTGCCTTAAAGGATCTCTCTCATGAAATTGTATGTATTACAGTCTCTAAGAATGTCATACACATATGGGCTATGTGTATATGACTACCAGGCAAGATTTCAGCACACGGAAAGATGAACAGCAACCCTAAAAGGTGAATTTGCCAGATCATTTTCATCTTTCTGAAGTTAAACTTCCCACTGAAAGGAAAACTAGTGCCAAATGAACCCTAGATGTTATAAAAGATCCAAACAGGTTGCTAATGACTTAGTCATTTGTGTCCCCTTTGTTCAGGGTAGACACTTGTCCATTTTGTGCTCTCATTTTTCCTAAATGGTGAAAACATTTGCAGGAACAGATATGTAGAATAGGAATTTGGGTTGAAAGTCATGCTGGCTGACTCTAAAAGATCAATACTTTTAGTAGGACAGTCTGATGAAAATACAGATGCACACACTGATTGCTTAATTACTGTAATTGCTGTACTTGATTGCTACAGCAGTGTTTGCTCTTAGCACTTATTTTAGAAAAATTCAAATGCAATTAAATGCAGCAAATTGGTTTAGTAAAATAAATTTTACTGATGTTGCTGGATATACAAGGAAATAATAGAATGTGCTTTGCACTTAAAACCAACTAAACTGTTAAGATGAAATTCACTTCATTTGTAACTACAGAGCCTTTAGGAATTTAAAAATCATGGGTCTTAGCTTCTCAAATTCTTACTAGTAGTTCAGAAAATAAGACCTGTCCAGTGGTCTTCTCAATACTAATACGCAATTATAAACTTTTCTATAGTTATAGAGGACACAGCTGTCAAATTTCCTGGATAATTTCAACAACCTGTACTTTGTAGTTAAATAATTTACTTCCTTCAGCCATTTCTATCTTTGCAACTTATTATATGTTTGCCTTATTACAAAGCATCAATTTCCATTAGCTTAGTTTTTCAAACAAAGGAAGCAATTACATTAAAAAGCAAAGTAGTGGATTCTAGAATCTTTGATGTTAGGCAGGGTGGTTTTTGAGTTGTACTAAAGAAAAGGTAAGCAAAGTGATTACTTAAAACTTTTTCATGTGATTATATATCCATAAAAGAGACAACTACTTCCTCCTACAGTAATAAGAACGTCACAGCAACTGCAAAGGAAAATAATTTCCCAACTGATATGTATCTGAATAGACCTAACTTTCGTGATGAAGTTTTTTGGGGCAGCAGTAAAGGATACTTCTCCTTTACAAAGGAGAAAGCATTAATGCTTTGAATCACTACAGAAATATGTAACTACATTTTACATCTGAAGTGCTAAACTAGGAATTCTCACAGGATATGACACTATTAATATCAATTAGTGCATTTAGAAAAGACGATGTAAGACAGCACACTTTAAAAGGGAAAAACCAGGTTTATTCCATGCAGTTTACAATACACTAGTGTTATGAAAAGGAAGTTAAAAAAATACCCATACACATTTCATTTGTTTTGAAAGTGGTGGTTAACTGTAACCATCTTCAAATTACTTGGGAAGCCCTAGCAGATATTCTTTCAGGGAAATTTCCCTGAATTTAGTTTCTTGTCTGTGTCTGTGCTATGAGTTTTGGTTAATGCAAGTGCAGTAAAACTAAATCATAACTCAAATTTTGCTGCAGTAAGAACACTTCAGATATAATGAATTGGCACAAAATAAAGTGTTATTGCTAATCCACTATCCAGGAAACAACACGTTGCCAGTATGGCCACTTGGGTATAAGCACAACTTAAGCAGGTGCTGCCCAACTAATTTTGAGACCAGTGACTTGGAGGAAAAGCTTAAAAAAAAAGAACATTTGTTGAATTGGGTAGGTGATCCTAAAGAGTGCATAGGAAGTTGATTTCTCATAGCTAAGTTGAGGTAAGGATAAGGGCAGAAGCAGGTGGAAAAAGCTGCCATTTGATACTCCTTCTGTTTGATCTTGTTTCAGTTCCAGTAGAGAGGTTGGTAACATTCCTTTCACAAGTGCCTTGGCACTTTCTTCATTCTAGCAAGTACACATGAGCCAAGTTAATGTGAGTAAAGTTGTGCAGAAGCTTTTGGAAAATCTTCATAAGCAGCAAGAATCATGTACATAATAAATACATTTACTCTTACTCTTCACTCATTTCAGATGACGAGGCCTCAAAATCACAACAGGTCTTAGATCAAAATATAGGCTCAGCTTTCTAAGGCAAGAAGAGCACTATCACAGAACCTCTTCCCTTTCCACTCACCCCCAAAGTAGCAAAATACCTTTAAAAAAAGTTTCTCTCATTATAGTACTTATTAAGACACAACATCCTGAAGAGAACCCTCTGATGCCTGTAGAAAGCTATATTGGCAGCAGTATCTACTCAATGAACTTTTGAGAAGTTTATGTCTTGGTAGACATCACTAAAGTAAATGTCAACTAAGTTGCAAAGAAATATTCTGTGACAATTTCCTGGGGCAAAATCTTCCTCAAAGCTTCTCTATTGCCAGTGCTGTTCATAAAAGTTGACAGATTTCAGCCAAGGTAATAATGACGTGGAGGGTAGGTGTCCTGCCTTCTCTAGTGTGCCCTTATCAGATCTGGATACTGAAAATCCAAGCCATATAGGAACACTTAGATCTGCAATTGGTTCAGACATTTGTAAAAATTATTTCTGTCCATGAGCTGAAAGGAAAACAGACTAGTTGTTTTTTAGATATTACATGTCCCTGGAACCTCAAATTAGCCCTGGAAAGCATTTTAGCCCTTAGCATTTCTGCTCTGAAAATGGAGAGTTCCTTCTGACAGTCATTTAGGTAAACTGGACAATAAGATCTATTTAGCCCTTTAAAGCCTCTGTTCATTAAGAAGCCTTTAAAGACAGCTCCTGATTTTTGTGAAACAAAAGAAAACTTGCATGACACTGAGTTCAGAGAGCCTTCCGGGGTTTTTTTTTAAACTGAATATTCATACTATTTAAAGAATCACTAATTCTACACAAAGCCCAAGTAAGATCCCAAGATTGTCCTCAAAACTGGAAACAGCTGCAGTCTAAATTACAACAAAGTAACAGGCATCATCCTTAGGCTTAAGTATTTCAAAACTGTTGTGTTAGAAAAGACACTGACTGTTCCTATGACCACTCAAGTTTTAACCCTACTCTCTTAAGAGAACAGACGCTGTTAAAGGCATAACAAAATTTCATCTCTTTTCAAAAGACCTACAGTTCAAGGACTGATTGAAAAAGTTAATTTGAAGAACTTGAAACTTTTGATGAGGTGACAGAGAGAATAAAAAATAGGAGAATGGCACTTTCTGATTTTATCACATCTTAAGGGAACAAAACCCCAGACTTCAGGCTTTCATTTCACTTCCATCTTCTTCAAAAAGCCCAGGAGAACTTCCCTCTTCTCCCAGTATTTCCCAAGGAATACATTCCAATATACCTGGGTAATTACAATCTGGATTCTATTTAATTCCACTGAATCAGATACTATTGCATTTTTGCACTCAAAGTTCATTTCTGTAATATTAATAAAAATTTGTAACTAATGTGTGTTCATTTGCTGGTGGGAGCTCTCTACAGCTTAAACAGAGACTGACAACTCTCAACAACTTCAACAGACATTCACAGGAGAGCGTTCTGTTATGAGAAGCACTTTTCTGATAGTGTTATCACCATACTCAGCAGATTTGTTCCCTTAGTTGCATGCCTGCAATTACGTTGTCTTTTGTTTAATCTGCCAGTTTTCATTTTTCTCCTGAAAAAAACGCCAATAATACCCCTCTCTCAGAAAAAGAGGAGATTGATGCAATTTTTGAATCTGCAGGAAATAGTCTTGTTTCTAATAAATCCTAACTGTGCATTCACATTGCTAGAAATGGAGCAGCTAGTGTCTAAAGAAAATCTCAAACCAAAAAAGTCAGATGGATTCACTGAGCTTCATTTTTTAAGAAATATCTTCTCCTAATGCTACAATGCAGGATGAAAGGAACTTTTATCATTACAAGAAATCTGAGTTTGAAAAAAACAGTACATTTTCCAACTTTTATGAGTATATGATTGTATTGATGGAAACTTTAGTAAAGATTCAAAAAAAGCTTCTAAATTCAATCAAGTCTTTGACAGACAATTAAATTACTTTGGGATTAAAAACATGCTGTAATCCATGGAAATCCCACAGTAAATAGGACAAAATACCAGGTAACTTTTGGGCTGCGAGCTGCTGAGTCAGAGTATACACTGGGATAGTTATTATGGGCCACGTGACATCCACGTCTTTGAGGCCTCAGAATTACTTATTCTTTGTAGAAAAATTCTGATTCACCTGCTGCTTGAAGAAGTCAAAAGCATGTAACATAAAAATACCATCTCCAATAAAGGAAAAAATAGCCTCTTGAGAAAACCTAAGGCCAACAATATGCTGTCTCCTAACTCAAAGCAAGAAATTGCTATAGCAAATTTGAACTTCTGTTTTTAAACAAGTTTTGCAAGAAGTCTGTCATGTAAATGTCTTTAAAGAATTTCATCTCTCTCATTTCCTGTTTTATTCCTTCTGTTATGATCTGTTCAAGCTCAGGATCTGAAGTTCTAACCTGGAATACTGTTCTGAATAAACAACAGAGGAGCTGTGTATGTCCAGAGTTAAGTTCAAGCAGTCTGCAGTACAGCGTTGCAGTTCCAGCCTGATAGTGAACCCCTCAGCTCTGCACAGTCACAGGTAATTCTCAGGACGGTACTCTCTCCAAACAGCAGAAAAAGAACAAAGGAATCCAGTTTTAACTGTATAGGTACATTGCTTCCTCCTCGCAAGAGCTTAACAGATGAAGCAATGTTTGCCAAGCCTGGTCACGGAGATTGGACTCTAATGCAATTACCTTGCATTACTTTATTTGAAACTGCAACAGTCAAACAAAAAGAAACAAAATTTATTTAGGGATAAATTCTTAATGCCTTGAAAAAAGCTGAAGAGAGCATTTCCATCTATCTGAAAGCCTTGCATGATCACAAAAATTAAAGCAATAATCAATAGCAAGAACAGGAAAGTAGTTAGTTCAAGTGGCCTCAAACAACAGTGTATTTAAAATAATTTACAAGGTACCTGCCTACTAAAGTTCTTCTTTTCCTTCCTTCTTAAAACCTTTGTGAGATATTGGAAACAGTGCAAAAAATTATTAAACACTCATTTCCCTAAAATTAGCTATGGCAGGGATACAATATAAACTAAACTGCAGGTAATCTCAGCATAGAAGCAGGTTTTAAAACTGAAAATATTCTGCTAGGGAAAATCCCCCATACTTAGAAAAAAAACACTCTTTTACACACTCTAAATTTGTTCAGATTGCTCAGTTTGTTACTCATGCTTTGCCAATGTCATTCAGGAAAATTTCACTTTATTAAATAGTCTGTCCTTTTTGGATTTAATAAGACAAGGCAACAGAAATGCTGATTCAGAAGGATCACGGTAAAACTGGTATTTTAGGCATTAAAATCCACTTAGATCAATGCTGAATTACTCTGTAGAGCCCATCAAGAAAACAACAAGTAACATGGTTGGCTGCAATTGGCTGCAATGAGCCGGGGAGCTCAGAGATCTTGGTGGAGTCATACTGCTTAAAAACACAGTGACTACTGCAGCAGAGGAAATGTTTTAATATGCAGTTAACACAGACAATTGTTATGCTTATTTTCAGATACACAAGATAATCCGTCACTATTTAGGGGACATGTCTGTGCTCAATTTAAGCTGATAAAATATGGGTACCTAAAAAAGTATAAAAGTATAAACATTTCCCCCTACACAATTACAGTTTTAGTAAATTAAATTCAGTTTTAACTTCTTAAAAAAAGACAAAAATTTTATGTGTTGTGGAGAGGCCAGCAGCTTCCCGTGCAGACCACATCCAAGTCACAAAATGCATTACAAATCCTTTCAAGCATTAGGCACACAGACAAAACATTTAGCCCATTGCTTAATCTGTTTAGTAGAAATGTTTCTTACAAATTGTTTTGCCAAACTTTTATCAATGTCTAAGTCCTTTAAAAAATCAAATAATAATTAAAAAAAAGTAGACCCTGGGTGTTTGAAAATCAGTATGCAGTATATGCATAAATTCTGAAATTACTAAGAATGAAAACTGTAATGTCTTTAAAATGTAAAACCATCTTGTAGCTTTTTGAAACTCCCTTCCACTGGTTCCATGAGTCAATGAAGCCAAGTTTTATACTGTCCATTTTGTAAAGTGTTTTAAAGATGTGCTAAAGATTTTGCTCAAAACATAGTGTGTGTCTTGTGTATTAGCCTTTTTCAAGGACAAACTAACAAAGCTGCACCACATTCTGTTCAAACACTGTTCTTAACTGCATAGCTGAAACTGTATAGAAAGAGAAAGGTTGATTATAGGGATCCTGAATATCCAAAGTAATCAGGTTTTTCAACTGGATGAGTTTATGTTCACACTAAGATTGATTTTAATCCAAGTCATAGAGACAGGGACCTAGGACTAGCCAGCTGTATTTCTGTAAAACCTTCAGCTCTAGAAAAATCTCTACCCTAATCCACAGTTCAATGCTTATAGGCATTTTATAGAAGCAGAAACACACATATGAGTACAAACACCTCCAAAGAAACAGAATGTTCAGTTGGTCATTTTAAGTGAATTTTGATTCCACTTTCAAGCATGTGACCAGGACTGGAGCATAACTTTTGCAGGAGACTGTTTAACAGAGAGAACATCAAGAATAACTCAGAGGAAGGCCATTTTCTCTGAGTTTAGTCTTCCCTTTGGGTATTGAAATAAGCTATACATCCAGTCAATATATACACCCTTCAGAGAAATCTTTTCTCTGTTGCGTAACTTTTACACATGCTAGTTTCAGTTGATCTCCTAGGCTGTTATTACATAATAGATTATGTCACAGAACCATAAGGAATGTGCAGTATAATACAGTCAACTGGGGCTGACACTGATTCTGAAACAACGTATGCCCAAATACTTGTGTTTCTGGGCTAACATTTGTGTGTGTGTGTGCATGTGTGTCTAAGTGTATGTGTGTGTGTGTGTGTGTGTGTGTAGCACCAATTACATTGTCCTTTTAAGGTTTACAATGATTAGTAGGAAAAGGTCTCCAAACTGATCAACATTGGGTCATCCAGCACCAGACATTAAGTGCTACATGTCTCCAAGGAAAATATGAGTGCATGGTCATTTCTTTTCAAATGACCAGTGTCAATAAGCCAACAAGAAAGCACAACCATGCACTACAACCAAAACTTAACACACATTCCCACACCATCTATTCCCATTATGTAATCTTGCAATGCTTCCAGAAGTTGACACCAGCTTATAGGCAAATATGGTTGAACTCAGATCAACAGAAAATTGTCTAAATCAGATTTTTTTCTTTTGCAGCCAAGCCTCTTCAGTGTGACAATTCACTGCATCTTCGAATAAAGAAAAAAATTGTCACCGTTCAATACTGTCTTCACATCCTGGAACCTCGTTCTTGCAAAATCTGAAATAGACCAATAAAAATTCTATAAATGAAAATTAGCTCAATGTCATTCCTAAAGCATGGAGATAAAAGAGCAACATAATGACTACTTTAAATAACTGGTAATGTGTCAGGGACCTGGTTCGAGGAAATTCCTGGGATCTGTGCTTTAAAGCTGAAAAAAGACAGATTGATATGTACAATGTCTACTATCAAATACCATTAAAACAGGTGTAAAACACTGCTACGAATTGAGTATTATTAAAATAAATCATTAATACATTAATAAGACTTAAGAGTTGGCAATTGCAAAAAGTAAGCCATTGCACCTCAACCTAGTTGAGAAGATCCTGAGGTCCTATGTGGTAAATTAACTTGGGTACTTTACTAGGAACTGAATTTAATCTTAATTTTTCCTGTTCCAGAAAAATGTCCTTAACCTTCTGAAGTTTCAGATACAAACTGTGTTCCATAAATTAGTACTGAAAACATGAACTAGCAAATCAAAATGTGCAGAAATGTCATACTGGGTGCACTGATGCAAGAAGTTTTTAAAGGCCAAGTACAATCTAGCAAGATTTAAATCAACAACATCCATTTTACTTCCAGTTTTACTATTTTTTGTCCTTTTCTGTTTCAGTTTATTTTGTCTCCTCCAGAAAGGAAAGGATCCAAGTTTTAGGACTGACTGTTCAAGCAACTAAATTTTAATGTTGCTGCTCTAAACTGAATTACAACCAGCAATACTGAGGTGAACTGTTGGGCGGAATAGTACTCTAGAACTGTGTCAGTAGGCTATAGAACCAATCATGAAAAAGGCAAACAATGCATTAAGCAAAGCTTCAAACGTACTGAGCATAAGTACTTAAGAATGTTAATCTGTAAGTAAAAGTCTTATGATACTTCATTTTCTTTTGGTTCTTGGTAATTTTCTTAGTATTGGGAAGGGCTCTTTATTTCAAAAGCTGAAAGAAAGCAAAGGCACAATCCCTAGACAATGGCAGAGCTTCTCTCAAGATGGATTTTCCTTCCATTATGATCTTTGTGTAGCCTGATGTTACAATAAACACTCAGTAGCACATTCCAGCCCACAGAATCTGCCAGCACACATAAACACTTCAATCTCTTTGCTTTTACGATAAAGGCTGGCAGTTGATTCACACAACAGTTTCAAGTATGGTTTTAAATTCTAAAATCTGAGATATTTGATTTCCTTTTAATATTGCTTAAATGGCCATTATGTCTTTCATAGTGACTGAAGACATGCAAAGTCTCACCTACTTTGCCCAATTCCATGGGATTTTTTACAGGCTGGAGTTCATGAAACTCCCATTACCACTTGTGTAGCTCAGGGACAGTTCAGAGGCAGTGTGGTGTTAGTTCAAAAAATTAAAAATCTACTTTATCATTTGCTCACTGTACTCCCTCCTACACCTGGATCTAGCTTTGTGCATACAAAGTTCTTTTTCATTTCAAATTCAGCACTATTGTTTTGAAGTTATGAAGCCAGATGTCAGCGCAACTATTTTGAAAAATTTCCAAAATACAGAAAGTCATTTTCCACTGGTCATATCATGCTTTAAGGTACATTTTAGAAGTAAAACCCTCTTATTTCATGAAGGTAATTCATGAATGTAACACATGACTATGTGTACTAAGCAAAAAGCATTCATATGAAACTGTAGGAAAGAGAAAAGTGAATTCTGTAGGGAAGAACCAGGCTCTGTAAATTACTCAGCAACTGCTCGTTAATACATGCCAAAGGGACTAGATCAACTTACGGATGATAGTGCCACTGACACCAAGTCAGGGTATTACAGTGTCATTGTAGCTTCCACAAAATGACCTAGACGAAGGCTTGAAGAAAAATTCACAGACTGAGTTGTACTGGAAGGTGGGGAAATATATCAGGAGCAGATATCATAAATGCTTCATACTTAAACTCCTTCCCCAAGTCTTTGCTGTCAGTCAGAGCAGAGAACAAAGTGCTGGAGTAGATGCCCACAACAGAAGATAACAGTCTGACGCAATAAATGGAGTCAGTAAGTGAAACCATATCCATCAGAGACAAAAATATGGCTGAAATAAATACCTGTGCAACTAGAAAATAATACTGGATCTATTAATTTTGTTAGTATTTCCGATTTAATATGAAGCATTTGAGTTTATTCATTCCTGGAAGAGTACTTGCAGGATTAATAGCCTTAGAACTATTTTATGTAGTATCAGGAACACATGCAGTAAGATAAAGCTGAGTCAGATCTGGACACTGAACTTTGTGCACTTTACTGAACCAGTAATCCTAACATAAAGCAGAAAATTCTATTACATTAGGCAATATTTTAACACACTTTTCTTGATGCTTCTTCTGTAACCTTCACCTCTACTGAAAGGGAAATCATAGACTCACAAGAGTGGGCTTGGTTGGAAAGGATCCTAAAGATCATCTCATTCAAAACCCCTGCCATGGACACCTTCCACTGTCCCAGGCTGCTCCAAGCCCTGTCTAACATGGCCTTGGACACTTCCAGTGATGGAACAACTACAGCTTCTTGGGACAACCTGTGCCAGATGTCTCACCACCTTAACGGTAAAGAATATGCTAATCATTGTATCCAATCTAAAGCTAGCCTCTTTCAGTTTAAAAACCTCACCCCTTGTCCTGTCACCATGAGCCCTGGTAAAAAAGTCCTTTTTCATCTTTCTCATAAGGCTTTTTAAGCATTGGAAATGCAGTAACATCGGCCCTAGGGCTGTCTTCTCCTGGCCTAACAACCCCAACTGTCTCAGCCTGTCTTCACAGGAGAGGCATTCTAGCATGCAGGCCATTTTCGTGTCTCTCCTCTTGACCCACTCTCACAGGTCTTGTACTGGGAAACCCAGAGCTGAATGCAGCATTCCAGGTGGGATTTAATGACAATGACAAAAGAGAGGGGGAGAATCACTTCCCTTGACCTCCTGGCCATGCACCTTTTGCTGCAGTCCTGGATAATTGGCTTTCTAGTCTTCAAGAATTGCTGGCTCAAATTCAGGTTTTCACCCACCAGTATGCCCAAGTCTTCCGCAATGCTGCAGTAAATCCATCTATCACCCAGTCTGTACTGATACTGGGAATTGTACCAACTCTAGTACAGATATGCTGCATAGAGGATTTTCCTTATTTTCATATTTCTGTTTTATTTTCCCTATAGGTGCACCAGATCCAAAGCTGGCTTAAAAATTCTAAACAATGCTGAATGAACTCTCATATTCTAGGGGCCTGAGTGTGATTGTTTCTTAGGCAAAAGAATAAGAAAACTATTTCTTCCCACTCAAAATAAGGCTGCTGCTGCTAGAAATGTGTTTTAAGGACTGTTTGCCTCTCAGGCAGCTTAAGAATATTACATTCAATTCCAGCAAAGTGCCAGTTTATTTTGTTTCAATAAAGCTTCAGATTTGACTGATTCCTTTCAGCCATTCCTGAAGACCTGGCAAAAGCAGTAGCTTCTGTTCGCATCATTTCAGAAAATAAGTTCTTTTCCAGCCATGTGCAGTGACTTCATAGAATCACAGCATATCCTGAGCTGGAAGGGACCCACAAGAATCATTAAGTGATGATCCTGGCCTTGCACGAGACAACCTCAAAAATCACGCCATGTGTCTGACAGCACTGTCCAAACTTCAGAGATAAGTGTTAAGGCTGCTTTACAGCTAAAAAGGTCAGGTGTATAGGTGAGAAGCCAAAGTTTATTCTCATGTGATGGTAAATATCTTCAATTTATACAGGCTCAAGTGACCACCCACACCATACCATTGAAAATTCAATGGTATGTTATCTTCTAGAAACTGGAGAGTGGAATAAATATGAATAGTACTTAAAGACACATTGGGAAAAGTGCCTAAGTTGTTTTTTCAGAATGCAGCTTTTTTCGTGCTCTTCCACTTGTGACTTTTAATGTAACTTGATCTTCAATCAGATGTCAAACTACAGCGGAAAGGATCCCTCCCCAGAGTTGTTTTCTGTGATAAATACCACTGCAGCACCAAGATCACACTATTTACTTATACTTGCCACATCTTTACTAAGAAAATCCTTATTTCAAAATTATCAGTTAAGACCACCTTTGGACTATGCTGCACTTCAATCAAGTTTGTTAAATTATTGCCAAATCAGACACTTACTGAAACTGTATACAGTGAGTTTGTATCACACGCCTCTACACGTAAAAAGCCTATCTGACAGAAAAGATGGTGCACATAAAATAAGAAAGAAATGAATGAATGAAAAGCAATACTGGCCCTAGAATCTACATGAAGAACTTTCCTTCTCAGCAAAGCTTTAAAGGTACTACTCACAATACAGTTTATAAAAGCAACACTAATTATTCTGTCAAAGAAGCAATATCCAGAACACAAATTCTACCTTTGCCAACCATGCCACAACTATAATCACAAACACACACACACACCACCAGGACTAGCTGAAGGACAGCAGTAGTGGGGGTGGGAATTGGATGGGGCAGAAGAGAATCTGGTTAAAATCCTAGGGCAGCTAGTGCTCACCATGACATTTACACTTAATCTGAGTCATTCATATCGTAATCCGTTTCTTCATCCTCACTCTGAGTGTCATGCAGCATGCAGCACGTATAGAAGAAGGAAGGGAAAAGAAGAGATTGCAAGTGAGTCAGAGCTGCAAAAAAGTAAATTCCACTTACACCTGAAGCATGTGGCAATGACATTTATTTACTTTTACCTGGGACCTCCACTCTTTGTATAAAAAAGTATGACAGCTGACCATTTCAAGAAGGAACGTAACAGATATCATGACAATTTCCTCTTCCAAACGTCCTGAAGTCAGCAGATAGAAGCAAACAATCAGGTCCATAAAGTGGTTTGAAAGAGAATACTGCTTGTGGGAATACAGCTGATCTTTTGGTTGTGCCATGGCTACCAGTAAAAGCCAATGGAACCATTTAAGATGAATTTTCTTTGTTTGGGGGTATTAGAAGGTTACACAGAAGTTGTCTATAACTTATTATGCTGTTAACTAAAAAAAGAAAACAGAAGAAACAAGTCCCTAAGAAGTAATGAACGTGAAGCATGATTAGATGGCTATCAGAAGATACTTTCTCCCATTCTGAAAATCCAGGACTGTTAACTAAAACTGAAATGCTTGTCAATAAAAAATACATATTGGCAGTTTGTTTTTTTTTCTTCTCTAACTCAATCTGCTGTAAAAGTAATAGGAGGAGTTTCTTGTAAGTCAGTCCCAGTACATGAACATGTTATTCTGTATATAAAGGTGGATCCCAGAATTTCAATCATATGAACTTCATGAAGACCAAGTCGGACACGACTGAGGCGAGAGGATAATGCTTGCTAAGAGGAACTATGGAGACAACATCTCCCAAGTCAAGACCCCTGAACACAGCTGTCAGAAACCTCTCAAGAAAAAAATAAATGATTTTTCCTTTTTTTCCCAGTCACAACATATACCTATATACAAAAATTTGATCTTTTAGAAACTTAATATATAATAGAATTACTTTTCAAGTATCGCCTATTAATTGCTAGGAACAGCTTAACTCTGCCAGGACAAAAGGAAGGAACCTCCAACCAAAATTAACAGTAATTACTATTCATCACAGTGGTCAAATGATGCTCTGCTCTCTTCTCTGAAATAATGACCAAGCAGCACACTAATGAAGACGTCTAAGACAGCCTCTCTTAGCGCTACTCCATTTACACAGTTGTAATTCAGTCTCAACTAGCGTTTGGTTTTTGTCTTTAGCACTTATTTTTGACCCATATTTTCTATTACATCAAGGATGCAACGTAATTCTGGCACCTACTAAAATTACCTGAAGATGCACTACCATTCCTTATGAAGATTTTTATTAGGCTCTAGAATTCCACATTTTATTTCAGGTAGATATCTCAGCCCTAAATTATTACCACACACCTCTAACATGTCAACTTTCAAAGTCTTCCTCAAGCATCCTGGCAAAACCAGACCTTAACTAGGGTTTTGAAAGAGTAAGTCATGGCTTACCCAGTGTCACTGTTTACCCCTAACTACATTAATCCTCTACAACTCTTTGAAAGCTTTATCTCAACAGGGATGAACATAAATTACTCATTTCACTAGGAATCCAACATACAGCTTAGAGTATTTCTATAGTTCAAAGTATAAAATTATTCCATATGTGTAGCTGCATAAGCATGCTACAAAGCCTAGAAAGTAATGAAGTTTTATCTATTTGAGGCCTCAATACCAAGACTCAGACCCATTCTTAGCATTATTTAAAAATCAATTTCTTTGAAGGTGATTTTTGAAAAAGCAAGCTTTGATGATTTATCAATTGTTTTCCATCTACATAAGGGAAATCAAAAGCTTTTAAGACAACTACAGATGTATCCAGTTTGTCTGTAATCATCTCATACAAAGCAGCAATACAATGATAAAAGCTGTTCACCATTCATGACTCTGAATACACTTACATTACAGAACTGCTCTGCCTTATGGTTAGTCAGCTGTGGTTTTACATTTTCCTTTGTACAAATTCTGAAATACAACCGAGTAAAATGCTGAGATACTGTGCCCATTACAATCTTATTATAAAGCTGGTTACAGAAATTAAACTTGGTAGAACCCTAAAAACGTTAACAAGTATCCTCATTTTATTGCATGTGACTGTTTTACGGAGATAGCATCTTTCAAGTTCCATTCTCGACAGTAAGATTTCTTCAGCAGAAGTCAAGCAAGAAAAACAGTTTTTAACTGAACCAGTGTTATATGTTGAATAATAAACAAAACCTAGTTTCTCAGCTGTAAAGCGCAAGTAATTGCCAATACCTGAAAAAAAACAGGTACTGAAAAAGTACAGAGTATTGTATTTAAATAATTCAGGCATGCATAACAAATGCATGCTGATTGTACCATTTACAGTCCCTCATACAATGGACAGGGAATCATTATTAGTCTTGAACAAGGGAGGAAAAAAGGACAATGAAATAATAGTCTAGAACAGAGGTAGATTTATCATGACTTGTGAAGCCCACCAATTCAACATCATTTCTTTAGTCCAATGCCCAGTAACTCACCTTTGCTTTTTCACTGGGTTCACTGGTTGTGCCATAAGGAGTGTTATGCAATTCCTTTGAGACAACACACAGAAATTCAGCCTGATCTTCATTGCCATAGTTATAGGAAGAACCAATACTGACCAGCTGAAAGATGAAATTTTTTAAAAAAGTCAGTTGTATCTCCACATAAAACGAATTCCACAAAGTCTCATGATTAGTACAAACATTCCTCATGGTTCAGACTGTAGGCTGTGCCTGAAGCATGATTCTCCACTTCAATGCAAATACGTTTTGATGCTGACAAATACATTGAAAATACACACTCTGATGACAAGATACACACAGGTTATTTTTAAACAGTTAGGGAATTAATGATTCACTGTGAAAGAAAAGACTGTGGAGACAGGCCAGTGAAGAAGTAGCCTGTTCCCTTTTTCTGTTATTTACTAGAAACCTTCCTATCCTCCAAAGTTAATTTCTAAAGTTTATATGCAGTACCTTAACGTGGCATGATTTAACATGTAAATGGCTGCATGCAGGATCCTCTTTAGCCTGAAGGGATACCCATCAGTACTTACAGAAGAATGGTATTTCTATTAAAACATATTTTGAATGAATAAACACAATATTTGCATCTGACTGGAAAACAACAAGACACGGTATGGTGGGACATCAAGACTAACATCCGAAATTCATACGTACTGCTACAAGGAAGTTAATTAAGGAAGTGCTACAAGCAGAAGCCATGTATAATGAAATGTGACACATTTACAAGTTTCTACAGTCTCTACATTGAATGATAAATGACAATTTACTGAGAAAGAAGAATATACTCAACATCACTACTACTTCTTATGCAGCATGTTTATCAAATAGCAGAAATTGTCTTACCTTACACACAATACACTTACCTAATACGCTAGAAGCTTTACATGCTTGCCTGCCTTTCCAAGCCAGATTCAATTCAGATGTAGCTGGTTCATTTATTTTAAAGTTTTATTTCAAAAGCACAAGATAATGTATGTTCTACAAGATAATGTCAGATCTACTGACACAGATCAAAATCCTAAAAATAAAACTGTTGCACAGATACACTGTGTCAATTTGTCATTACCCAAACTACATTGAATCTATCTACCAAATCCCCACACATATACAATAAGACTGCCCTATTTCCCAATTTCCACTGTACCATTTCAGTGCTCTAGAAACAGCCACATAGAAAAGGCCTAATTATTTTTCTAAACACTACAGTTACCTCTGTAAAGACAAATAGTGTGCTACCCTTAGTCTAGCAGAACACCAAAGAGAGTAAAAGATTTGTTAAAGCATGAAGTCAAGATGAAATCCTGATCCAGAGTTTGCACTTAAGGGATAAAATTATTCTCCCAACAAAAACTGAAGTTAGTCCAAGGTTAAAAGTAGCTTCCATACAGCACTGTTGAAAGTAAACAAAGCCTCACTGTACTTTCTACGGAGAGGAGCAAGCACTTCCACAGATGGACAGAGACAATGTCTACAAAGAGCAGTAGGCAGTGTGTCTACATAATGAATCAACTTGATGTCAGGCCTAGGCACTGTCAAAAATTTTGGGAGCCTGATGATATTACAGCATACAAGGCTCAGCTTTCCACGAGCAGCACTGCCCATCAAAATTCATCATTCTCAAATTACGTACTTTTAACTACACCAGAAACCTTCCCTGCCTCTTCCTCTTCTAACATCACACTAGTTCTGCAAAATATATATATAAAGAGCAATGAACACAGGCAAAAATTATCGTCAAAGACATTTTTTCAACCAAAACTGTGTAATGAAGTTACAAACACCCAGGTTTTCTAGAAGCACCGATGGATATAAAGACATTATTTACCTTGAGATGTTAAATCAGCTAATCTTTCACAATGAATACTCTGCAGTCTGCACCATAAGGTATTTGTGCAACACAGAATCATGAAACCCACAGAGTAACTAGTTGGACAAGATGGACTAAGAAAGTCTACTGAAAAGCTGCAGAATCAACTCAAATTTACTTTGTATATTAAGATGATTTGTTGATTGTCTTTCCTATCAACAAAAAATATGCACAGATTTTCAGAAAATAATAGCAATTAAGTTGCTTTAAACCCAACAAAGTGGTACAAAGTTTATACTATACATTACATAGCAATTATAAAACATTTCGTACAAATACAGTAACTGCGCCAATTATTAAGGTAAAAGGTAGGACATTAACAACATTTTTAACCCACTTAAAGGCTAGAAAACATAAAAAAAATTTGCATACATATTTAAATAAAGCCACTCAAAATTCACCTTCTCTGAAGTTTGAAGAATTCAAGCATACAATTTGATTAATATACAGTTGACTCCTCTTCTTGGAAAATGGCAAGGACTAGTTATCAGGTAAGCTATGTTAACTACCAGAAGGAAAAAAACTTCTATACTTATTGACACTCTAAAGAAACAATTGACCTCTCTGAAAGTAGATACCATACAAGACCCAAACATCAGCCAAATCATCAATCCTGTTTCAACCAGGTTGACAGGTCTTCAGTGGATAGCTACTAACAAATTCTTCATAATCCAATCATGTAAATCAACATATTGCATGTAAGTCTTCTTTTAGGAGATGTGGCAGATTGAGTATTTTTAGCCAGTTGGATAGGACTATTAATTTAGCTGACTGCAAAACACCTAATGACATTTTGCCACTACTGAACAGTTGATAAAGTCACTTTTGCAGAATGAGACCCAAGTTCCTAAAAACTCCAACTCACAATGCTCTCATAGGCAGTTTGATATGTGTGCAGTCAAAAATGTAGCATTTGCATAGTAGCAACTGTATGCTAGAAATGTCATTGTAGCTTTCTGAAATGATCAACAATAAGGCTGATGGCAGAAAAAGAAACAATAGAAAATGATTGCAGATTAGAACTGAACTGTTCTGTCAGGACCTGAGATCAGAAATATGTTTTAGCACTCCTATTCCAAAAGTCACTTCACTGTTCCCAGTATTGGTGACAACACTTTAAGAAGGATGCTAATGAACTGGTATCCCTATCATGTCCATCTGACACCACAGTAACACCCCCATCTCACACCCCAAAAGAAGCCACAACACATCAGAGTAATCTGAGGTATGAAAAACAGGTCAAAGGATTTCAGATTATCCAGCCTACTGTTTCTCAGACTTTCTGAAAGGACAAACTGTTTTTGTTTTGAAGCCACATTTGCTTCATGTAGCTTAAATTACCAAGAACTTAAGGAAGGATAAAATAACATGGTGAAATGGTAAATTCCATAGATTCGAACGCTTTTATATATATACACATATGTATATATACATACATATAACTGTTTTTCTGCATTGGTTTATTCCTTCCGTGGCTTGATTCATTACACTCACTACTAAAGCAGTGTGATCCTATTTAAGCATCCCTGTGAGCCCCAACAGCACCAGAACTGAGCACAGGAAAATACCAATGCAACTTATCACTACATAAGGGTATCACTCATTCATTACATACGGATCCATTACTGCTTGCATGACATAAGGGTTGATCGTACTAGTAGGCTGTCAGCTACAGGTAAAAAAAGAATGGGAAAGCAACATTACTTTTATTTTTATTAAAGCAAAAGAAATAGAGGTATTGCTTGATGTGCTAATAGAGATCACAATTTTCCTGAAAAGAAATCATAAGAAGGAACTTCCTGTCTCATAATAAGGAACCTTATTTTTGAAGTGAACTAATCTCATGCCTAACTGAACTACAACAGCTCTCTAAACTAGACACATTTCAGTAACATGCCTATACAGATTTGTTGCATTGTTTTAATAATATTGATTCAAAATCTATATCATATATTTACCAGACAAATCAGCAACAATATTGCTACCTCGGATAACCACTCCAGCCTGCACAAACAGCAGCCCAATGTTCTTCATCTTCCTTCTTCCTCGGCTTACCACTGGAGTTACTCATTTTAACTAACTTTCCTATTCACCACTAGTAATTTCCTTCTCTATTTTGTGATGCTCTAATTCTCAAAACGAAGTAAATTTTGTAACAATTATTCTCAAATACTATTTTAAAGATTCTTGTACTTTGAATATTTCTGCTTCTATTTCAGATGTGGTGAACTCCTTGTACACTAGAAAGCTTGAAAAAATGGTCCTTTCAAAATTTTTAATTATACTACCAGCTAATAAAATCAAAGAAAATCCTCCACTCAATTTTTTTTTTTACAGAATCAAGTTGTATGAATCTAAGAAATGACTCTATGCCTTTTAAACATATAATGCGTTTGTTCTGCCTTCCCAAAGAATTTGCAAAAGGTTATGAAGATACATACATATCAGCTCTTAAAATTCAGCATTGATGACTGCCACCAGGCCTGAAAGAATATTTATTTTAGGTCTCTTAATGCAATAGTCAGACTTAAAAAGTTATTTTTTTTATTATAATTTTTATTTTATTTTATACCTGCATTAATTTCTTCACTGTCCTCCCCACCTTGCATTTTATAATGCTGTCTTTTACTTTGAGCTATCCAGGACATGAACGCATGAGTAACATCACTCTGCCTATACCCTATACATCGCTTACAAGCCACAAGTCTTTCTCTGTTGCCAGAAGTATGAAACACCCACATTTCACATTCCAAATGTTACCTATACAACTGCAAGAAACAGAGAGTGCTTGGTACATTGAAAGCAGATTCTGCTATAAGGCTGGGTAACAGTCCAGGTTTCAAATCTAGTATTGCATAATTATGTATACATATAAAGTCACAAGCAAAGGTTTGTTTTTATTAAGCCATTTCACTATCATGTTATCTTCATAATGTTATACTCATCTTTCAGACTTAATAACCATATATGTTGCAAGAAAAAGAACAAGTACTCCAGGCATTTTGTTGATGAAAAAAATTACAGAGCACCAGGTTCCCAAATAAATTCACATACAACACTTCAAAATGTAGCACAGATATTTAAAGAAACAGAAACTGCCTCTAATGTTACTGAGAGCAAAAAATCCTTCCCAACCTCACAAATACTTGGAACTGACACAGCAATCAAAAAACCAGAACAAGGGGAAAAGGAAGGATGAAAAAAAATAGAGAATGAATGAAGCTACGATTCTCCATTTGGATTTCAAGAAAATTTCCCAAGATGGAAAACCCCCAAAACAACAAAACAGTAAAGCCAAAGTAACACCCAGCATGTTTTTTCAACTTGACACAAGATTTAAAACTGTCTATTTTGTTCTCCCCTCACTCCTCCATATTTTACTTATAAAAACTCCCATTACTCGTTATTCAAATTTTAACATCTTTCATCCACCTAAAAAAAGAGTTAAGTTCTGAGTTATCAGAAATAAAGGGTTCAAACTCAGAACTTAACTTTGGTGGATGAAATAATCATTTTCCTAGTTTACCAAAACAATCCCCTTCTGGATCCTTGAACTCAAAGGTGTATTTTTAGGGCTCCTTACATTTGAATTGTACCTCTTACTTAACATGTATGGATCAAAGGCTGTTAATTTTGGAAGAAAATTTAAGGAAAAGAAGTTATGGTGGAAGTAAGAACTCTCCCTAAGAAAAACTTTGAACTAAATAACCGAGGGATTTTTGTTCAGTTGTTTTTCTCTTGTTTTTACAATGTGGACATTCATAATGTGTAATGAAATACTGTGAATATAAATAAAAGCCAGTCACAAATACACACAAACTACTATGCACTGTACATCCAGAAAAAAGTGGAATGATCTGAAAGCAGCAGAAACGCAAGGAGGCCAAGCATATCACTGTGAGGGCAAAAAGAATGGTGTGACACACCTCACTGCAGCATTTCTGGAAGCATCTCTCTTCCCCTTTCATTTCCCGTGACACTATCAGCAGAAACTCTGACTGCTGAGCCCGGCCACAGCTGTACTGGGAACCTATACTGATAAGCTGAAATACCAATCAAAGCAAAACACAAAAAGAAACCTTTGTAAAGCTGAAGTACATACCGTTATCCAAATTGTACAAGTAGCAGATGAGCTCAAACGTTCAGGTAACACTTACTCGCCACTAGAACAGGTTGCTATCAAGCTACAACTTTCATTTCAACTTAAAATTTACTGAGGCAGTTGCAAAGCCCTTTTTAATTTAAATGGACGTTAAGAATTACTGATAAGAAGACAGAAAACTCCCCATATAACTGTGTTGTAGCCAACTACTCTGAAAAACAAACAAAGTTTGGTGCGTTATAAAAGTAACCATTATTCTCCTGTCATACATTGACAAGTGGAGAAGGCAGCATGGATATAAGACTGGAGGGTGTTATGTAAAGCAATATATAAAGCCTAGGTATTAAAGAGCTTCATCTTGTTGCAACTACCGGTAAAATACAGCTAAGGAAACATAAGAAGTCAATGAGAGGAAAAAACACTGAGTGGTCTAGATTAGTTTTAGAAAGAGTAATTTACAGAAGATCCAAGAAAATAACTGGAATGTAAAAAATTGTCTTGTTTCCACAAAAATCACTACCAAGAACACTGGCCAAACATCTAATAATTTAAAATTCAACCTCAGCTAAATGTCTCAACCTCTTATTACAAAACATATTTTGCCTTAATAACACAGGGCAATTCCTAGCCTATTTAAATTGAAGCATAGCTTTTCAGTGCACTTTAGAGAGATTAGAACTTAATTTATATGTGAAGAGTTAGACAACAATTGCCTATTCTGAGTAAACTGGAGATTACGACAGATGAGAAGGCCCACGAATAGTAACTTTATCTATATCCTGCTATTGTGTGTGAATAATTTTGAAGACAGCAGTTAAACACCATCCTCTTCATACAGTGAACATACGACTAAATTGTGGTGCCAGACTCAGGTTACATTAATCATTAAAACTTACATGATCAATGCTGCTGCTGTCTAAAGCATTTCTGTTTAGCCACTTTGTATAGCTCACAGTTTTTTATTCTGTTGTACTGCCAAAATACTATTTTTTTTCTGATTGCCTGAAGAGGCAACAATTGAAGCTAAAAATCCTCTACAAAATAACTCGGCAAAGTGGGGCAGCATAATTTATGGTAATAGATTTTGGACTGGGACTAATACATAATTGTACTATTCTAGCAGAGCTTTCAAATGTGTTCTTTGGAAAAGGGCATCAATACATCTGCATTAGTGCACCAACAGGTCAGCACCTTCCACTCCTATTTAATAACCACATACAATCATATTTAACTATAAAATTTTGAAATGCTAAGCGTAAAAAACCATTTTTTTCGAAACCAACCACTTGAGCATGTTATATGTGGCTCAGAGCACAAGGACTCTTAATCTGTAAGAATATCACTCCTCTGAAAAAGCTGATGAGTCCATCTTTTTTCACATACAGAGCATGGTGGGTACCAGCCCAAAGACTGCTTCTGAAGGAAAGTATGCTGCTGAGCAGCATGGGCTTAGAACAAATTACAGAAATGCTACAACGTTTGAAGGTATTAACAATAAAACTGTTTATGCACAATATTCTAATCCTGTTTCAAGTGAGTACAAAGGAGGGAATGGGCTAGTGTGAGGTAATGAGACGCTAAGTATTATGAGATCATACAGCTGTTCTGTTTATCTACTTCAAACTATGTGTCTAAAAATATTCAACATGGGAGAGGGAGGAAGTAGGGAGACAGCTGGATGAAACAAGGATGTAATGTCCAAGAGAACTACTGGATGATTCCAGTTATAAAAGACATTATAATAGGTCTTTCAGCAGTTGCACTGTCAAAGCAGTATTACTCCCAAATAAAATATCCTTGAAGGGTTAAGGATAGGTAAAAGATGGTGTCATTTAAGCTGCTAAGAAGTAAAGGAGCTCTATTTGTAATGAAAGCTAGTTTCTCCTGACAAAGAAGAATCTTGGAAAACCCTTTTCCATGCACTAGCCAAAAACCAGTAGTGTATTAAGTGAGTTTTTTTCAGGGACTTAAACAACACTTAGCTTGTGGCATGGCAAACAGACCTGGTAATACTTGGAGTACTGAAGCATAAAAAGCTTGCTCTGTGCCTGTTTATTCTATTTGCTCGTGACTGTCACCACGTTACCAGCACCTTACATATTTTGTCAAATTTAACAACATGTTCTCTTTCACCTTTGTGTCATAAACATTTCTTAAATGTTGCTTTGTTGTGTTATTACAGTGAGACTACACAGGATAATGGGCTTGTGCTTATTTCAATTTCTCCTATTGTAAGCATCAGACACTGAAAAAGGTGCTAGCAGATGAACACTTGTGTTTCAGAGTTAACAGATTCATTGCTCCAATGCAGTTTAAATACTCTGCTGGATTAAGAATGTGAAGGATAAAGCAGCTGCACAGTTCATTTCTTACTTACGGAAATTATCAAAGATAACAGATAGATCTTGCAATTTTACAGTGTGTTCTTGAATGTACACACAAAGCTATTTTTATGCACTGCAAAGAACAAGAACATTTACGTAGCTCACAGCTATCAAGCTTCATATCTACACAGGTAAAATCCACCCTCCTTTGTGTATCAGGTTTTTTTATCTGAAGAACCACTCTTTGGGCCTGGCAAACATTTATCTTCCAAGCTCATCTCTTTTACCCAGAGCTCTTCATATCTAACCTATCATTCACATAAACTTGAAGTTATTAGTTAATTCTGGTTGATTCACCCTTCAACTGCTCATGTGTAGACACTGAAGAATTACATTTCAGACATTGCAGATGTTTTCATAGAATGTCAGCAAAATTTACCTCCTGGAAAGCTGAATTTTTCTTTTGTTTTATGATAAATGAAAACACAAGTATCAAATTTTAACTTCACTGTGTATGTTTATCCAAATTCTGAAAATGACAGAATAAAAAAAGATGCATGGAATTTAATTTATAGTCCTCTTTCACAAAAGGTACTTCATACTCATTTCTGAGAAGACTGTATTACCTATATCCCATTGGAATTTTTTACCTGTTCAAATTTCCAGCCATCGGACATTGTGGAAACCATTTGAGTGAGTTCCTCTTCCTGACACTGCAGCACTCTGTATACATGTTTGACTGGCACCTTCAAGAAGAAATATAAGATGCTCAATAGGGCATGGAATTCACTATGTTTGTGAGTTGTCTGAAGTTGCCCTTACTCTCTCGAAATGGTAAGTAAGCAACACCACTTTGAACCCATCCAGAGCAATGAATAACTAGGGCCATTTTAGCTGAGACCTATAGTAAATGCTATCAGAGCACCCCTGCGATCCAACAACCTAGCTTAAAGAGAAATTTGTCAATAACAATGTAAGTTTGTAGTATCTCCATGAAGACTCAGCTACCAGGGAAGTTACCAGTTACCCGAGTAGCAGAGTTAATGAACAAACTTCATCATATTCACTTTCATGGAGAATATGAGCTGCTATGAGAAGAAGCAACCTTCTCAATCACAGAGCATTACAAATAAAGAAAGCAACTTTGCTACAAAAACATACGACAGGAACCAAACAGCATCTGTACGTATGCTGCATAAACGTACTGTATAAACAGCAGTTATACCATAGTTAGGCAACCTCATCATATTCAGAACATTTAAAAGTCAATGAGAAAGCTATGCTCTACAAAAGTTCTCTAACATAACTATTTCCAGAAATGGTATCATGACAAATTCTACTATTACCAAAGATTTTGGAACAATTACTTAGAATGTGTTCAGTTTTTGAAAGAGATCTGTGAAGTTTGTAAGCAGACTGGCAGGAGCCAGCAATTAAGAATATTAATCTTTGTATACTAGTGGTTCCAGATCATCCAGTGATGGAGGCAGCCATTCAGCATCTTACTGGGGAAATCAGGAAATACATAAAAAAACAAATGGAACCCACTTACTACTTGTCATAGAACAAATAATCAAAAGAACACAAGAAAACAGCCTCACCTGAGAGATTCTGCTGTCTCTTTCTCTAATTTTGTCCTTTACCAGTTTTATTAGAGATGTGATATTGTAGAATTCAGCCTCTTCCAGTACACCTAGAATGAAAACAGTTTTTGGGAAGACAAAGTTAGTATAACTAAAGACTACAGGCCAAAATCACCAACCAGTTCATAAGATTATATTCTCAACAGCTACAGAAAATTATTTACTTTTCTCTATGATAAGGCAGTTCACCAACCTAACAATTCTGGCTTCTTTCAGGTACATGTAATTCAATGTTTGTCTCATTCTAAAAAATTGCCCTAAAAATATCCCAAAGAAAACTGATGCCATTTCACATACAAAACAAGACAAGAAACAAAAAAATGTGCACAGATACCGTTCCATAGCAGACTGCTAAGACTACCATACCTCAGGCCCTGCCTCAGGCTGGAATGCAAAGGAGAAATTTAAATAATCCTACTGAAAAATCTCTGCAGCTGTTAGCAAGCATAAAATTTTTCTTCCTGTCATTTGAGATCTTAGAGTCTGAAACAAAAGCTTGAAGATATATACTGTTTCTACTCACATGTTCAAGGCCTACCTGTTCTCCACATGCAGTATGCTTAACTGTGCTTAACTTATGCTCAACTAATTCACATGGAAATTATATTTCACACTATTTCCCCCTAGTATTGTTAAACTGTATTACTCTGATAAATTTCTTCAATATGCTATCAATACAGTTTTGTTACTGTATGTTCTAAAACAGTCATCCTCCATTAGGGTAAAATTGATACAAACTGGGAACAAGGAGGGAGAAGCTGGGGACAGAATTCAGTCTTTAAAAGCATATTCCACACATCTGAACATGCCAGAACTTCACTTTTAGTTTGCTTTACATCTAAAGCTTGCTTCCTAGGCAGCATTCTTTTGCTTAAAGAGAACTAAACCCAAATATTTCACAGTTACATAGGAAAGATACAAGATCACACAATAAAAGGCATCTCCCCTTGTCTGAATACTTATGTTCCAACTGAGAATGGGGGTTGTGAAATCAAGAATTGTACTCAAAATGCTCAAATAAACCCATAAACTATAACTGCATGATACCTATCAGTTTTGCTTGAAACAGATAGAAATGCTACACTGGTTAAGGTTTGCCATCTTGTTCTAAGTTAATTCTGGTGATTCAAAAGAAGTGAAAACAATAAGCAAGTAGCAAGCAAATGAGATATTTAGAGATGCCTTACCTTCCTCAGCTAGGTCCTTGTTAATAACCAGTTTTCCGTGTCTGAGATAGTTCAGCACTGGCCCAAAGTAGGTTGGGTCTCTGTCTATTAAATAGGCACCTGTTTCATCCTAGATTAGAAAAACAAACAAACACAAACCAAACAAACAACCCAAAACAAAGGAAGGGAACACCAAAGCCCAAACCAAACAAACCAAAAACCTCACAATGATTTGAACATCCAAGTGGGAACTGCAAGCTAATATTCATCTTGCAGCAAGCAGGTATGCAGATATAGTCACATCCCCTGAAAGCTGGATTTATTAAAGACAATAAAAGGAATTAAACAATACAACTGTCATGGTATCAGACTGATCAATCAAATCATCTAATACACGACTTCTCTTATTTGATCAATCCCCCTAACCCCTTATCAATGATTAACAACATTGTTAGCATGAAAGATCTAAGCAGTAAGTGAGAACACCAAAAGTTAAGGTTAAAAATAGCACTTAAAACCAGGAAATCTTGTTTGGGAGCCTGAAGTCAGAACAATGGCTACATTCTAGTGAGCTTCAAATACCAGTTTTTTCCTTTTTCTTTTTAATTACAGGCAAACAAACCTAACTTTTTTTAACTTCAACACTTTGCTCTAAAACATTTGCTTTTGTCTTTGCTCAAATGTACAAATACTCACAGAGTACTAAGAACTGCTGTATAGCAAGCAAGGGCTGTACATGCATCTTCCAAAAAAAAAAGTAGAAGATGCAATTCCTACCTATCTCATGCAGACAAGCGAAGTAATAGATGAATAGATGAAAATTAATGCTCCATTTACCAAACAGACTACAGCGTTTTGTGAATTGTGAAACAGTTCAGGAGATTCACCTGCAGAGCTGATATTCTTGACAAAGAGATAAAGAAGCAAAATTGGTAATTCCTATGTTATTTAGAATCTATATGTGAACCTCTGCAATCAAGATAGTACTGACATACTTGTGCGGGCTGGAGATTTAAGGAAGATTCATAGAAAGATTTCTAACTGATCTACTGCTCCTTTCTACTATCAAGTGGGTTACTGACTGTATTAATCTATTAGTACATGAGGTTTGGTGCAATGGATATCCTAGAGAGATGTGGCAGCACCCCAAATACCTTTTTACTTATTCTTAATATTCTAGTAGTTTACAAGAGATACTAAAAAAATTATCATTACCAATACTGTGGATCATACTCCCTCAAAACCATAGGTACTAGCAATAATTGCTAGTGAAAGAAAGAAACTCTACTGACTCAATCGTCTGCATTTGAACATTAATGCCTATATGGAAAAATCTGATTACTGAACTGTGATATCTGAAAGCTCTCCCTACTTAACAGTATGTAGAGTTCCTAAAATGTTTTCCTGGAAAAAAACATGGAGGATGTATTTTCAGGTACATAGATTTAGTTTCTGAATAACTGCACTTGTCCAACCAGGATTGGTAGAATGTAAAAAGACCACGACCTCAACTACAAAAGCCAAAACCCTTTCTATAATTACAATTAAATGCTTTACACACGTAGACACGGTGTCATTTCAGAAGAAGTGAAGGAGTGTATAATTTTGTATAATATTACCTGTTCAAGAAAATGCTAACATAATAAAATGTGCTGTCAGTTAACCTACACTCAGACTAGACAATGCTTGATGAAGTCTAATCACAATTTCTTCTGATCTAAGCTCATTGTCTCACAAAAGCAAGACTATGCATCAAAACCAGTAGATAGATAAAGTAGACTAATTTTAATATTTAATCTATAAATATATTTACAAAACCAAAACACTTCAAGAATGTGCAATCTACAGATACAACCCAAAGAAATTAGAATAGCTGACAACTGTATGAATTATAGGCTGAAAAGTATTATTCAGTAAAGAAAAAGAAACCAGTGAGGTTGGAAAGGAAAATCCAAACCAGATTTAAAAAAAAGCTGTTTTCAAGAAAAAAACCCCGAACTTAATCATCATCTGAATTGCATTAAGAAACACAGGGCTTACAAAACTGGAAGTCTTCGGAGTTAGGAAAAACCAATCTCTAGAAATAATCTTCTTCATTAAGATGATTGTAATTTTTCACACTGCAGTGTCTTTTCACATCACCTTCTGAAGCAATACTGGTTGTCAGCTTTACACCACTTCAGAGACAGAGAGGTGGGTCACAGAAGCAAAGTCATTAAAAGCTCTAAACGAAATTTAAGTAACAATGGCTACTTCACTCCTTTCACAAAAGGCCTGAACTCTTTTATTTAAAGGCCTACATTATCTGACATTGTATTTTTCTGAGTTGATTTCTATATATGAAACAAGCTTCCAACAAAACCACAAAGGGAAGAAGCTATGTCAGCTCTTCTCTTTCAAATTTCACATTATGAGAGGTCATACACACACAAAAAAAAAATCTCAGTAGTGTCATAGTTTACTGTGGAAGCCTTTCAGACAAGGTGGCTTGAAAAATAATAAAAAAAAAAAGCACACAAAAGTCCTATAATTTTTGCTGTAATAGATTTTTTTTTAAACATTAGAAAATATCAACAGTTAAAGAACTCTGGCTAAATTCTAACAGTGTGCAAACCAAATTCTGTCAACAGGATTCACTTAAGCATCTAAATTCATGCAAAAGTTGCTTACCCAGATTACAGACTCAGAAAATATGCATTAATTAAGAGGAGGATGTGTGTCTTGAACACTGACCTGACAGCTCAGATATGCTACACACTAGCACCAGGGAGCCAAGAATCAAGAGATGAACTGATCAGTAAAGAATATTGTAACCATATACAAATAAGGCACAGGAGAGTGGCGCAAATAATTTACCTCCTCAGCATCTTCCTATAGAAAATTACTTATCACTCCTCCTCTTGAGTGAGCTGCCTGAATATCCTTCAGTGTATGCTAAGCACTTCATATTGAAATCACTAAGAAAGGCCGATTAAACTAGATCTTTAAGGATATTTACATAAACATAAATGCAATACAAGCTGACACAGAAGCGTAGTTATCTGCTCTACTTAGAACTCTAAAAATACAGGTCCTAAGTCTTTCAGAATATTATCAGGACTGTTTTCATCCACATGTACATGAAAACACACTGTATAATCACATGTAATCAGCTTTTTGACACTTTTTAATAAAAACTGTTTTATTGTAAGATAAAATAATAAATTGCAAACGTGATCCAATGTGAACTGGAAAATTAAAAGAGGTAGCTAGTTTGCATGTACATAACTAGCTTTAGTCTTGCTAGCTTAATTATTATGGACTTTGATGTCCCAGCTATGCAATTGCCTCTGTTAACTAGTAAATTGTTTTTTCTACAAGCTTTGAGAAAGTTTGCATCTTCACTGACACAACTAGTGTAGGTATTTTGAAGCCATTTCCTAAACTTTGGGTGAATACCACAAATGTCAGATAAACCTATATTCTAATAAGGTTTCAAAGTTCTCTCTCTTTCAGATGTATTTTATAGAAGCGGGTGTTACTGTATACCAGAACAGCAGGTAAAATTAGAAATAAAACAGAAATTCAACTTTCCTCTGTATTCAGTATAGTCATATCACCCCACACTTAGAGGTGTTTCCTGCAAATGCTGACATTCTTCATAAGAAAATTCAAAAAAAATGCTTGTTGTCTTTGTACATCCAACCCTAAACTGCTAGCTAATCACAGGATTGTTTGTATCTTTACCCAGTTCTACTTTTGCATTACATTCTTCTCTGAAGAGCTTTTTTCTTCATTGTCTGCAAGTTCTAGGCCGTTTTCACGCATATTTACAAGGACACCATTTAGAAGACACCATTGCCTACGTACAGTGAAGACTGCATTTGTTTATTACCACTCTCCCACACTAATGTTTAGTTCAAGTTACAAACACCATGGAATTTTAAGAGGAAATCTTAAATTTTCAATCACCTGGTTCAGCATACCAATGAAAAGTTAGTGTAGCTCACAATAACATTCCTTTGAAAAATACTGACCAAAGCAACTAAATGATCATGTATTTCAGTTGCAAATGTTTTCACTTCCATCTTTATAGAGACTGAAGCTCAAAGGAATCATAATGAACACTTACCCTGATCTTAGTTTAAAACACACAAAGAACTCAATTTATTTATAACTTTTAGAAAGTAGCAGTGAAACCTAATCATTCCAATAAATAATTACTGTCAGTGTTAATATTATGGACTTTCTAACAAGGACATCTATAGTTTGACACTTTGCTAGCTGTATTTCACAATACCTTTGCTAGACTGAACAGGCTTCTCTATTAGATTTCTTGTCTCCATGTATATACCCTCTGGACTGAGAAGTCACTCCTTAAACTCCTTGCCATTAAAAAGTTTCGTTCTTTAAAACTTTTCACCAAATCATATTTCTCCTTGTGATTAGTCACTGCTCTGCTGTGACCTTGAATTGTGGATCCAGTACAGGATTCCAGCAGGTGCACCAAATACATATGCCTCCCCAGTCCTAATGCAATTCTTGGAGAGATTTAACAATCTCCCCAGGAACTGCATTAAAACACTAGCTGAAATGTCATAAATTTATTTCCAATTAATTATCTTCATTGGGATCAATACTGGATCTGGATACACTCAAGTCATACCATCAAGCTCTTGGCTCAAGGTTGTATGCTTGAACAGGAATATTTTAATTTTACATAATTTTTAAATTTCACATCATTTACATATTCTGAGTTCTTATAAAGGCAGCAACATGCAGAGGAACACAGTAGTATTTGGTACTAAATTTGGATTTATATATAATTGCCATCCTTATCATCTGTGCTTTTTAAATATTGAACTAGTGAATTTTTCACAAACCGTGTGGCCTAAAAACTTTGAGAGTCTGCAGACTAGTGGCACTTACCAAAACTACATCAGTAATACAACCCACCTGACAAGTCAGAAATCTCATAGACAAATGAAATGTATCTGTTACTTCTTAAAAAATTACTACAATTTAGATATTTCTTAATGCTGACAGTCAAGGTTGCACTACCAGGAAGACTTTGACTTTTCTGAAACACTCAGTGCTTGCATGCTTCCTTCTTTGACAGATTTGATGCCAACTTCAGAAAGGCATTAAAAATCAAGCATGAATACTACTGCCAAAACCTTATTACAAAAGTTTGACAATCTCCTTCTTAGGGGAAAGTTAAAAGAATGCTAGAACAGTTTGCAAACAAAAAACTGGTATATATCTAAAATAGGAAGATGCTGAAACAAGGAACATATGTAAATTATTACCAGTAATGCAGTAAAAGCATTAAATTAAACAATGATGACAAGGTGAGCAAGGCTCTGCCTGTCTATTTTTATGTATTCATCTCTAAACCAAGATTTAAGTACCATGGAAAACAAATCTTATTCTGAACAGTAAATATACCACTACAGCTCATTTATTTGCTGAAATCTGAAATGATTCTCAAACAGTTTTAAAGCTGAAAGTGACACTCTGAAACATACTATATTCAGAAAGTCAATGTCACTATCCTAATCCATTCAACACTAGTTTGGCCACAGGGTGTGCCAAAGATTAATCTTTCTCCCATTACAAGTGGAAACATACCTGACAAGAGTATGAGACAGGCTGCGCTGCCCTACTCAACATTAGTACCTGAGGGCAGTTTAAAGGCCAATGTGCTACCTTTCTTGAAGCCTCGCAGTTCTTTACAGTAGGAAGCATTAAGGAACTCTTAAAATCACAGACTATCCTGAGTTGGAAGGGACCCACAAGGATGAAGTCTAACTCCTGGCCCTGCACAGCACAGTCCCAACACTCCTACCATGTGCTTGAGCTTTGTCAAGCTCATGGCTTAGGGTCATGACCATTCCCTGGGAAGCCTGTTCCAGTGTTCGATCTCTTTGGAAAGAACTTTTTCCTGATATCCAACATACACCTCCCTGACACAGCTCCAAGCCGTTCCCTTCGATCCTGTCAGTGGTCACACAGAACAGAGATTGATACTGCCCCTCTAGAGGAACACGCAGACAGTGATGAGCCTTCCCTTGGCCTCCTCCAGCTGAAGAAGCCAAGTGACTTTAGCCATTTCTCATATGGCTTCCCCTTCAGAAACTTTGTGTTCCTCCTTCAGATGCTCTCTAAGAGCCTTATATCTTTCTGATATTGAGGTGCCCAAAACTGGCTACAGGACTCAAAGTGAGGCCACATCCCAAAAAAGAGCAGAATGGGACAATGCTGGACAACAGAGCAGGACACAGCTGGCCATTGCATTTGCCACAGCATATGGTAGTGCTTTATCTTTTACTTAGGAAGCATTAGAGGAATGTTTTCCTACTCTCTCCCAAGGAGACAGTTTACGTATCAGCAAGTCGCCTACATATTTAAATTTAGTTTTATAGGTAAATTTAAGCTCTCCATAAAAACCTCAACCAAAACCAAAGACAACTACAAAACAACTCCCACACCACCACACTTCAACTTTTTTTCCTTCTAGCTCAGGAATATTACATTCTGTTCCCTAAGTGTTCAAATATCCTTTCCGGAAGTTATGCCTGAAAAAATGATGAAATTTACTAACCTCACTAAAAAAAAAAAAAAAAAACCTTCAAAATTTATGTATAATAAGCAACTCCTTATTTTCAACCTGTTGGTTATAGGGTTATAAGCTGTTCCTTTCTTTTCCCCAACTTTTTTGTCCATGATGCTCCAAAATTTCTTTCAGAGCCAGCACTATATACTTTATACCCATTATTACATACCACACCACAAATAAAATCTTAAATCTTCTTCCCCCACTAAAAATGAGTCAGAGTGAATACCAAAATATTCACCCACTACTTGCAATCTATGCAGAATATGCATTTTTCTCTAAGAATTGCTGAAAAGACAGAATGCTACGTCTAAGTGAGAATTATTATCAAAAGTACTTTGCTCTGCTTCTTGTAATTGAACAAGAGAATAATGACAGTGCAGAAATAACAAAACGTCAATGCATGAAGATATTTCATTAAACCACTAAAACTAAACTCCGTCAAACAACGTAAAAATATTACACAAACGTACAAACGCTACTGCGCTGTCTGCTGTACTTATGAGCAGTTTTGTATTCACGAACCCAACTGCTTCTCACGACAGCACTCATTAAGCAACACTGTTCAGGAAGACTCCCTCCACGGCAGCAGAGTCGTTCCCGCCGCCCCTCACCGCGGCGCCGGGCCCCGCGTTCCCTTCACGCCGGCGGCCGCCTAGGCAGGCGCCACAGCGGGACCGGGCACCATCCGCAGCGCACCCTCAGCGCGGCAGGCGGGGAGCGGGCCCGGAGCGGGCGCGGTGGCGAGGGGAGCGGGCCCGAAGCGGGGAGCGGGCGCGGCGGGGCCGGCGCTCACCTTGTCAGAGTCCAGGTCGGGGTCGGCCTGGCAGAGGCGGAAGAGGAAGGACTTAGGATCCCTGCAGAGCGTCTGTCGAGTGGTCAGGAAGCATGTGCCCCCAACGTTCAGCCTGACCCACTTGCCGGGCCCCGCGCCGGGCAGCGGCGCCGAGCTACACCGACGGCAGGGCCCGCCCGCGCCGAGGCCGCCAGCCGGGGGCACCGGGAACTCACAGTGGTTCTCCGCCGCCATCCTCACCACCGCCGGAAGGGGCCGCCTCGGCTGCCTGGCCCTCGGCGCACCGCCCACCGGAAGCGTCGGCTGGAACGGCGCCCTGCCCCTTCTCGCCCGCCGCCCGAGCGGCTCCGGCTTGGGGCCTCGGGAGCAGCCCTCACGTCTGCGACATGGCCGCCGCCGGGCCGGAGGCCGCGGGCCCGTCTCTGTCCCATGCCCCCCGCCCCACGGCGGAAGGAAGAGGCGGAGGCCGCGCAGAACCCTACATGCCTTTATTACAGACTACCAAGCATAAGTGAAATCCGTCATCCAGTCACTAACTACACATCTATAGCACAGAGATCTGTCGAGAGGAGAATAAACCGTCATTAAATTATGAGATATGATTAAATCATCGACCAATAGAAAATTTATATAATAAAGCCAGAAAAAAGGTGTAAAATATAGTTTACAATAATTATTCACATTCAAGGCTGTACATCAATACATACAACAGCATGGCCCCGAACATGAATTCAATCCAAATAATTCATATATTAGAATTTAAATAACACAGACTGAACTAGAGGCCAACAAGAGCCAGCAAATAACCTTAGAAGAATAAAAATACAAAAGTGTATATCATATCATTGCATTATTTGCTTCTGTTTTCACGAGTTCTTGGAGGAGGGGAGATTGTTTTGTGGTTTGTTGACGGAGGGTCATCGGTTTTATTTATTTGGGGTGGGTTTTTTCTTTTTTTTCTGTACATCACAGTTACAGCTACAAACTAGGTAGAGCATATTACACATGTAACTGACTGCCAGCAACCTGAAAACAGCATACAACTACCAAAACTGGTTCCTAATTTTTCTCTTTTGTCAGATATAGTTTTCAGTTCTGCTACCATTGTGAACATTCACCATATCAAGTCAGTTAGTACATGGCCATAGGAAGCTTTGTCAAATGGCAATCATCTACATTCATGGCTCAGCTGATATGACAGATTTCTCTATTGACCAGGGACAGGACTTGAGGAAACTGTATGAAGCTGAGTCACAGGAGCTTTAGGTTAGGTGTCAGTAAAAGGTTTTTCACGTAGAGGGTGGCCAAACACTGGAACAGGCTCCCCAGGAAGCGGTCACACTATCAAGCCTGCCTGAGTTCAAGGTGTCTGGCACATGGTGGGATTGCTGGGGAGTCCTGTGCAGTGCCAAGAATTGGACTTGATGACCTTGATGGGTCATTTCCAACTCAGTATATTCTCTTTACTCTAAAACCAGGCTATTGCGTGCTTAAGAACCTCTCCAACTGTTTGCTGCATAACAGTAATTTCTTCTATGAAAGAGGAAACATTCTGAAATTATCAGTCATAAATGAAAACATGCCATTTTGGATTACAGAACTACTTGTCTGTAGTAGTTGATCAACTGATCAACTGATAGACAATCTGCATCATGAGGCTTTGCAGGAGCACTTCCATTTGATTCACAAAACATTTCCATGAATCATTACAGACATTCAGCAAAATTTCAGATATAAATACTGCACCTATTTGTGCCATTTACTAGTAGAAAGAATGATCAGAATCCATCCAGAGGCCACATCTTTAGGCAACTATTAATACACAAGTTCTCTCCTCAGCAAGGTGTTGAAATCAAATGCTTTGTTCACAGGCCAAATGAAGTAATTGTCTTGACTTTACTCAATCGTTCAGAAGAAAATGTACATGTGGAAAATTCCCATAATTCTTCAAAGTTCCCAGCACAAAAAATAATTGTATCAAGCACATTAAATTAAGCATCTTGAACTATGAAAGCTGATTAGAATAATCACATCTTTGTTTCACTCCACAATTCTTTTCAGACTTATATATAGCAGATACTTCACAATTAAATCACATCAGAAGGAGAAAAGTAGAGCACAGTACTGATAATTTGATCTTTTCAGTACTTAAGTACCTAGCAAATGGAATCCTAATAGGCAATATTAGTCTGCTAGCAATGCCTCAACATCACATCTGAAGTAACTCTTTCTTAATACAAAACCTTTACAAAACTGGACTTAAAGGCAAATGGTAACAAACTAATTTCTCAGTTTATTAAAGTAGTTCTAAACTTCTTGTGACTGGGCAGTAGTACTTCATCCTTTTTTAAGCTCCACACCACAGAAAAAGATGGAATAGATACCTTTCTGAAGTTCAAATACCAAGCAAAGCAAAATTACATTATTGACCAGATTCTTCATAAATGATCAACAACTGTTGAAATTTCAAGAGATGGAATGAATCAATAGATTTAGTTTTCAGTAGGTCTGCAGTAAGAAGAAGAGTCTTCAAGTACCTAATTTTTTTTTTTCTCCTTTGAACCCCTTGGATTAAAAGCAGAAAAATCACCTGGCCTATGTGCAGCTCTGAAGAACCTCCTTTGCGCATTTCATTCCATGAACTCCCATGAACCACAGGAGTGATCTTCAGGACAAAGACCTGATTCTACCCCACATCAGGTATAAGCATTTTAAATGGGTACGAGCCCTTCATAGTATGTATGCAGCACCTTTCAACACACATTTAAGTGGACAAACTGGTAAAACATACTTGAATCCACAATTACTTTGTGATGCCTTACTCTATACTCTTGTCACCTTTCAAACCCACAGATTCTACACATAGTCCAAGAAATAGAAATACCTCTCCCAGGAAAGTTCTAGTTCCTTCCCAAAAAAGCAGTAGCTAAGTAAGACTGGATTAGGAATACTGAAGCTCCAAGTGGAGTGATGCCTGTAAGAGATGCTTACAGTTTTCCAATATCAGCATTGTCAATTAAAAAAAAAAAAAAAAAAAGGATTTATAGAATGCAGACATCAGCCTTCCAGATACCTTCTTGACAGCTTACTGCTACCAAGATCTACAAGGCTGGCTGAATGCTTTTGGTGGGCAGGATGAAAACCTACTGAGAGAAGATTTTCAAGGTGTGAAAAAACACAATTAATTTGCTATGGTAAAATGACTAAAAATCTAAATATTACAGAAAACATGTTTAAGCACATCTAGATCTCCACCTAGTTAACAAGCCAATGAAGGTCATTTTGCAGACTTTTTATGTGAGGCCAAGTTTTGTCACGCTGAACAGTAGTGGCACTGTGAATCCCCATCACTGCCAAACTCTCCTGTACGAAGTTGGGAATACACCTGTCTAGATCTCAATAGCAGAGACTAAATCCAAAAGTGGTAGGGTTGTCTCCAGTGGACACAATACATGGCCGAAATTTGGCAGCTGGAGAACAAATGGATAGCACTGCGACAGACTTAAAATACATGTCATCTTGGACAGAACAGCACATATAGCTTACTACAGACACAGATCAAAGGTACAGTGTGCTATTCAAATTTGAGTGACAAGGAGTATATTTTGTACGTGACGGAATTTCTCATGATGAAAAGGGAACACTCTTATGTCTTCCTAAGCCATTTACAGGACCCCTTCTCCCCCTTAATACCAGACACAGTAAGCCAGGGATTTGCTTCTCTCAGGTTTCCGTATGTGATGGGATACGGATGACTACAGGAATGCAGTTGCTCCAAAAGAAAAGGCAACTGCACTGCACTGTCTCTTTTAAAGACTGGAAAAGCTGAACTGCCATCAAGTTCAACCACATAACACAGTTTTTAAGAGATCAATAATAAATCTCCTTCACCCTCTACAAGAAAATATTCAACATTCATGTGTCTTTTGAGAAATCTTATAAGCCATTGTTCTTAAAATACTGCTTCTAGAGAATAGTAGCCTATGAGTTTTTTCAACATTGTAGAGAAACCTTTCTTTGGTGGAAGGAAAATCACATCATAGTATGACAACTCAAAATGCAACGTAATGGTATATGTAATGAGTGAATAAATAGGTGTGATGTTTATACTGCTTTTAAAAAAAAGAAGGGATGCCTTTGTCCAGACCTAGGTCATTCTCTTCTGCAAGGTTTAGGAACACAAGCATGTAGAAAATACCACTGGAGAAGTTTTTTTTTTTAGCACACAGGAAGTTGTGTCATTGTAACATGACAAGAAATGTTTGACCACAAAAAACAGCCATAACTTGAAGAGGATAAAGGAGATCAATATTTTCATTTTATAGATATGCTTTAAGTACCATATATTTTCCCCTTTGTATCAGTATTTGCCTTTGATTTTCTCACCAGATTACTTTATTATCTGTATTTCAATTCCTTACATTTTTCCAGAGTTCCTGAAGGTTTGGCCAAGGACCAAAAACAGAATTGACATCTCATTACACAATGAGACCAAAAAAAAGTCAAGTAATCAATTGTACAAAGTTTTCACATTTCCTTCTCTACCCAAGAAAACAGGTTGGCCCCACTAAAATGCACAACACATGCATACCCTGGAAAGAAAGCTTCCAGCCCTCATCTGCTGAAAAGGTGAAAAACTATCTACTATATCAATAGTAGCCTTTTTTCCCCCCCCATACTAACTAGTTTCTCTTTTAGTTAGCATTAGTTAAAAGCATGCTGGTAAGTTTATTGTCCCTTGATTAATCACACATATGACTTATATTAAAATTTAAACTTAATGTTTAAAAGGCTTCAGAAGCCAACATTTCAATTTTAGAAATTTCAGTGCTATGTTCAGCATTTTCTCTCTCAAAAGCTTTATCATTGGAGCCGGTCTGCCAGACAAACACATCTGATTCATTCACATAATTACTATAGTACCACACAAATCCTGCAACCAGAACTATGTTAGGAATTACACAAGGGTGCAACCAACCTGGCTATAAATGCCATATACCAATAAGCCGGGGGACTGTGAGGAAAGGAAGAGAAAACAAAGAGGTGGTACTTAGAAGAGGCATATAAAAGCTCCCTGATGAAACACAGTTTAATGATAATCTGAGAGTCACAGAAAACTCCAGCCCCATAAAATGCAAGGCTGGTACATGATTCGGCATGTGTGCGTGTGGATTGGTTTTAACTCATCTTAAGTGAAGCTGGTAATGCAAGGTCTATCCACTAGTCTGCAGCAGAAACAGAACTGAAGTGCACAAAAGCAAGATCTTCACAGCAATGATATGCAAGTGGAAGCCTCAATAGAAGCACAAAGAGCGAGCAAAGCAACCCTGAATTCCATTAGGTTTTTGCTTTTCTTCCTTTTTTTTTCTTCTTAAAAGAAAAAAAAACCCAAACCACTGCCCCCCCAAAAAAAACAAAAGAAAAAAACCCAAAAAACCACACAAACAAACAAAATAACAAAAAACCTCCCCCCCAAAAAAAAAACCCAAACAAAAGAAGAAAACCAAAAGCAAAAGGCAAAAAAAGACCAAAACAAAACAAAAACAAAACAAAAAAAAACCAAACCCAAGAACATTTCAGACGTATGCTTCCCCTTGAGATGGTAATAGGTGGGTTGAAAAGATTCCTCTGATCGGCTGCACACGGAGTTCTAGCAGCAAGTAGGGAAACTGGGAAATTTTGGATGAGCTTTCCTATTTTGCAGCATTCTGGTGGTATCTGTGCCGCCAAACTTCATGTATCTTTTTGCACCATTTATGAGCATTCCCACTTGGGTCCATCAGGTAATATGTCCTGTTTGGCTATAAGTGAACAACATTTTAATGATTACTCCAAACATAGTTTAACCAAAAAGCAGTAGTAATTCTGCACCAACCAATAAAATAATTACTCAGAATTATCTCGTTAACTTTCTGAAAGTTAAATTCAATTACAGCTATATAACATTATGCATTACTGATTAACCATTTTAAGCAGTCAACTGACAATATATTATACACCTCTCATGATTCACTACATACAAGAAGGGCTAAATGTTAAGTCATTAAGAAGGTGCTTCAAAGCCCAAAATCCACTTATGGCTAATTTAAACACTAATAATTAAAATACAGTTGTATTTTTGTGATAAACATGTATGTCAGAGTGAGATTTTGTGTGATTTTTTGTTTTGTTATTATTCAGTTTTGTTTGGGGGTGTGGATTTTGTGCTTTTTTTGTTGGTTGACGTTGTTGAGATTTTTGTTTAGTTTTGTTTTAAATTAGGACTATGAAATTTTGTATCAAAAAAAACCTATACTTTATTCAGAAAAATCTTTTTGATAACTTACAGAAATTGCCCAAGGACCTTAGAGCAATTTACAAAGAAAATTCAAAAAATAAACTTACCGTGTGAACAAAAAAGGTCTTAAAATTCTTGGCTTCTGGACGCAACTCTAAAGACCATGGAATTTCTCCTTTTAGAACTTTGTTGACAGGATCCACATAATACAGGTGGGGCCCTTCCGTAAGCAGCAATTGGCGCCGACGTGCAAACAATCCCTAACAAGAAAAGTAGAAGTAGCAATGCAAAAACAAACAAACAAATCCCAGCAAAATCCATGAGGGAATTAAAAATGTAAATTTACACATCTCTGAACTGAACAACACAGGCAGGATAAAACCAGCTCAGTGCTAGGATGGTATATTTGGGTTCAGGGGCTGTCTTTAATTTTACTTTACCTATTTGACCTCACTCCTTTTTTAGGGTGTTGCAGCGCATTATTCTACTACATGGCGAAACACAAGTACTATTTTAGGAAAGTATGTTCAAGTTCTAGCAAAACCTGAAACGCCAGGTGGCACAGAGTGAAGCAGAATCTATTTCTCAAAGAAATCAATAGTCATGATTTTGTAGAAAAGACTACGAAGAAGCAGGTATTAACTTAGATGAAAGAGAACCTTCTTTCCACTAAAGCTGATGCAGACTATCTGTAGTTGATTCTGTAAGCTGCTGAAATTAACACTTAAAGCTGTTCTAACATCACCTCTGCCTCTTTCAGGATAAAGGCACAAAGTCAGATCCAGGAAAAAAAGCACAGTTGAGAACAACACTGATAATTTTTTGGTTCAAACCACATTCAGATATGCACCAAGAAAGTGTTTATTAGATTATATCAGATTGGGAGGAGGAGGACAAGCAAATCTCATTTGCTGCAATCTCAAAATGAAAGCAACAATAGCAGATTTACTTCGGCTTTTCCAAGAAATCAAGAGCACATTACTAAATCAAGAAAAAAAAAAAAATCAATCTACTCACAAGAAAACACTGATTTTTTAGAAATAACTTGTTTATAGGTGACAAATTGTTTAAACAAGGAAGCTTAAAAACAAGCTGCTTATCTGTGCTGCAGCTGTGCAAAAATTTGATGGCTCAATCTTGTTACAGGAAATTAAGAAAAGCCCTTACCTTTCTTTTGTCCACTGGACCCATTTTTAGGATTAAGTTATTTTCTACAAACTGATGCCTTAGAAAAAGAAAAATAACTATTACTCCGGAAGTAATTCTCTCACAGAAACAGCTGTAATGATCAAGTAGTTTTTCATGTCACTCCCTAGCATGTCTTTTTCCATGAGAGTCCTGAACAACTTTAGTACGTGAGTTTTGGACTCTTCCTTAGCCCAGACCAGTGAGGTTTTTTTAAAATTTGACAGGGGGTAAACAAAATCAAAACCAAACAAAAAAACCAAAATCAAACAGAAGAACCTAAACCAAACAGAAACCAACAACCCAAACAAACCAACCAATCAAAAAAAAACCCCCTTAGCTCCCCCCCCCCCCCCCCCCCCCCGTTCCCACCAAGGAACAACAACAACAACCAAAATTCACACATGAGAGACTTCTCTAAAGAGTGAAAAGAAATGCTGTTCATAGTCTGGAGGCATTCTGGTTAGATATCCACAGAATATTATCATGCAAAAAATTCCAACAACTTATGGCATCTGTAAAAAAGGAGGAACCTCTTCTAGTTTAGGACTGTAGTGCGAAGACTCTGCAGCACTGGATAACATCATTCTGCCTATCTTATAAATACACTCTACATCATCTTCTAGACCTTGTAAATTTTAGAAATATAATATTAGGGTTTTGCTGCTATTGCTTTAAAAATAGAAGCCAAGAAAAATCTAGTTGCTAATTGTTTACTTGAAAATACTAAGATTGACAAATATTAATTTGAATCAAAATCACTTATTTTCCAGGATTCTTTATTGCTGTGCAAGTTATTTAGCTACATCCAAAGATCCTACCAAGGATTTCCACCAGCTTGTTTTGCCAGAAGTAACCTCTTTTCGTCTTCAGAAAACTGTAAATCCAGCTCAAAAGAATTGTTGTCAAGATCATGAATATACTGTTCAATATTTCCTCCTGATGTCTGTGGTGTACTTGTCTCTGCAGCAGACAGTGAATGGGAAGAGGCAGAACTAGAAACTTGCATGCAACCGAACTGACTCAGGAGATTGTCATACTAAAGGAGGAAAAAAAATGAAGTAATTAAATGTCTTTTATTAAAAAGTTTATTTTGCATTAATCTGTGGCTTTTAATTTAAGCATGCTTTAATTTATTTTGCTTTTGGGCCAAATCCCATCTTACTCCCTATAGATCAGCAGGATTCTATGCAAAAAAGTATGATTGATCAAAAGCAAGCCAGCCTTAAATACTCACTTTATCAGAAAACAAATGCTGATTTAAGTAAAAATTTAACCAGCAACATTTATTACATTCTTAATAATTAAAATATAACTAATTCATAGTTTCAGTAAAAATATTTATATTAGTATTTATATTATTTCTTTATATTGGTATTCAATATTTATGCTATAATGGAAGTCTCAGGCAGCATCAGAGCTGAATACAGCAGCAGACAAACATACATTTCCATAACAGTCTTCATCATCCTCTGACATAGCAGGTAAATATGCTGTAAGTTTAGGGGGTGTCTGAAGATGTAGGTTCTCCCACACAATGGATTCAAAGAAGGGGTGAGCCTTAAGAGGTCCATATCCTCCCATTTCTTCACAACCTAATCGGTTGGTAGCATCTAGAACCTAAGCAAATTAAAATTAAGTTAAGCTGCATAAAATAATGAGAAAGGGCAAGCATTATTCACATTTGCAAAGCACCACATGAAAATGCAAAACCAGTCTGTCACCCTGCCCTAACCATACATACCTATACTATAAGGAGGTTGTTTATAATAAAAGATGTTATTTGTCACTATATCTTGTCAACAACATTATGTATTAGATCATCTCACAGATCTAAGGATAGGAGCACTTCTTTAAGTTGACACAATTTTTTGGTTTTGCTCCTTTGTAAAGACTGAAACAAACATACAGAGAAGGCCTGATGAAGCACACTTCCTTTTAAGTTTAGTCCACCATCACATTCTAGTGATGCAAGAAGCTGTGGAAACTACAGGTGGTGTTAAACATCAGCCTCTCAAGGACCTCAAAATGACACACTTCTCAGGATACAACTAGGTTAATACAACCTGGACTTCACCATTCAGGAGATGCTGGCTTGGCCATAGAAGCGGATTTGGACACGGGAATGCACTAATAGGCCTTTTAGGTTGTATTTATCATCATCCACAAAGGTTAGAGTTTCCTCCCCATTCCCTGCTAATATGATAGACTGTTGAACTGAAAAAAGCTTATAACACCTAAAATGTTCTCTGCATATTCACTTGAGTGTCATGACTATAATCTCACTGATGGAACAGAACTACTTTTTCTTCCTACTAGTCAAACCTTCACAGGCATAGTAATTCTTAGACTGATACTATTGAGACATGTTAAGTGCATATTAAAATGCAAGGCAACTGGATTTATATTGTAATGAATATATCTGCCTGTGACGTACAGGATGCTGTTTTTAACTAAATGATCCCTTAGACAACTCAAAACCAATTAATCTGAGAACTATGTAAGCCTAAGTATTTGAATCTTAATTTCTGTTTGTAATGCACAGTATCTAGAATTGTTTGCTTCCATTTCACAGAAAGACATTCCTTGTCCTTCTAACAATTCTTGTTAGAATTCAGATTTAAAAAAAAATCAAAGTGCTGTTTAATAACAGATATTGATTTTCAAGAGAGTCCCCTACACAGTCAATAATACTCACAGATGTTCGTATTATAAGATTTGCAAGAGTGCACAGAAACTTTCAGAAAAGAGAACTACATAAGCTGAATGCTTTCCAATGTCATCAAACCATTTAATGACAAATCAATTTCAGTGATACCTTTTGGTTGAAGAAGTTAGGCATTTAGCTACTTGGTCAGTTATTTAAAAAAAAAAAAAAAATCAATCAAAACGAGCATAGCACATTCAAGAAGAAAAGCACAAATATTTACCAACAGCTTTTCCACAAGGTCTTTTGCCTTGGGAAAAAATTTCTCTGGGAAGTCATATTCCAACTTTATTATCTTCTGGAATATAAGATATTCATTTCTGCAGAAGAGAAAAATATTAACTCTTGTTATTGGTTCTCCATGGTTCTTTCACCTTAACCTGAATAAACCAGACAAATATTAAACAAAAAATCTACAAGTTAAGTTACGTTCCTGTGAATCTTCCAAGGGTGAAGGGGTACTATGATCCTGTAAGCACCAAATACTTGAGAAATAACAACAAAAGCTCAAATGACTCAACAGAGAGTGTTGAGGATATGCCTTATAAACCTCTTCACGTACAGTTATATAGTTACCATCATGGCACAAATTACACGTGAAATTCTAGGATAGCTTAAAGGAATCTCTCCGTCAGGAGCTCTAGTTATAACTGTCTAAGCAACTTCATTGCACCAAAAAGGACAAATAAAAGCAGCATGACATTAATACCAGCTCTGCATTATGAAAAATACTTCAGAACTGCTAGTACAGTAAAAATCCAATCAGAGGCAATATATTTATGATCCACATGTAAATAATTAGCTCAGATCTCTTACCCAGCTCTAAATGGAGGCAATCCAGCTACAAGTTGATATATTATGCATCCCAGAGCCCAGAGGTCAGAGCTTCAAAGCAAAGAGGAAAAAACACAGAACCTTTTTTGTAAAAGAAATCTTTAATATGAAATCTAAAAGAAAAATTCTTAACTTTTTGCTACTTAAAACACAGCATGAACCCAGTGGACAAACTTGCTTTGTATATTTTCCACATTATTTTTACTTAAGCCCTTGACAGAAGAATAGGCTAGTAACACAACTTAGAAGAAGAAACTGTAGAGTAATAGTCTCACAAAAACTGACTCCAAGCACAAGTGGAAGACAGGTGAATTTTCAGTCCAAATAATGGGTAACTAATGACTTTGAAAAGAATATTGATTATCCACATGATGATTCAAGGATGCATCCAACTTCATTCAATATATGCCCCTTCAGATTCAAAATACTTTCCTCTTAATATTTGATTTTAAAAAAGAGAATATATTACAGTTTTTTATCTTTTTTACTTAAAGCTTTTCTTAAGACACAAACAGAAAGACAGGCTATAATGATACGGAAAAGCTATGTTCTAGTGTGGTAGGCAAAAGAAAGTTATGCTTTAGTGTGTTGGCCTGAAAGAACACTTTTAACTTACTTTACCTCAAGGTAAGCTACCCATAGATTTGATTAAAGCTTCAAAACCCTCATGGAAGACTAAAATACTTAAAACTACTCAAACTAAGAGTTTTCTGTACAGGTGAAGCATTATGCAACTTCTAAAAGGAGATGATATTCTAATTAAATCTTTCCATTGCCAAAACAGTCAAAAGCTCTTCACTAAAAGAAGATGTGAAAAGTCTGATAGTATCTCTATCAGAAAGAAATGCTAGCACAAATTACTACACCTATTCACCTAAATGATCCTTTTAACTTCTGATTTGTCAGCGACTAGCTTACTCTTCCATCATTGTAGTAAAATAGATATACACATTCAGTAGGATACCATCAACAAACAATTTTAATGAGTTCAGAAATTTCTGAAGGGCATCACTCATACCAGGCAGACAGATAAGCTTTAAAATGTTGCAAATCCTAAGTGCAGTTTAGGAAACATAACTGCAAGTTGATCTAAATACAAGTCAAAGAAAGCTGCAGCCTTCTCCTTAACGGAACAGCATGTGACATTCTGTTGTTCCTACAGCAGGAAATACCATATTTGAGCAATCTTATATAAAATGGAATAAAAATAATTATATTACTTGGATAACAGATTTGTCTGATTTATTTATGGGTGAGAAATCCAACTTCACCTTACACACCTCCTTCTCAAAAACACCTAATCCTGTTAGTAGAACCCAAAAAAGTAGATAAACTAAGGAAGCTAGCCCTCAGACAAGAAGCAATACTTAATAAGAAAAAAATTTTCAAGCTCTGTTAAAATATTCAAGCATCTTGTTTCTTTAAAATACTAAGCTGTCTTGCTTGATTTATCCACTCCTCCCCATTTGACCGTTTCCTGATAGAGTCAGTAAAGTTCTGGAATATAGAGCCCTCACCTTTTACAGGCAGATTTCTCTGTCAGCAGTTCTGGAGAAACATACTGTGCTGTCCCTACAAATGAGTTTGCCCGCGCTGTTAAGGAAAGAAATAAGCAAACATATACTTATGCATAAGCCAATACTCCCCTTCCTCCCCTGTCGCCACCCAGTTTAAAAAAAAAAACAAACCCAAAAGGCAATCCACTGTAAGTTACATAATGCTGCAAAGAACCCATGAGAATTTAACTTCTTTAACTATACACAAAACCTGCTTGGAAGAAACAAATCAATCTCAGGGATACCTGTTTGGTTCAAGAAGCTAGGCATTTAGGTACCTAGTTATAAAATCTACCAACACAAGTTTGCTGCAGTTAAGAAAAAAAAGTCAATTGAATTCAGTTCAGCCTAGTGCTTTTTTCAAGCATTGTTTGCAGGATCTATTTACAGGCTATTAGTTACAACTGCAGACACATTAATTCTACTACCTTCATATTTGCGCAATTCTTTCAACCACTGGAGTTAAACACATAAGCAGAGTTAAAACATACTGTATCAGGTGAGCCATGGTACCTATTTGTTTGCATTCTTGTCTTGTAAATGAAAACTAAGCAACCTGAGTAGTTCAACTTCCCAGTCTATTTGGTAATCTAGCTGGTATTCCACTACACCAAACACTAACTCCTCTGATATAATCTACATAGTGACAGTCAAAACTGTTTCAAGGTCCTTTAGTGATTTAGGTGAGGTAATGCCATCGGAAGGTTACAATCTGGTAAATAAAACACATGTACATTTTCAAAGGATGACTTGATATAATTACTGGTGTCACATAATGAATAATGGCAAACCTTGTCTGCTATCTGCAGATAATACTTTTGCTGTTCCAAAGTCTGTTATTTGAATGTGCATATCTTCATTTAATAAGATGTTCTCTGGCTTAAGGTCCCTGGAAAAGACAGATTTTTATATTCAAACAGCATACAAATTAAAGTTGAAAAACTGTCTAGTGACTGAGGTACATAATGCTATAACAAATGATGCAAACATTCTATAAACATTGTTACAACAGCTTCTCTAACATGTAGCTGTCAACCTGCAGACAGATTTTGTTAAATCCATTAACATTTTTTTTAAACATCACGTAAATAATAATCTCAAAACTATGCTGCTGTGCATGTCACACATTCAAAAATTTCAAAAACAAAACAAATCCCAACAAAAACCCCACCTCACAAAAACACACACTAAACCCCAAGCCCATTCACTCCAAAGCCTTAATTTAAATAACATCTGACAGACTGATATGGCATTAAGATTTTCTACATCTGTTTCCTCACTGCAAAACTCCAGTTAGTCAAACACTGGCAAACCCAGCCCCAACTAAATGTCCTGACCAGGTAAGGTAGATCACCTCCACGCATAATCTGCATTTCAAATGCATGCCTACTATTTGCATAGGCATAGCCTCTGATTCCGAATAAAACCAGACTTCACAGCATCACAAACACAATAGATAGCAGTACAGAGTTAGATGTCAAGAACTGCATTAGAAACAACTTAAGAGCATTCAGTTACACTGATATGATATGCCTTTGCATCAAGTTTCCTTAGCTCATACAAAAAAACCCTACATACTTCCCTCCTAAGCCGAATCTTTGAATGCTCATAAAGAAATCTAGGAGCATGGGAGTTGTTTTGTTTGACTGGTAAGAAAAAGCTAGTAAAAACTGAAAGCTGTTTCTGTCAATCACTGTGCAGCACTATTTTCTTCAGATTAAAGTCCCCTACTATGGAAAAGTATGAGTTGTACAATTTAAAGTCTGAAAACTAACACAGAGAGCAACAAGCCATAAAAATCCTGTTGATTTTCCTGTGCCTGTCCTATAAGAGAGGTAGAAAGTACATAAATGGAATGGATTCCTTAACAGTTTTGTGTAGAGCTTTTTTAAGACATGTATGTATGTAGATATATTGTACTCTATACATGCTTCATATATACTGTTTATATAATATATCCTTTACCTACATTAATACTGGATTATGGATCTATGGCTATATATATAAATACATAGAGATATTTGTAATAAATTTTCCAGGGTAGCCTGACATCTTAAAGTGGTTCTATGTCATGTCCTATTTCTTCAGGCAGTAAAAAATCCCAAGAGTTTTCAAGCATTCCTAGAGCTGTGTCCTCATCAACTTCATACTAAGTTCTCCAATTGCACAGTTTTCCTGGTTTTTTTTGACCTCCTCATAGGGTCCTTCATATAAAAACAAGTATAACGCAGCTCTTCTCCAACAGGAGGTTTCCAATATAGGGTTAGTAACACTGACAATCATGCCACATTCATTTTATAAGCATCCTCTCAGCCTAAACACATGAACTATAAAAGCAAAGGGAAACTAGAAGTTCCTGAACTTTTCCCCTGCCCCTGTAGAAAGTATTGTGCTTTCAGTATGCTCCACATCCATCCCTCTTAGATTCAAATTATTTCACAAAAACTTCTATTTAAAAGGAAAAAACTGTTTTTGTAATAACTGAAAGAAATAATGCTATCAGAATTATAACCAGTCAGTTTTTTTGCCAACTAGCATCTAGTGTCCCATGACAACTGCTTGGTAACCTAAACACAATAAATTTCTTACCCAAAAAGAAGTTCTGCAGGTCAGATGTCTAGCACTTAAAGCTTTAGTTAATAAACATGAATGACAAATCATTACCATCCAAACAATATATTACATCAAGAACAACTTCGTAAGTACTTCTCAAAACTTCACTAATTTCACCACTTACCTAATTATTGTGCAGCTTTGTGGAAATTGTTTACTCAGTGAAAACTGATATAGATTAATTTTCTTGATTATATAGTACACATTAAGCCACAGACAAAAAGAATTCTAGTTACTTTTGCAACATAACAGCACAGGAAAAAAAGTAGTTAAACAAAAAGTCAGTTTCTGGTTTTCAGGCCAACCAAAGAAGCTTAAAAGACAAACTTTTGGTAATGTTAATTCAAGGCCAGAAGGTTTTCTTACTTTTTCCTGCTCCAACAGTTGGTATAACAGCGGTTGGCTCTCCTCCTCAAGTTTGCTATGCTTAACTACTGATGTTAACTGTGCTAGGGCTGATCAAACGCAATTTGTGCTCTTTAGCTTTCCACAAAAATCCAACTTTGCTTTTAGTTTCACAAAGAACATTTTTAGGAAAAAACCCACCTCTTACACGATCAACTGCATGTCTGTCTCAACTCTGTATTACCTGTGAATGATTCCTTTGCCATGCAAATACTCCAGGGCTGATACAATTTCAGCAGTATAAAATCTTGTACAGGTCTCATCAAATGAGCCAATTTTGCGTATATACTTCAGCAACTCTCCGTTTTTGGCATAGCTAAGTCCAAAATCTGAATGTAACTTAGTTAAGGGTTTATCTCTAAGCCACTCCAAAACAAAAATCCCCACAATCTTATTCCAAAGAGAAGAATACTACTAAAAATACATGAACAACAGGGAAGAAGGTGGTTAATTTGAAACTTTACAAGTAGCAAGCCCAAGCAATATCTTAAATATATCATCAACCAAGGACATGGGTCCAAATTTCTTAGCAAAGCAAAAACTACATAAAGGGTTAACTTCGTAGTTTTTCCAGAGAATTATCTGGATAATTCATTCAAATTACATACATAATTGTCCTCAGAGTTATTTACAGTAGTAACTGATAGAAGTTAAAAATTGTCCCATCACCTGGAAAGTACCAGAGCAAGTGTTTACATAAATAATACAAAAGAATTACAAATAATACAAAAGAAGCCCTGTGAGCTCATACTGTATGATATATAGGGCCTGCCAGCACTATTAGCAGCCTTTGGGAAAACCAGAAAACTACTTACTGACCCCAGAAATAGACTGATCTATACCTTTATGCTTGGCACAGCCAATTCCAAGCAGGAGGTTTAAGAGGAAGTTCACATAATTAACATCTTCTTAAAAAACAAAAACAACCCAAAAAAAAACCCCCCCAAAAAAAAAACCCCAAAAAAAACCCCAAAAAAACCCAAAAAAAAACCCCCCAAAAAAACCCACCAAACAAACAAAAAAACCAAAACAAAACAACAAACAAACAAAAAAAAACCCAAAAAACCAAAGCCAACTGCCAAACAATGAGCTTTCAGGATGAAACTGCACTTCGTAAATTACTGCTAGAGAGAGCTGGGAAAACAGCAGCCCAGAGGAAATATAGCTGGCTACCCCTATTTTAAATGCAGGAATTACTGTGTTTTACTAAAGATAGATAGATGGATATACGTACACACATATATACATCAGGAATAAAACACTTCTGAAACACTTCCCATACATCCCACCTCCCGCCCCCAACCCAATTTAGAATTTTAAAATTCTTTTTAAACTTGGATTGTTACAAGTCACCTTTCAACATTTACCACATGGACAATTTGTTTAATTGCTTCCCCCTGTCTCACAGGACACTTACTCTTCTCTCTGAGAGGACCCACTCATTCCATGTGCTTAATTTCTGTTAAAAGTGTGACTACAAAAATTGCATCACATACATCAGGATACTTTAAATACCTTCAGTTACCTCCATCATTTCCATTAGACCACTTTTTAAGGAATCAAAACTGGGCATTGTTATTAGTCTTAAGAAAGTGTTACAGCAAGTTTTAATATGCAAAGGATACATAGTTTTTCATCATCCTGAAAGGTGAAGTAGAGTTTCACAAAAAAAGGGTGATCCAGACGGGACATTACATCTCTCTCTCGTGTCACATACGGTACCTTGTTTTCTTTTATGATATGACGTTTTTCTAGAATTTTAACTTAATGAAAAAAAGAGAAAGTGAAAATGCAAGAGGTACAAGTAAATTAAGCCCATCTTGTTTTGGAGTTTTTTGGTTACATTTAATTAACATGAAACCACTAATTCTGTTCCTTCAACAGGTATTTCATAACTGGACTACACTGACACTTTATTTTCAAAAAGTTGATGTTAAAGGAGTCAATACTTACTGGCATATTCTCTAGAACTTGCCAATTCTCGAGCCAAGACAACCTGTTGTCAGAGGAAAGAAAACATATTGTTACTGGCCACTAAACACAGGCATTAACATTGTTCTTCCAGTAGATATTTGGAACACAGCAAAATATTTAAGCATGTATTCAATATTATGCTGGCTTCAGCAAGACTTCTGCAGAAATTCAATTCAGCTGATCAATGTTTGTTTTGCCAAAAGACTTACACATGTAAGAGTGTAAATACCGCATATTTTTTTCACAGAAGAATTCTGAGGATTGTAATGTAAGTCAAAGTAAACTGCCAAATTTTCTTAAAGAGGGAAACAAAAAGCAACAAGTACACTGAGGAATACTTACAAAAATAATTGTCATAGCACTTTGCTGAATACAGATGGCAAAGATTGAAAGATAAATTTTATCCAATGAGCAAAAGTAAGAAGTGAGACAGAACTTTCAATTATTTACAGTTTGTTAAGAAAAAGAAATAAAAGGAACAGAAGATTTCCAATTAGTAGAAGCAAAGGATGAAATTTCAGGCAAACAGGTTTACATTTTTAAAGAGAAATGCTTTTGGAGGAACACCAGGCTCATTTTCAAGACAGAACTCTATAAAAGGCAATTTTAGAGACAATCTGAAAAGTCTTCTTGCACGAATGCAACCAATAACCTTGTAACAATAGATGAGTACAGTTCTTTGTTTTTCGCATTTTAAGTTTATACCCATTTCAACATCTTGCTAAAATCTCAACTTCACACTATCTTTTTTAATCACTGCACTGGACTTGCTTCTAATCCCTTACAAAATCAGTTACAACAGAGTACTCCAAAATATTACTACACACACTTGATGCTAAATGTTAGGTATTTAGGAAATCTAAATAAGGCATTTTTTCAGATGAAAGAGGTGCATGCAGTTGCACTCTTTAGTACTAGAAAATTGTTCAGCAGTAACAGGCAGCTTTAACTTTCTTTAAAATTTCATCTCCTAAAACCACATTGACATTTACAGTATTTCATCAATGAAAATTTGTATTAGAAATGTTACAAACAACCAGTCTCTTAACATCTGCCTCTCCGCATAAGGAATTTTTGAGATCCTTCTGTGTATACACCTAACACTAGATAAGATGCGCAGCTGAATGAGAATGTTTTTAACTTTTCTGATTTTCATAACTAGGTTTCATCAACCATATCTACCACAAAAGCTTCTGAAAGCAGGTCAGTTTAAAAGGCAGTTATCAAATAAAACTCCACATACACAGAGACCATACTCAGATGGCAGAAGGTATCAGCTAACACAGATGAAAATATATCTTGGCAAATTAAGCTAAAGACTGACTCTCTTCCAGTCCTGCACTGTATCCAACTTTTTACCATTGTATTTCACAGGTATTACCTACATACACTGACATTAAAACAGCTGTGTTCTAAGTACATGAGCACTTACCTGATAGTAGGACTACTTTGGTACCCTCAAGCTCCTTCCTCACCCATCAGATCTGAGTATACCATATATCTTAATTTCCCCTTAACTAATAATCCAGAAAACCACAGTAGATATGCACAAAAAAAAAAGAAACAGAAAACAGCTCGGAGGTACATATTAATACAATGTCTCTTATCAGGGGCCTGAATCTTATCCACCCTATGGTAAGAAGTAATATCAATAAGGAATGTAAATTCTATTGAAAGAAATTAGACATTAACTGGATAGCTTAAAAAAAAAAAGCCATAAAATGAACAGAAAAACAAAAGCATGCACAGAACATGTAAACACATAAGTTGCAAATTCAGACAACAGCAAGGCAAGAAATGTAGTTAAACATCTCAAATCAAAGGAAGGGGAGAGGAAGGGGACATAGATAGAGCAGAGAACCCTTAGAGGCTACAAAGCAAAAGTAACTGCCAACATACCTGGCATACATCATGACCATGCCCCACTCTAAACTTAAACAAATACTTCAGGCTGCTAGAGATTAAATCTGCATTTAAGAACTGGTTTTGGTCAGACAATCACACTTCCTTAGAGCTCCTGTTTTTAAGAAATGCCTCATTTATAGGTGAAGACAAAACCAAGGTGGAATATATATGTACCCACATATTGAAGGAGGTGAGCTACACAACATGCCTCCTCAATCATGAGAATTACAATTTTTCCACCAATAAAAGATATTATTCTGAAAGAAGCCTGAAGCTGTCTACAAACCAAGTAGATTCTCATTAATTTAAAAGAGCAGAATAACAAGTAGAAGGCCCTGCATTTGTGTGTTTGTTTATATCAGGCATGGGTCCAAGAAGTTGCAGCTGCAGAATACAATCCCACAAAGTTGGAGAGTCCTCTGAAGAAAAACCCTGAAGCCACATCATATATATCTCTGTTGAATTTAAAATGCAGTCCTGGCATTAAGTAAGAGCTTGTGGCAGCATAACAGAAGTCCAAGAAAATAGAATACATTCATTATGACCTTGAAGAAAATATTTTTTTAATCTGAAGCTGTCATTGGATATATGGTAATATGAGGGCACCTATTTTTTGAGATAAACACTTTTTAGGTTAAAATATTGGTGAGGATCTTGGGGAGTACAGTCAGATCTCTGAGTCTACAACTGTGTTTAATATGAAAAAATCATATGCTTTTTAATAAGATGTTTTGATGACAACATAAAGATACACACCCCACAGATCAAATGCTCTGAAGTTGATACATCAGAGGGCTGTGCTGCCATCCAGGGAGACAGGCAGCAGAGTGCTGGACAAAGTTTATTCAGAGTCTGGGCTAAGCCCTATGAATTTCTTTACCTACATGGAACATGGCATTAACTTTCAGAGACCAAAAGCAGAAATGAACAGTGTACTACTGAAGTGAAGTGTCCTGGTACACCCAAACCACAACAACTCTCTTGGATGCTTTAGGGAAACCTGTAAATTATGCAAACTACATGTCCGAGCACAAATTACTTTTGACAAGTACTAGAGGCCTGCATCCTAAACACTGCAGTAGGCTGTACTGGAAGAACCAGAAAACCCTAACATTTAGAGACCTACAACCAAAAACCGTACACAACAAGTATCATATGAAAAAGATACAGAAATATTATTGTCTTACAACTGGTAAAGTACCAAACCATCAAATGAAAGTATTAAATGCTTCATGGATTCACGAAGGTAATACTTATGTAACTCATTTTTGTGCAATGCTGTGGATGTGAGATACAAACCATTCAAGGCTACTGAACACAAACATACTGACTGTGACTCACTAAATCCTCAAGGACTAGGGGCTGAGCAAGAATAGTGGAGAAGTATCAGTGTTCTTTCTTTTGAAAGCATCTGGCAGTACCTCCTGCCACTGACCGGACATCACATAGTTTTTTACCACAAGCTCCTAGATCAGTTCCAATCCTTTATATCGAATTTTTTACATAACCTATTATGGCTATCACAATTACATAGAAAGCAATGTTGATTAAACATCCAAGCATCAAGTCATTAGGATACAACAGGACTTTTGATCAATTTAAGTGGAGCTTAAAAAAAAAAAATCACCACCCATATTTAGGACGACACTTAATTTTAACAGTCAAGCTTAAATCCACTAAGCCTTCAAGCTGTTCTCTCCACATTTCAATCTCATCAATCTTACACAACAAATTTACAAATTTTCAAGTTTATCTAAGATATCTGTCACTTCTTATAAAAAGTAAAGTTACCGTTGAAAAAGATCCTTCACCAAGAATTTTCCCAAATTTGAAGTCATCAGGTCGTTTCTTTCGAGGCTGTGGAGGCTGCTGTACTGTATGTTGCTGCAAGGAGTTTGAATTAGATCTTGATTCGGGTTCTGTGCCCTCCATGTTAGATGCCTGTCTGCTGCTGCCACAAGCGGAAATGACAGGTGGAGTGCTGGAATCTGCTTGGTTCCTCACCATTGAAGGAGATGAACAGGAGCATAACACCACGCTTGACTGGATTGGAACAGCATCATACTGAAAAGAGAAAATTAAACTATTATTCCCATACCTGACATAATTACCATGCACAACTGTACTTAATTTCCATACAAAGTTCATAAAAATTCTTCTTTGAAAGGGTTATCATTAAAAAACTCTTTAGGAGGGAATAAAAGTATTTATGTTGGAAATGGCAACAATTTGATAAATAACTCTTTTTAGGTCATGCTGTCATATAGCCATAGGTCAAACATCTGAACACTTTAATTCAAGAATGCTTTTTTTAAACTCAAAAAAATGCTGCTAACACCAAGTTATCAAATTTCATGGCATCTTCTCCTATGAATAACATGACCTTAAATTTCTAGTCATACAATAAACACCTGTATGTACCAGTAACATTAGTTCAGAGATCCAAGTTACAATGAACTCTAAACAAACACATGAAAAGTTTAATGGAGACAAAGGACGTATTTTTAATTTTTTTCTTAGAATTTCACTTTAGTGCACATTGGGGAAGGACATAACACAAAAAGGCAGATCAGGTGGAGGTTTTAATAATCAGCAACACCTAAAACTTTTTTTGAAGAATGCTCTGGTTCATGACCTTTTAAAACAAGGGAGATTGCACTACTTAAATTCTACATACGGCCACATAAAGACAATCCAATTGCAAAACAAAAAGAACAGATATAGCCCAGAATACAAGATGACACACTCCTAAAACTGATTAATGTATTATACAAAGCAAATTGTCATTTGGTACCCTTTTATCAATTTTCCCTAAGTAAGATCAAGGAACCTGGTGAAGCTGCTTTCTGCCCCTTTTGGTAATACACCACAATTAGTCTGTCAGGGACTGCTTCTGATGTTCTACTTGAAACTGGGCAGAAAACACAAACAAATAGGAGAGCTCTGCTAAACGACCACTAACAAAACAAAACAAAAAATTGTGTGTAAACATACAAGAGTAAATATTTAAGAAAGTTAACACCATTTTATCTAACATACATCCAGCAGAATGAAACTATGACTAAATGAAAATCATGGAATCTCAAAACAGATGTATTGTACAACCATGTTAGAGAGTCTGTAACATACACCATGTTACAAAATTAAAAATTACTTCTCACGAAAAGAATTTTTTTACGTCATGAATTTCAATTTGAAACAGTTTTCTGCATTTTAGTCAGAAACCACCTTGGAAGGGAGTTGGACTGGCACTCACTTATGCACATGGTCTTAAGGAACCTAGCTCCCAAAGAAGTGATTCCTCACTTGGCTGTGCTCTGTGCAGTAGAGAAAAGCTGCCTTTATTTACTGCTAAAACTGATATTATTATTATGCACATACATATTAAAGTGTATGTGCTGTAGGTCACAGTTCCTTTTATGCCTTATATGCATATATTTTACCTGACATCTTCTGCAGACTAACTATTGTCCCCAGAATTTTCATATCCCAGATGAATCACTTCTCCTTCAGACAGCTACTCACACAGCAGCCGTGTCTAAAGATACACACTAGCTAGAATTAAAAACAGATTGTACCCTTTCCCATCAAGACTGCAGCAAGACTGACACAAGCATAAGTGCTCAGCAACTGGAGTGACACCAGTATAAAAACCATCCCATTAAATGAAATACAGTAAATAAAACACACATACAGACTAAATATTGGGATCCAAATTATAAACTGGCACCAGTCACAAATGAGGTTTTACAGGTAAATAAAGCAGTAGCATTGCAGGGGGGGGGGGTGGTGGTCGCGTGGTCTGATTAGATTCTGCAGCTAGCAAGATCACCTTGAAAAAGCAAACAAGCAAGAAAAAAATCCACCACAAAAGCATCAGAGCACAGTGAGAAGGGGGGGAAAAGGTGCTGGATGCAGTGTGTTTCATTACGCAGTAGTTGAAAACTAAGACACAATGAATATCAAGTATAGAAAAATCCTGAGGGAAGAGACAGGAGTAATGGACTTTGTAGGAAAAGAAGGTTATTTTTGGCCAGGGTATAACATCAATTAGTCCCCTGACTTTCTCAAAGAAAAGTCAAGATTAGGAACAAGGAGGACAGAGGAACATGCAATAGATTTAAAAGGATCAGTTACCTAAGAAATGACAGAACTATGTAACTAGGTCTGCACCTCAATGTTTATTGAAAAAGGTGATTCCTACACTCGCCCTTTCACACTCCATGTATTCTTTAGTATTTTGTCCTGTGTTATTTACCTTCTAAGTTTTATTTTGAAAGGCTCCAAAAAACATGTCTGCAGAAACCATATATGCCTCTATATATAGGTTTTCATTTATGCCTAAGACAGAATACAGGCCAGTTTATCTGATGTAACCCTGTACCTTACTCTTTTGTAAAAATCAGACTTAAGATCATTCTTCTGCCAGATGCAGACATTTTTTAGTGAGATACAAAGTCAGTAACTGAAATTTAAAATGTTCTAAACTGCATCTGCAATTCTCAGAAGCTTGAAGATGCTCTCCTTCTAGCAATTATCAACATTTCTCAGCTGGCAGTCAATGAAAGCACAGATCCTCACATGGTAACAACAGACTGACCTATTGCATGTCATGTATCACCATAGACCATACTGACAAAATTACTAGATAAGTGGTTATCTCTTTAAAAACTAGTCTTTAACCGTTTCCCAAACCCTTAAGGGTTCTCCATTTCACTGACTTTCATATAGAAGTAGTTTCATTCTTAGTGCAACATACTTGATTTTGAAAATCTTCCAGGGAAGAAAATAACAAATCTGCTGAATATATGTGGCACTATAGATCAACAGTCATTTCAAAATCTATATCAAGTAGTTTTCACTAAATAACTAGAAACAGGATTCCTTCTACTTATACGTGAAGTAAGTACTAATACTGTTCTTTTCCTCACTTGCCTGCAAATAGTCAGAGTAAACTTTAGTAAACTGGAATCAATGCAAAAAACCCACTAGATAGGATCATGTTTTTCCTTCCTTCCCCACCATCCAAAAGGATTCATACCTTTTCCCTCTGCAATTCATCATTTTGACAACTGCACAATCACTAGAACTATTGATGTATTTATATGCAAACACATACCACACTTCTCTAAAGCAACTACAACCACAACTGCATATCCACTAGCTTTATCCCACCACAAAAACTGCAACACTATTTTCCTGAGACCATTCTAACAACACTGACAGCAGCAAAAAATATTTTTATTAGATTAGAGACTGAGCTTCTAATAAAACTTCCAAACTAACTAAAACTTCCAATATCCTCTACGTCTGTACTAAGTGACAGGATGTTGTACACTGTTGAACACTGAAGATGACCGAGAACATCTTTGCTATTGCTGAAATTCTACTAGCAAGATCTATTACAAAGAAAATCAGTATGAACAGGATGCTGACCTCTCAGCTGTCTGATAACACCGAGTCCGACTGCTGACTATTACAGAATCTCAAGCTGCATTAAGACATAGGACAGACATGATCGTAAAACCTCTTAATCTAACTACTTATAAAGCTAATTTTTTGGAAGCAAACCTTGGTAACGGAAAGTATTTTTTTACACAAAGCAACATGACCTTTAAACCTCAACTGGTACATTTGTTTTGATTATAAATAATGGTAATGAGACTCTAAGCTAGAAGACTGGCACAACCCAAGATTCTGCTAAAGGCAGTTTAAGTTAGACAGGTTTGGTCTGAGCTGTTTTGTAAACAGTCTTGACCTTGTCATATAAACCAGAAGTTCTGAAAGTGAAATTTACTTTGTATTGCTTACAATTTCAACATTGACAACCTAGAGTTTTAAAGTGAAAAAACTAAAAGCTAAGCAGTTATATTTAATATATTCTTTTCAAGGCACACTAGTGTTTCAGAGGGTTGACAAAGATGCACCAACTGCATGTGACACACATCTCATATCTGAAAAAAAGCATCAGAAGGGATAAAGGGATAATTACTAGATATTACACACAGCTTTTCCACTGGCCTCCTCCCCTCTCATATCCCACAATTAAAATGTTAACCTTCTGTAGGTTCCCCAGTACCTAGTTGTGACAGTCTCCAGTTCAAAGGTTACTGTGTAACACAGTCACACAGTCCAGCATATTCCAAAAGAAAAAGCAACTGATCAGGTCAGATACTTAGATGGGCCTGAATATATGCCTTCAAACTATGCCTCATAGTACCTAAAATGAGACTGCAGGCAAAAGCAGTGTAGTTCAGGTACAAGAAACTGAAGATACAAACCCACTGATTCAGAGTAACAAAATCCAACTAAAGGCCTCACATTTCAGTGCAGAGAGCACAGTACAGTTTGCACCAATAAATACCAATCCCATATAGGAGCTATTTGCAGAAGTGTAATGATTATTGTGTGATCCCTATCAATATTTAACACCAGTTTTCCTTTCATAAAGTCTGTTGCTGCACCAGAGCGAAGGACCCTCAATGAAGAAAACCCAGAGCAATAATGGATAGTGTGCTTTCATAAATTGCAGTAAACATCAGTTCTCAGACCTTATATGCTCATGTCTATTTATGCTCTGGATGTCTGTCTAAAAATGGATTGTCAGACTTTCTGCTAAGTGACCAACAGCATCCTCTTTATCTTAACCAATTGTACATGTATCTGTATAGAGAGAAACAATGTACTGACTAATGAAACTCCATTGCATGCCAGTCCCTCTTTACATACACTTTGAATATGCTTAGAAGTTTGTCAGATAATCTCAAGAATTCAACAGCACACCTATCTGCCAACATTATTATTGCCTTTAGGCAATTAAAATACTAGCCTAAAGAGAAAAAAACGGTCATTAGAAAAGGTCACTAGATGCTATCAGCCTATTTACTGTAACATAAAATCAAGCATGTAATGAACGAGACAAAACTCACAGTAAGCCAAGTCTCAGAAGTACTTTGAGTGCATCACACAGCTCCTTAACTGTTCACCCACTTAACAGGTTAACTTTGACACCAAAATACATACAGACATATTAAAACATCACAGTAATTTAAAGACATGTACTCTGCTCACAATTTCAGCTTGACAGAAGTTCAGCATGACTTCTGAGAGCAAACATGCCTCCCAAAAAAAACCAAAAAAGACAGGACACACTTTTCTTTAGAGTTCTTTGAAGACAATAGTAAGTCAAACTGCAGCAAACAAACTCCACTCCATGTATTAGTTATTTGTAGATATTTAAAAAGCATTAACACCAAACATTCATCTTGTGATCTCATGTAACAGTGGTTTGCATTTATGTTACATAGAGCTGCATCAGCACTCTTTCAAGCCTCATCATCAAATGGCAAAGATTGCTGTAGTGAATTTAAAATTTAGCACATAAGCCAACAAACTGACCCTTTAACACCACATAACTTGAAGAAACTGGCAGTCAGCAAAACAGTCTGAAGTCATACAATTTGTCAAAATCTATACTTTGATCAAGGTTCATAAATGGTTACCAACTACTATATTTAAACGAACATATTAAAATCTCATAGTTCAATTATAAAACCTATTTTGACACAAATTCATTTTGCAAGAGAATTGGAAGTCATATCTATCTATGGTAAAGTTTTTTGATCTCAGAAGTTGCCACATGAAAAAAATGTTGTTTAAAGACCATTTTTATGAATTAACCACGCAAACTTCAAAAGCATTTGGCTCCATAAAAGGAGTGGGTTTTTGTTGTTCTTGTCCAGACAGACTGCAATACCAACTGATTAAAGAAGTCTAGGCTCTAACCCACCAAAACAACTATGCTCACCCTCAGGCCCAGTGTCATTTGAAATCTCTCTAATGCTGAAAGGTAAGCACTCATTGAAGTACTGCATAAAACTGTTTCCCTCAAAAATATCTTAACAAAATATCTTGATAGAAATAACCATAATTTAAAAGACAATAAAAGAGCTTTAAAAAAACATGTCCTGGTAATACATTTCTAGATTAAAGACTGTACAAATTAATGGAAGGAAAGCTTCAAGCCTTCCCCTATTCAAACTTACTATTTTACCTAAAATGGCTTGTACCTCTGCAGTAGTGGTAAACAGAAGTACTGTTCGTCTACGGTCATTTCTTGCTTTGCGCAGTAAATCCATAACACAGTTCATCCATAAGTGATTAATGAGGATATCAGCTTCATATTATATTAGCAAAAATATAGCCAAGAGGCTCAATGCTTTGGAAGCACAGAGAACACCTCTACATTCTTAGATTGTTTTGGCCTTTAGGGAATAAAGGTATTTTATCCACAAGATCATTTTTGCTTCTAGAGAAATTAATTTTTCACATACCAAGCAATGCTGATCCAAAATTTTAGTTTATGCAAATGCCCTTCTCTAAATTTGACCACTTTACATACAGTGGTATTTCTTGCCACTGACTTCCAAGATTTTAATTCAAAAATAGGTAGGGATTAAAGCTAATGAAAAGATTTATAAGAACCTGCATATCAGCCAGTTACCCTCTAACCTCCTCTACTGCTAAGCAAAGCATTAAGTTCCAATCATCTTCAGAGACAGACTATTTAAGCCCTCCTTCCACTACCTAGTACTTCAAAACAAATCAGAAACAGGAAACCACACAAATCTCCAAGAACCTAAAGTCAGCCTAGGGCCCAAACAGCTATAATGTAAACAAACCACTGAGAATTAATTTAACATAAACAGATCTAGGCTAGCTCACAGGAAAACAAAAGCTGTCTGTGATCGCAATAGTCTGGATCCCAGAATACACCACCAGCTACCTCACAAGGCACACTGATAATCAGGTGCTGCATGGCATAGATGGGGGCTCAGCCTAGCAAACACAATAGGGGTTTCCTATGCCAGGCTCCTTGTGAGCAGCTACAGGAGGAAAAGAGAACAGCTTGGCGTGAAGAACAGAGAAGCAGACACACCAAGGAGGCAGTATACAGATGGAGTGTATGTACGAAGGATTCATGGCACAGTCAAGAAATGTAAATTCCTGCAGGATTACTAAAGAACAAAACATTGAATTTAGTATTTTTTCAGAAGAATGCTCTAAACCAGTTAATCCTTGCAATTTTTCACCATAAAGAATAATAAAATATTTGCAAGTGAAGTATTTACAGCTTGTCTTTTAAAGCAGAAATCAATTCTCAAGTTCAATATTTAGCCACACAGCAAATCACTTATTTCCTACAGCAATTTTGAGTAGAATTCATATGGTGTGAAAAATAAGGTTCTAGACCAAATAGCTAGCTTTGCATACTTTGTTTCCAGTCCTTTCAGGTGCTTTAGACTACAGTAAGTTTCTAAAAGCTTACCTGCAAATAAGATGTCAGAAAGGGAAGTGGGAAGGGAGGAAAATCTGCTTATTCCTCTTTTTTCCTTCCTTATTATATATACATAATCTAACCTGGCCACTTGCAAAGAAAGTTTTTTCCATCTGAAATACCAGAAATAATTCCTTGGCATCATACATATTCTTTGGAAAGGTCCAATATGAGGAATTTGAAAAACGATTTTATCTTTCAAACATAGTGTTTTCTAAATTAAGGTCACTCGCATATTTTCTGAATGCCATAAACGTGCTAGTCCTACACCAATCTGTATAGCTTTTCTGACAAATACATATAAAAAAATACAAGTTTACTGTTAAAAAACAGGTATTACTAAAATATTTCAAATACTCAGACCAAATTTATTTTTATTACTTTGCCAGCTGACTACATTTGTCAGTCTAACAAAGTGATTGTGCCCCTGGTTTCATGCCTTCTGTACAAAAATTCCTGCAAGCACCTCAATAGTCAGCATCCCTTTCCATGATTTTCTGATAATGCTGCCTCCTAACTGGAGCCTGAGCCTGCAGGGTATCTTACAACATCCAGCTACAGTAATCTACCTGTAGAGTTTCAAGAGCTAAATTAAACTTTACTCCTGGCACTGTAATAGATCAATAACCTAAAGAAAAATTTGTTAAAAAAAAAAAAAGCCTACCCATATGGTAGAACCATTGTTTAGTAGAACATCCCTATTATACTCAGATTATTCTGTGGATCATATCCTTTCCACTAGCTCTAAGAACGTATAATGTTAGAAATATGAATGCATATAAAACTGTTCCTCTTAAAACTTCTGATTTTTCCACCTTTAAGCACCTTTTTAACATCCTTGTCTTCTACTATTTTCTATTCTTGCAGCCTGCTTTGGTAAGCAATTTGATGTCTAGAACATTTACTAAAAACCTATCCCAGTTAAAAGCATATACATGACTGATAAAGACTAGTCATGGCTTTATGATGAAAAGAAGGAGAAGAGAAGAGAACACTAAATAGACAGGCTTGAAGGGTTATTCCTACGTATGTATCAGGAAGTTTTACATGTACAAATAACTACAAACAGAACTCTTAATATAGTGTAATCTAATTCTCAACATAGATGCAAAACTTACTCTATGTAAGCTCTGCAGGCCCAGTTCTTTGAAAAGTGTAGTTCATCTTAGTTCCACTGGGGGAACAAAAGGAAGGTAGCAATTTCGTTCAGCCAGGTCCATGACTACACTATAAGCTTTATGAGGTCGGAAACACTGGTAGAATCTAATAACTGCTCGTGCAGCTGAACAGCCCAGTGAAGAGGTTGCTGCAGATGAAGATGTAAATTATCATACTTCCAGACTTCTCATTATGAGAGGAAGGGCACTTCTTGGTTTGAAACCCAATATACTCACAATAAGATTAACAGCAAATAACTAACATCACATTGGAATCCGCAACTAAAGCCTAAAATACTTTCCTTCTTAGAAGTACAACTCCCTCCTTATGTCACATCTTCAGAAAATAATGGAACATTTTAGGAATTGTCTGTGCATACAAAAATACAGAAAACTGTTTTGGCAGAGAATTGCTAGAATGTTCCTTTCAAAGCTGTGCTCTATTCACACCTCCCCTCCCTAATCCCTCTTATGCATTTACAATTCAGTCATCACAGAACTCATTATGTCACTAACTCCATCACATAAACATTAACAGTAACTTGCTCAGTCTCAGAAATACTGGATTTCCCATATTTGATCTCATCTTAATTACAAAAAGGTTAGTTGAATTGGGCCACTTGTATCTGGTACTGCCTGTCAGTACACTCACCTGACCAGGAAAATATTAAATAGAATGGAAGAGAAAGAATTAAAAAGAATTATCCTGACAAAATATCCTGATTTTCACCTAAATAGGAAGCAGTTGCATTCTTAATTTTTCCCCTCTCTGCATGTTTTTCTTATGGGCAAGGACTTAAATTGTATATAGAAAAGGAACAGAAATGCGAGCATTTTTGAGAAAAAAAAAACCAAAAAGATGGGCAATAAGCAAGAGCAGAAACACAAAGGGAAGCATACTCTCTGTTTAAGAGTCCAAGTAAACAGAAGTCATCTCTGATGCTCAGAAGCAGTTTTATAGAGCAGTATCAACTAGCAAGAAAGCAAAACAAATTCCTTTAATAATCAAAAACTGGTTTATCTCATACTCCTTAATGTAGCATTTATGTGTTCTGAAGAGTTATTCCCACAGTACTTCTCATCTTCATCAATAAATATGATTTTGTGTAATACCCTAATGAAAAAAATGACTGAGCATGAAGAGGAGAGCACACTAAAACAGCATGTCAAGAATCAACACTGCTGTGCTATTCTCCACAGAAAACCCTCCTTAGCCAATTCCAACTGATGAAAAGGTTTTTAGTGTTGCAGAATGAACCTTGGCAATTTGCAACTGACAGAACACAAGACCCAAAAGCGCAGCAGCATGCACACGAGGATAAGGAACATATCACTGCCAGGTAGTTTTGTCAACACGAGTGAAAGCTGGTGATTATTTTTCTTTTCAAGAGGGAATGTCTATGCTAGCTGAACTGTATAACTTAAAACACAAAAGAAAATTTACCATTACAACGTCTGTATACTAGTTACAACTCCATCTTCTAGATTTGCCACCGCACACAAACCGAGTTTACGCTGTCAGACTAACGTAAACAACTGCGTTTGAAACGGCGTCCTACTGTGACCCTCGCGATCTTCCTCACGCGTTTGTTCCTACTACAAAAGAAATCGATTACAGAGTGACAGGTAACTCCCACAAGGCAACAACACCTGTTCTCCCGTCGGGAGACGGCCCGGCATAGCCACGCCAACGCCCCGTACCGGAACCGAAAACGGAGGTCCGCGAGAGGCCGCAGTGCGGCCCCTTCACCATCGGCCTCACCTCCTCCAGCAAACGAGCCGCGCTCGGGGAAGAACGGAGACCCGCGGCGACTCAGGAGTGGGGGGCGGAAGAATGACCGCGAGCAGCAGAGACAAGACTGGCCCCACGGGCGGCAGCGCCCGCTCACCCGCCCTGTTGCAGCGGGCGCAGGAGGCGGGGCCGTTCGTGAAAGCCCACCGCGACCCCGCCGCCGCCAGAGCGCTGGGCACGGGCGGCCACCTCTCACGGGCCGGCCCTCACGCCCGAGCCTACTTATTCCCCCAGCACCCCGCGGGCCGCAGCCCCGGGCAGACTCACCAGGGGGCTGCCGGTGCTGGCCAGGGCCCGCCTGGCCCGCGGGCCGTTCCCCGCGCTCGGACTCACCAGGGGGCTGCCGGTGCTGGCCATGGCCCGCCCGGACCGGGCCTCTCCTCACCCGTTCCGTGCTAGGCGCTCGGCCCAACCTGAGCCAATGGGGCGCCCGCGTCCCCCGCCCCTGACGTCACCACAACAATCCCCCCGCCGTAGGTGGGTCTTCCGCGCACTGTGCTCGCTCATTGGTGGCGGTAACTGTTACTCACACTCGGGCCAGGCCACAGCGTCCCCCGGCAGCCTCAGCGCCCGAGCCGACGAGAGGCTGCGCAGCTGTGCGATGACGCCCCCAGGAAGCTGCGTGTGATGGGGGCGGCAGAGGGCGGGGCCGGCGGCAGAGGGCGGGGCCGGCGGCAGAGGGCGGGGCCGGCGGCAGAGGGCGGGGCCGGCGGCAGAGGGCGGGGCCGGCGGCAGGGCCCTCGCGGCCGGGTGCGTGCCGCGGCGGCGGCGCGCCGTGCTATCGGGGGACGGTGGCGTCAGCCCGCCCCCTCTCCGCACAGCTCGGAACTCAAGTGTGTCATAAATGCAATTCTAGCGCGGGTGTTCGCTCCTGAGAACCCCCCGTGTCTGCGTAACACCCGCCGTCCCTCGCCGGTTCTGACAGGCTGTTTTCCGGTCGAGCCCTCTATGCCCGTTAACGGCTTTCTGTCAGTCCGTGTGCGAGCCTGCTGGCCGCAGAGGCCGGGAAGGGCGGGCCAGCGGCGCAGAACACTGCAGCGAGCAAATTGAGTTTGTCAAGGAATTCGTAGAACTGTGAGGGATTACTCAAAAGGATGAGGCAGGAAAAGACCATCTAGTTTACTGAACAACACAGTCTACAAAATACAGATATTTAGCTTCAAATGGGAGTGGCACGGAGGGTAAGGGTAATCGCTGTGTCCCAGGGTTAATCCACTTTTTTCAGAAAGATTTTTTTAAGAAGTCGGCCTAAATCAGCTTTCCTGTATGACAGTTTTCTCATCCTTCTGCAGATGAGTAGAACAATTGACCATAATCTTGTAGTAGGTTGGATGCATGGATCAGTGTGTGTGTGTGTATGTGGCTTTTTATTGTAAGCCTAGGTTCGCTATTCAGACTATCCATATTTTAGGCCTCTCAGACAAACTCTCCTGAGTGTCACAAACCTTTTGCATAACTTGGGGCAGTAGTGCTGTAACTTTGTTTGTAGCTACTGAATGACAGACATTGTGATGGTTTTCACACACGTGAGTTCAAAGAGATTGTCCTGGCAAAAAGGCAGATTCTTTAACATGTGATCTCGAAAGAATTTTCTCTCCTCTCTTTACAGTTTTGGGTCTAACTAGACAAGTATAATAGTCCACATGGCTGCTTGAGCAGTTGGATTTATGTTTATGTCCTTGGATACTTTTATAAGGCTCAGAAACTATCACAAAACTAGTAAAATTTGTGGATTGTACACAGCAAGTTTACAGCTATTTCAAACATCATATTGCCAAGAGTTGTGAACACAAAGAAACGGAAGGAACCAAAAACATCAGACTTGCAATAATATTACATGACTACTCAATTAAGCTCTGTGTGTCAGTCAAGACAGTTCTGTGCAGGCTCATATCCTGTCCAGCAGGGCTTACTTGGGCACATGTGATACTGATTCAGCTCCCCTGGGCTGTGGATCATCTGTACAGACTATATGTGTATTCCAGCATGTATGAGCCAAGGCAAACACAAATCAGGCAACAGCATCACTATAGGCAATTTCCTAGGTTCTGCTGCTTAATATCAGCAAACTGTAACATTTTCCTTTCTAGAAAAGCAAATGGTGCCTTTAGAATAGAGGTAATAAAGCACACAGTAGAATTTAAAGCTATGAAATATCAATATATCATATGTAATCCTTTGAGATGACAATGCTGTAGAGTCCAATGGCTTCATCTGGCAGGGTTTAGGGTACCAAACCTACTGGAAAACTTGGACTGTTGATATTTTCTATCTCTTGTTCAGTTGAAAACAAACTGAGAAACTACAATTAGTTAGAAAAGGGAACAACCACAACATCTACAAGTTTGTCATCAGTTTTGGGAAAAAGGGAGAGTAAAGGCCCATTACTGTTCAGCAAAGGGAGTGAATAGTAGATAATGTGTAATGGATTGAAGAATAGAGCACACCATTTTTCTTCCAGTGAACAATCTAGTTTTAACAAGATAATATTCATTTCAACAAGATAATAGCACACAAAAAATCTGAGTTAAAGTCCTTAGCACGTGTGTTAAATTCTGCAGGGACAGATGAAATTTGCCCTAAACTATTTTTTGGGGAAAATGAAAGAAAACAAAAACACCAAAACCAAACAAATAAACAACCCCAACGGAAAAAAAAACCAAGCAAAATGTAAATAACTGAAGCAGTCTCTGCAATGTTAAAAGTTATTTCTGAGAAGCTATTCAAGAAAACTAGAGGACTTCAGAATGATAGAGTCTCATTTTCAAATGTAGGAAAAGTAAGGCCCAAAATAATGCTACACCAAGTGGAGAAACAATATAACTTCCATCTTTGACAAAAAAGTTTACTTGCTGCTGATAGGGTAGGTAGTCTATAATTTGACTTTGCCAAGATTTTTGACACAGTTCAATTTTAAAGGAATACTAAGGAAGCTAGTTGACCTAAATGGGAGCAGCTAGTCTTGTAATGAATTATTAAATTTTTTGATAATGTGTTTGAGTCTAATCATTAGCAGTTCCTTGTTAAAGTGGAATGACATTTCAAGGAGCATTCCAGGCTCAAACTTGATCTGATTCAATGTTTTCATCAGTTTTGATAATGAAATAGAAAGTATGTGTACAAGATTTGTGATATTCTTCTGGGAAAGATTGTAGTGACTTGGGAAGACAAAAATGAAGAGGAAAAATATTTTGACATATGTGAAATACACTCTAATATGGAATTACATAGAGTGCAAAGTAAAGTGTTTCAAAAAAGAAAGCGAATGTATTAATACAAACTCTGAAATAATAGTTTGTTAGCAATATATTGAAATAGGATGTGAGAGCTACAGGGTACCAGAATTTATGTAATGAATTAATAGTGAGTTACTGCAAATAAATGCTATTTTCGCATGTAATGACATACAGAATTGGAGAACGGCAGCTATTACTTATTTCATTCTTCATGTAACAAATGACGATGCAGTTGAATAAGTATTTCCAAGTCGAGGCATGATGCCTTCAGGAAGATGCGATGAATTTGGAGAGAATCGGGGGAAGTCAACGCTGCCCTGGGGAGGCGCGCGGGAGGAGCCGTCCGGGATCCGCCAGCAGGGGGCGGCCACGCGCCGAGGGGCATCGGGCCGGGCTGGGGGGGGACACTGCCCTGGGGAGGGGGGACATTGCCCTAGGGAGGGGGACACTGCCCTGGGGAGGGGGACATTGCCCTGAGGAGGGGGGACATTGCCCTGGGGAGGGGGGACATTGCCCTGGGGAAGGGGGACACTGCTCCGGGGAGGGGACACTGCCCTGGGGAGGGGGGACATTGCCCTGGGGAGGGGGGGCACTGCCCTGGGGAGGGGGACATTGCCCTGGGGAGGGGACACTGCCCTGGGGAGGGGAGACACTGCCCTGGGGAAGGGGACACTGCCCTGGGGAGGGGGACACTGCCCTGGGGAGGGGGGACAGTGCCCTGGAGAGGGGGACACTGCCCTAGGGAGGGGGGAGACACTACCACATCCACCCAAGGGGGCTATCCAAATATAAGTACCTGAAGCCCACCCGCAGGGGCCATACAGGAAGTGACATAAAAACGGAACTGAAGACAAGCTGTGTCCCTCAGACCTAGATGGAGGCTAAATACAGTCCCCATGCCCTGGGCAGTTTATGTGAGTAGAAGTCCCAGGTGAGACAAACAAATCAAACCAAACCAACCCAACAACCCCCAAACACACCACCAAAAAGCATATCTACAATTAAACCAAAATCTTTGTCACAGAACACTTCCAGCTCCTTAGTGGCTTACAAGCACTACTAAAGTATCTTCCAAAATAATTTCTTTTGACAAAACTCAACAGAAGAAAAAGGGGAAAATGCTGTCTACTTTGTTCTGGTTGCAGGTAATACAAATAGCATGTGCTTAGTAGTCCCAGGATATGAAAGGCTTCACAGGTTTGACCATAGCCAATATTATGTCTCCTTATTAGGCTGTTGTTCTCTATCTTCCACTGGAAGGATATGTATCACTCTTAGAGGCAAAAGTCAGGCTTAGAATAGATCACAGATTCTGGAACAAGCTGTGAAAAACCATAGCTTAAACCTAATACCAGTCTCAAAAAAGACGCACCAAAAAAAGTACAAGAAATTTTAAAAACAAAGGAAACAGGAAAAAAGGGGCGGCGGGGGGGGGGGGGGGGGGTTTGGAAAATTTGTAGTATTTCAGTGGCTACATAAAAACGAGGCTTTCTTTTTCCAAAGACCTAATTGTAAAGAAGAGGCATTTTGGTTTTAGTTGCAACAACTAATATTTTTAAGTAATTCCATAAAAGCAGAAGTAGCTAAAAGTTTTTAGGAGGTTTCACTTGGAGAACTGCTGATGTTGGAATATCATTTCAGCCTTTCAACCATCAGCCTGTCATCATCTGCAGACTCAGTTCTTATAGTCTTCCTATCTTGCCCTGATGGACACAAGCAGCACAGTCTTTGACTTTTCATTTCTCTCAAATAATTTCTGGCTACATTCAATCTCAGTTTTCTTTTGCTTCTTTATTAATGAAAACTCCCTTAATGCACTCTCCCTTCCATAGAAGTCTGACCTGCTTCTCCTTACTCATATCTGAATATAATTGTTCCCACTCTCATTTTGCTAATACAGCTGGTACAGAATACCTTATTAATAAAACAAGATTTTATGAAAATGGTTATATTTCTGTGCAGACATGTTCATAAGAAAAGGGGGAACCCACCTTGTCTGCGAGGTTCTCATCTGCCAAGAACTGATGAATCTAAGATACAATTGATCTGACAATTTCAAAAAGTGTCCCTCAGATTCTGAAGATTTGAAATTTGGGACAATACATCAAACCGCGCTATGGGGTCTAAAAGTTTGGGATCACCAACATCCTCCTGGTATGTGGCATTGTTTTACTGATTTTCTCATCCTGGGGAAATAACAGTAACTGTTAATGACAGCAACATCATGTCCTTCTCTTGCCATTAGATTGTGGCGGAGTAATAGAAGCACCCTTGAATATAGTTTTTGTGAGTTAGAAAGCACCAAGAACCAGAAATGGGATATTTTTCAGGTATCAGAAATGCCCTTTGCTTACAACACTGAAAACTAATCACTGCTATCACCTCCTGTGGCATCACACAAATCAGATGTTAACTCCTCTACCTGTTCCTCTTTTTCTTACAGATAAAGACTGCTCACAACAGTTTAGCACACTTTTTGGGAAGGATGTCTGGACCCACTTTGTTTCTTCTACATGAAATCTTTCTTTGCCTTGTGTAAACTAATCTGTGCTCTCACCAGAGTAACAAGGGAAGCAGTCCAAAGAGGAGGGAATGAATGTATGTGACTGTGTATATAGATGTGTCAGCTAGTTTGGATGTATATGTACATATCTCAGCATGCTTGCTAAAACTGTTGAGCCCATTAAATCTCAGAGACGGAACTAAGACTCCAAAAATCTGCTTGGTAGATTATTAATCAAGTATAGGATTTTCTGTGTCTAGGGCAGAAAGTAAACCTCCAGAGATTCAGCTCACAAAGGCTGTACCTGTTGTGCAGATAGGCAAAGGACTCATGAATTCTGGAGAAATAATAGAAGCTCTGGAGAGGCAGTGGGCCTGGCCTGTACTGTGATTAAGTAAAAGTCATTTGTGCTGTTCTTATTTTTCACTTTTTTCTATTAAATCAGCCCAGCCACTTAACCTTGAAATAAATTTTTGTTAAAGCAGTACATGAGGCTTAGTTATTGCAAAATAAAAAGTAACAGCCATTCAAGATAATAAAGAACAAGGCCTACTGTTTGATTATCTCTAAACAGAGCAATTACAAATTCTGATCAAATCAGGAATCCCTTTAATTCATCAATATCATATTAAGAAGCAGAATTACTTTTTTAAGCAAAAATAGTTTCTCACGATTTTGTGAAAAATCATGAATATTTTTTACAAAAGGATGGAATTTAAATCATGGTTTATCATATTGAAAATGATTGATTCCAAGAGGCACACAACTATAATAGTTCTTCCCGAGGAAAACAGCAGGTCTGCTGCTGCCTTCTTAGACAAGAGCGTTACTGGATCTTGCAGCCAGGAGATTAATTTAGGGAATGCCTGTAGGGGTAGTATTTGCTGGACATGGCACTTAGTCACAATCTTCTTCTGAAGTACAGAAATTGAGGATGTGTTTTAAAATGATACATGTTTGAAACTGTCTGCATAGTCCCCCTTTGTGCCACTTGGGAGGTGATAGGAGAGCACAAGGAACTTTGTAGGCAGTATTCTTCAGGGAAGGTCACTGGTCTTTCTGATGTTTAACATGACTATTGTGACTAGAAAGCTTCAGTAGTTCAGCGGAAATCAAACCTCCTGTGGTATCATTGTCACACAAAGTACAATAGTCACTACCACTGAAGGACATATCTTTTTTCCCCAAAGATTCTCCAAGCATAAGAAAGTCACCTTTTCCATGCTGTGAGTGAGAGGGATAATTCCTTCCAACACTAGGGCTCTCAAGGTTGTCTTTAATTATTTCAGGGAATTTTGGGCCAACGGTATCATCAGCATGGTTTGGTGCAAACAGTAGTCCTGGCCACATCTCTATCTCTTCTGCTCTTATGTACCTGCTGGGGACATACTGCTGGCTTGGACCTGAGGCAAATGCAAAGTTTCCTTCTGCAGTAACCACATCTGTGCTTCCTGTAGGTTTATATGAGATTTGGGAAATCAGTTCTTGGGTGTTTAGATCAGAAACTCTATCTGCATTCACTTTTCTTGAGTTGCTGGCCTCTTCTCTTTCAAGCTGGCTACAAGCCTCATTCAGTCCAACCCAGTCCTAATGAAAGCATCAATAAGTTGGGGTCATTTTGCATAGTTACTCCAAAATAACTTTTCTTTCTTTATATAGCTTTGGCACAATAACGCAGATGTTTAGTGCAAATCCAACAGGTAAAGTTAGAGTAATAGGGTAAAAACCTAGCAGCTAATTTCACAAATTTTTACAAGATTACACCACTAGAATATAATGCAAGCTGCTGGTATTGCTTTGGTTTTGAAAAGGTGCACCTTTTGCATTCAGTGTGAACTGGGAGCCACTGGAGGCGTTCTGCTTCGAAGGAGCAAGAGGCTGGGCAGAAGCTCTGGTGGTTAACTAGTATGCGGAAGCAGCAAAATGAGAAACTATAACCTTTCAGGAAGATCAGAATCATGTGTCAGTAAGTCTGCTCAGGATCTAGAATTATTAATCCCAGAAAAAAAAATCCTCCTCTCATAAACGGAAGGTCATAAGAAAGAAATGAAATTTATTTCTTACCTTAAAATTCCCATTGTGCAAACTATAGAGTGGCTGAAAGAAAGCAGCTGGCGTGGGAATGTTAAAGCAGGCGAGGCTTTTTGCCCTAAAGTGAGAAAACACCACTTAAATAAATAGAGTTTTTCTGTATTCTGTCTCCATGATACTGGCTAGATGAACCCCACCCCACTTTGTTAGTAAGATTGCACAAGAAGCCCACTCATCATAATTTCTGACTTCTCATGCAATTATTTTTTTGCCACCTGTGCATGCATTTAATTTTTCTAACCTGAAGCACAGTCTCATTAGTTTATTTGGAATATGTCACAAACTTAATATACTTGTCTGTTAGTCATTATATACACTGAGCTGTTTATGCATTTGTTTATCAGCTTACTTAATCTAAACCACTGTTTCTGAAAGTATTTTAGAGAGTTCTAGTTTCATTACATTTAAACAGAGAAATTCTGCCAGATATCCTTGCCCCTTTATTGGAGTCTATCCTATAAAAATGTTTTATCATGTGGACATAATGTATTCTGTTTCTCTACGAAAAATGTGTATATGGAGCATTATAATGTATGTCAAGGTAAAAAAGAAAGAGGTACCTATCCTCTGCCAGAATAAAAAATTGCAGAGGATTTTTAAACCAAGGTTCTAAAACCACTTTTTTCTCTGTGCAACTTGGTCTCAAATGAATCAGAGTCAGTTTATTTTGCCTTTATTGGTATTTTACTTACTGACTCCTGCCAGGAATATCACACGTAGCTTGACATTAGTTTAACAACCTTTATGGGTTGCTGTGTGCTTGTACTTTTAATTTATCTACATGAAACTTCAAATATTTCCATGTGCTTAAATTTCTTTAACTTTAAGATACCATCATCCTTGGACTTCAGTCAAATTTGGGAGTCTCAAAGGTATTTTGGTCTCCTTAAGGACTGTATAGTGTGTCATTAACTATCATCAGCCAAGGAACATGTCACATTCCAGAAGACCTTTTGGAAATGACTGAGTCTGTGCAGCAGAAACAGGAAGGAAAAATAATGTAATGACTCTTGATTTACCCTTTTCAGGCCATAAAGATCAAGGGGAACTTATTGAAAATCACATACCTTGAGGAAAGCTTGCAGTTCCAGAATAAATAGAGTAGAGTGCCAAAACTCAGAGGAATGAACAAGTACTGCATAGTTTTGACATTTAGAATCTTTTCAGAGACTTTGGGGACATCTAGAAATAGAATCAGCATAAAAATTTTTAATAGAAAGTCAGGAAGTCAAAATAGAACCCCAAATAACCAAGGATTGCAAATGAAACAGGCAGCTAAAGGCCTTAAGGAAAATAATTTGGCTATGAATAATTGAGAAAGCTAGCTCTGATTTGAAAAGCTTCATTTTACCACTTTTTTTTTTTTTTTTTTTAAACATGGACATTAAAAGAAATAAAAAAATGAAATGAGATGAAAATTCTTTGTACCTGCTTTTTTAAACACTGTTGTCTGGCTCCACTCACTCCATTGACTGTGGTATGAATTCTCATTTTCAGAAACTTTGCAGCGAACTCTTGCAGCATAAGCAATGCCACTGCGAAGCTCTGTGGCTTCAATTTCTACTTGTGGCAGTGAACTGGGCAGTGTCTTGTTCATTGCAACCTGCAAAGTATTACAAAGCACTGCTGTTAATGAGATTGGGCAAAAGGATGGTCTTTTAAATACTCTTTTTTTGTTGGTTTTTCCCTTCTCTTTTCTTTTCCACGTTTTCTTTTCTTAGATGCAAGAAGAGGGCCTGAATAATGATGCAGGGTTCATAAGAAGGAGAGTTATTGAACTTCAGTATTGATGTTTAATGTAAAATCTCTCAGCCTTAGTATGGGAAACCAGAAAGGCCATCTTAAGCCAGCTGGCAGAGCTCAGTGGCAAGGCCATTGTACCCAAAGAAAAAGGTAGGATCACTGTATGCCTCATCCAGTTACCTCCCAGGACATGCTGTACTCCTTGTACTGCAACTCATATTGGAGAATTTCAGCGAGGTACCAAGGCACATTCCACATACTCCACCATATCTGGCACTTGCTGGCAGTGGCATTGCTCTGGATGTTCAAAGGTGGATCAAGTTTTACTGCAAATAGAGGAGATAGGGTTTTTTTCACAGTGTTTGGGACGCCACAAAAGAAAATGCATGATATTAGGGTGGCTGAAATAATGGAAGATAAAGCTGAGTCTAAAGAGGGATACTAACACTAGCAGTAGACCAAGTTATCTTACAGCATCAGAACAGCTACAGATCTGACATAAATTAAGGATAACTCCAGTAGTCCCTAGGGTTAATCTTGCAAGCAAAGAACCACTCTGGATATCACATTCTGCCCTTACAACATACCACAAATACGGACAGGTTTTGAGAATTTCTCCTTGGTACCATGGGACACTCTGTTAAAATCCATGACTCCTCATTACATAATTTCTTAGAGAAAAATTAAACAACAAAACGAACAAATAATTGAAGCAATCCAATTGCAAATTACCCAGGGCACAAGAAAACATGATGCAGATGAGAAGTATTGTTGAATGGTGCTCCAGAGCCAGCCTCTCTGAAGTCTGGGAAAAGTCAGGATGGAGAGACTCAGTGACTGCATCCTTACTGATGCAGTTCACACGGTGCAATCTCTGGGGATGGGCAGACTTGATTGTTTCATTGTTTTCCCGAGCTATCTTTGAGACATCCTTTGTTAGGCAGCATATCAGACCTATCCTGAAGTTGCTGGGCAGAGCCTCAGCTCTCAGCTGTCCTGGTTCATACTTACTGTGCTTGCGGGGATTGTACTCTAGAAAGGCCACGTATGTCTGATTACATCCAAAGAAGTTTCCCTGGAGAGAGACTCTATAACCATCTGTTTCCAAAATCTGGCTGGCTAAATGAATTGCGCAGTGGTACTTATTCTGCATGCTCTCTGTGGCAGTCAGTTTGCAGCTGGCGTTGTGGCCCTTTGACCAGAGGCTAGAAGAATAAAAAGGCTGAAAGTTTCTTTTAAGTCATACAATTTAAGTGCTTTTCAGTTTATGCATGTGTGGCACCTTAGCACAGCACCACACTCTGGAAGGCCATGAACCTCTTTAGTGCAGACAGCAAGCAAACCAGCTGGCTGGATGGATGGCAGGGCAGGACAGGAAGAAGACACCTTTATAACCTTACCGCTGACAGCACCAGATCTGAGAGCACCAGATCTCACAGAAGCTACACATAGCATCTGGTAGCTGTTCCCTGCTCCCTCTGAAAGCGAGAGAGCTGCTGTAACTGCAGGAAAGCAGGTGGGTTGGGGGATGGAGTGGATGGACAGTTGGTTACAAGTGCATGTCACAAAGGTAACAATAAGCTGTACATTAAGTCCTCTTTCACTACAAACAAACCAGTACTGACAGCAAAGTATGTTCGAAGTTGCTTTGCCTTTTTGTGGTTTAGCCATTCATTAGCAATTTTTTCACATTGCATGTGATCCCACAGGAAACTGGGATATCACAGTTTATCAGCTTGTCCCTCTTTCCATAGATTTAAAATCTAGTATTAATAAGAGTTAGGCTATTTTTTACTTAACCATAGTAGAATATAAGGCATCTAACTCAGAGTGGCTTACCATCATATAATAGTTACTGGTGGTCAAGTCAATGTTTCTACATAACCTAAATACATTAAACTCAAGTTATCCTATCAGTTAGCAAACTATTCCCCTGATTTCTTCTATTGGAGGAAAAATTATTCAGATAATATTCTAAATATCTTATTAAAGATTATGACTTGTATCTATATATATAATATACATTAAATCATTAGGTGTTTAATTTCTAGGCAAAAAGGAAAGAAATTATTAGAAGTTGATTAGACAGCTTTACAAAGGATGGCCTCTGTAAGTTCCCAGGTCATGGGGATCCAGAGGCCAGGAAGGAAAGGTTCTCTGCTCTGAGATGCCTGCCAGAATGGTTCACTGAACAGATGGAGAGCCCACAGCTGACAGGAGACCATGCAGCCATGTGCCCTTGACTGCTGTGGCCCCTGAGGCTGTGGTGCCACAGTAGAGATCAGCTTCTGAGGCCTGGGGTGATGGGGTGGCAGAGCTGGCTGTGCCACAGGTGTCCTGCTGTGGAGGGAGTAAAGCCCACAGCTGGGCTCCATCTCTGCTTCTCAGTACTGCCCTGTCCAAGCCAGAGCTGGGGCTACCACAGACAGCTCTTGGTGTGCAGTTCTTACTTGGTGAAATGCAGGTGGAAAGGTCCATTGCCCATGGGCTTCTCCGTTACCCATATGCAGCTCACTGTAGTCATGTAGTTATTCAGGCAGCTCAGGCTGCCAGAGAGCTCTGCAGAGGAAGGAGACCAGAATTGGATTCATATATCACTGGATGATGCCTTGCTCAGCACACCAAATAAATGCATTACTTGATAGTACTTCCTTTGCTGACACTGCATCAGATCTTCCTCATCATGTTCTTACTCTGTTGTAACACACTTCACTGCATGAGATGAGTGTAAGATCTTAGGGCAGGGACCTTGGGCAGTGGCTACACTTTTTCTGGTGCCCAGCTTGTCCTAGCTCAGTCCCCTAGGCCCGGCATTGTCAGCCAGCTGTACTGGCTCCTGGGACAGGGTAGTCACAAGACCTTGGATTGCAAACCGAAGGGTCTGTGAATGAAAAATGAACTCAGACGTGTGCCTGTCTTTGCGCAGTGGACCTATTCCAGATCTTCTCTTACCTCTCCCTCTTCCTCCACCAAAGAGCAGCGCAGCAGCAATGCACAGCTGGAGCCCCAAAGGCCACACAACTCCTCCCATTCCAGATAGTATCTAGAACAGAATAATAATTCAGACCAATTTTGTTGGTATTTCTACCAGTGCGTTGAAGCGTTAGCTGCATACTTCTGCCAGCCTGACAAAAGCTGATCCTGAACCAGAGAGGGCACCAACTCAGCCATATAATTTCTTCTGTAGGAACTGTTCTTCTCATAGCAGTAAATAGTACTTTTCACTAAAGCACCACCTGCTTGAAAGGAAATCTACAATTCCTGCAATTTTATCAAGGGTGGGAGAAGGTGTGGGTGTTCTATCTTTCTTTCTTCCTGCATTTTTGTCATGTGGTTTGTGACAATTGAAGAGCAGCAGAGAGCCACAGTGGGTTGGAACCAATGTTCATGTTTCCCCAAATCCTGTTTCTGACCATAGTCAAAACCATATGCTTAGAGAGAATCATAGTAGTAGAGCATCCATGCTCCTCTTTGAGCATTCTCAGCCTCCAGGCATTTGCAGCTCACAGGCCTCCTGGAGCAACGTTATTTCTGCGTATTCAGAAAAAGGACACAGAGAGTAACAGATAGGATGCTGGTCAAAGCACTCATTGGGAGATATAGAATACTTAGGGCCTAGTCATTATCCCAATTCACTGAAGGGTTATGCAAGGATGTTTGAAGAACATCTTCCACGATATGGAACTCTACATCTCTACAAGGTTATTGTGGGCTCACTCTCTTTCTTTTTAACCAAAAATTCAATTCTCTGAATTGTCTCCTGATGAAGTTTTAATTTAAAATTACACTTTTTCACTAAAAGTTTCTGATTTGATGATTTTTTGGCAACATGCAATATGAAGAATATGGACCTATGGATATATGTAGCAATATGTAGTGTTTTAAAAAGATGTTTCTAGTTTGCATTATTTGCTGTTACCTGAGCACAGCAAATGAGCCCAACACCACTGCAAGGAGAGGGCTGCTCCAAAGAGCCTGAAACCCAGAAAACTTAGAGTGAGTTTGTAGACAGAGACCACTAATCAGTATAAACAAAAACAGCTTCTTGAAAGTAAAAAAAAATATTGAAGGAACAATGTTTGCACTACTTGACTAGCACAGACACTGAACTGAGCTTTACAGCTGGGGTAACAAGAGGGTGGAATGTTCAGTCTCAAAAGAGCTTGGGTTAGTTATTATAAGGAAAAAAAAGAAAAAACAATACCAAACAAAATTTGCCAGAGATCATGATCTCTCTTTCAGAAGAAGCTGGGGAAAAGGGAAGGAATGTCAGGATAGGAGAAAAAAATAAGTACAGCATTAGCACAGGACCAAGTGTGTATAGCCTGACTATAGAATAATATTTTGATTTCTAACCAACAAAGGATCTGAAGCAGTCTTGAATAGAAGTGTGCAAGAAAAACCCTATGCTTAGCAAGGGCTGTGATAGAGTAATCATTAGGATTGTTTTACTGAAGAGATTAAGCCACCTGATCCATAACCAAGAATATCCTTCCAGTCATGAATTTCACAAAGCTAGACAACAGCATCCATGTATAACTTCTTGCACGTGATTATGCCTGTCTATAGTTCCCCTTGTCTGAATTAAATTGTAAAATAATTACAACGTTTCAGAAACTGATTAAGAGAAAAGGAGTATTTCTGGCTTTCATTTCACCACCTCTTCAGTTACGGGTTTTTCATAAATATCCTGTTTTGCTGCAGACTTTCTTCAGGGTGGGGGTTGTTAAGAGGAAGTGTCACCATTAGCTGATTTTAGCTGGGAGGCTGGGAGGCATGAAGCCTCTTGTGCTTATCATTCTAATCAGGTTTGCTTATGGTCCCTGTGATAAATACAGTAATTCTGACTAAATATGAAATAGAAAGAGCTGCATTAAGTAGAATTATTCATGTGCTTACAAGAAGTTGTGTTCAGGCACACAAACAAACAAACTTAGGTCAAGATAAGTAAACCAGGACAGAATGTTTCCAGGTAATTGCTACTAATTTGATAAACTCTCCCCACTCCCACGCAAGAAGTTCTTTGTTCAGTTCTGCAACGTTTGAAATGTGTTAGACATTTCTGGCTCTCTGGCTCTTCTGGAGGCAAATACAGCATGTTTAAATGCAAATTTTTGTGTTAGAAGCCATAAACGTTAGTCGTAATTAGGTCACAGAGCACTGAATTCGGAAAGACTTACCAGAAAATAATTTCAAGAAGTAGCACATAACAAGCTGAATGAGATTCTGCAGTACGTTAATACAATTACAGGAGCTAACATAGAGACTTTGGATACATATAAATTAAAAGAAAAGTTATTGCAGCTACATGTAGCATTTGAAACACTATTAATTAATTTCTTCTGTTGGAATCAATGCTTTAAATAAAAAATTGCTGTCAATATGAAAATGCTTCTGAAAAGGGAGATGTGAATGATTTAGTCCTGGATAACTTTACTCAGAAATCAACAGTTATAGACCAAGTAAATCTTTTTAACTTAGCCAAAGGAAAGGCTAAGTAGTCATTTCACACCAGCCATAAGTACCTTACATGAGAAGATGATTTCAGGTAGGAGAAAAGTATGTTTTTTCTTCTTTTTTAAATCTACGAGAGAAATATGGAAAGCGTCCGGTAGTTGGACACTGAAGGTAGATACAATTAGACAGAAATGAAGAATTTTTACAAAGGGGAGCTATCTTTATTGCTGAAACCTCTCGCCTAAACATGTGCAAGACTTGTAGTCTTCCTATTAGCTCAAAAGGAAGCCCAGTGCTAGCAGTGCAGGGAGAATTACAGCAGCTTCTAGCAGTGGAAGACAAATCAACTTCTTAGCTGGATGTCTTGGGGGCCAGGCTGCTTGCTGCTTTCTTGTGCTCTAATGTCCAGTTTCTGCAGCACTACAAAGTTGCAGTAAAGGCAGAAAAGCTGTATGAGAACTACAAAGAAAGAAAGGAGAGCCACCTTCACTCTGCAGGAAGAGACAAAATTTCTGAGATGATGCCCTGAAATGATACATCAGGTATGCTGCCAGCAGTCTATCAGCACCAGGAGGTGGTAATGACCTTGATTTCCAAAGTGGTCTCAAGTTGGTTGCAATGGTGTTTCCATCCTTTCTGTATGTTTCCAGGGCAGAATTCTGCCTGTTATCTGTTCAAGGAAATGAGGCCTTGTATCTGTGCCTTTCCCCTCCCGTCCTGTGGTTCCTGTCTACACTTCCCAAAAGCAATTTTAAGTAATTTTAACTAGAATTTGTACAACACAGATTTTCCAAATGCTCTCAACCGCTTATTAACAGAAAGACAAATGACTGACTGCTATTGCTAAATCTATCACCAGAAATTAATATTCTGGGATTTACTCCCAGATTTGGGGTCCAGTTGAACACACAATAAAAAGATAACATTTTCTCATAAGAATTTATAAGGTAAAATAAATTATTTGACAGATACCACTGAGAGAGGAAGTAGTGCAAGCATTGACAACACAGTCTCAGCATGTGGGTAGCCTAGATATCATCTAGGTTTCAGAAACTCTGTAAAGCAGAGCTTTACAGGGAGACTTGAAGAATAAGGTTGATGTAGCCCAAGAGAATTGTAAGCAGCACCTTCAATGTGCAAGCAGTAGTATGGAGGATGATTAGGAGAAGTAGATTTAATGATCTAGTTAAACATAACTCTAACATCATAGAGTTAACTTCTAGATAGGGAAGTGAGAGATGACAGGAAGACAAGAAGAAGCTGTCAGTGACTTCAAAAGTGGGGACAAGAAGCTTATGCTTGATGAGATAGAGAAAAGAGATAGAAGAAATGTGTAGATAAATGTAATGGCTCAAAGGGATGGACATAAAATAGGATTTTTGTGTCTCTGACTCTTGGATGGCTGCAAGTAAGATCAGTTTACAAAAGCCTGATAAAACATGAAGTAAGGATTTCGCATGGAGATACGTGCGAACTATCAGAACAAAAGCGAATGGAGATACGTGGAGATTCTTCAATATGCTTGGGTATCCTTTGATACATGATATTATATGCCAGCCCATAGCAGACAGCTGGGAGTTCTAGGCTTTATTCCACTTCTGACATCAACATTTTTATAAGGTATGTTGCTTAATCAATGTAAATTTTTCTTCTTGCAGCTCATTCACATGATCTTGTATGCTCACCTATATCTCAGAGAAAGTCAGAAACTTCAGGCTCTGATTTGGCAGTGGCTCTAGACTCTTTCAAAATGTGTTTTGCTTGTTCTCACTCCCAGAGCAAGATTCTGATACTGATAAGACACTTGACAAAGTCTAGCAATGCATGTTTGTAGCCCAGAAAGCCTGTTGTATCCTGGCCTGCATTAAAAGCAGCATGACCAGCAGATTAAGGGAGAGGATTCTACCTCTCTACTCTGCTTTTGTGAGACCCCCACTTGCAGTACTGTGTCCAATTCTGGGGTCCTCAACATAAGAAGGGCATGGAGCTGCTAGAGCAAATCTGGAGGAGGCCAAAGAGATGATCAGAGAACTGGAGTCCCTCTGCTATGGAGACAGGATGAGAGCTGGGCTTCTTCATATTGGAGAAGAGAAGGATCCAGGAGAACTTAAGAGTCCCTTCCAATACATAAAAGAGCTATAAGACACCTGGAGATGGGCATGTAGTGATGGGGCAAGGGGGAATGGCTTCCAACAAGCAGAGGCCAGGGTTACATGGGGTATTGTGCAGAAATTTTTCCCTGTGAGGGCAATGAGACACTGGCACAAGTTGTCCAGAAAAGACATTCCTACCCCATCCCTGGAGGTGTTCCAGGTCAGGTTGGGTGGGGCTTGGAGCAACCTGGTCTAGTAGAACGTGTCACTGCCCATGGCAGAGGGTTTGAAGATCCCTTCCAGCTGAAGCTGTTCCAGAATATTATGATACAATGAGTGGTGCACAGTGGGAGCAGACACAGCAGATCTGCACCCTTGAATGCTCAGTTTCCATTCCTTACATTTTAGCAATTAGTCATAAATGACTTGCTCTCCCTTGGCCATAATCCCTTCCTTTGCTTACGTCTCTTCCAGAGGCAGCACTAACAGGCAGTAAAGAAAGGACACTGACTAGCACCAACAAAGTAAAACAGTGACAGGCAATAGCATGTCTGTACCAACAGGTACACCCCTTCATCCACAAAGATTACCCAAAGTGCAGAGTCTCCAGAGCAATCTGTCATGCTAGTATGCGCACTTGGAGGGGTACCCATTGCACACAATCATCCCTGCCTATAAGAAAATACTTTTGTAGGTCCTTAAAGAAAAATTAGTGGTACCTTATCTACCTTCTGAATATCTAGGCCTCTAAGCACACGTTTGACAGAAACACATCAAATGTGCACAACAGAGTCACGTGAGACTTATCCTGGGGAATAAGGAAAAAGTAGTTGGATTTTCTTATCTGCACAGATTATCCAAGAGAACCCCATATAACAAGCCTTTTTCTCTCTTCATCTTTAGAGAGCCATTTTCCCAACAATTTGATGCCCACAAACGGCCATGTACTTTTAGATGTGATATACTTGGATCCCAGAAAGAAAGCTGCTTCAGATGATGATTGCAATAAAGCAATATTCATACACACACACACATATATATATGTACACATACATTTAAAAAGTATGCTCATATCTGCAAAGTCCCAAACACTAAGGACTATTTTGGCTGAATTCCTTTACATTCATCTCTTGCAGTCAGAGAGGAGTACCTTGTTCAAGATGGCCCTTCTTTCAAGCACAATCCATCAGAATTATTGCAACAGTGGTGTTTTGTGCTCAGCAAACTATCAGAACAAAAGTGCAAAAAACACTTCTGGTCTTCAGGCTCCTAGTTCAAGAAACAATATAGAATTCCACATTTAAATAAAGAAATATTTTTTAATATTTTGCTCAATAGACGTCCCCTAACATTACATACTGGAATGCATAGAACAGAAATATGGTAAACTGTCTTACCAGCAAAAAAGAAATGTCACTTTTCACTCTGCTTCTGTCCCTTGATAGTTTAAACTGTGTGGTTTGATGATCAGGCAGTAGCAGCAGTGGCATAATAAAACAGAGCTTACTGTGCCTGATTTTAAAGATAATCTCAAGAACCAATGAAAAACTGCTCTGATTATCAGATTGAGTTAAAGTAGCTATATATGTAATTTCTCATTAGTCATGGAGAAAAAGGAATTTCTGCTAAAGCATTAACATTTAAAAGGGCAAGTAATTTTCTGAATAGAAAAGTATCTACTTGCAACTTTTATATAAATAGGTCAACAAAATAACTAAGTGACCTAAAGACATTTCCTAGCCCTGTGTGGATGTGGGGCTAAACTCCCTCCAGCCAAGACCTGTGCCCAACTGTGCTCAGACCCCGCAGCATCCCTGAGCTTCCCTGCCCTGTGCTTCTTCCACAGCTGATTGCTGCACTGTGCTCGAAGGGCAGCTCTGGAAGCGAAGGCAAACAACCACTGCAGTGCTTCCTTGCCCTGATCCTAGTGTGTAAGGAACAGATCTTCCCATGCCCAGCAGCAGTGATGCAATGGCAGTGTTACAGCCAGGAATCCATCAAGACAGTCTTGTACACGGGTCTAGTGAGAGAACAGAGAGAGAGAGAAGCAGTCAAAGAACAGACTAACAGTCTGTCAGTATCAGCTTCTGTGGCCAAGAGACAGGGAGGCAGGGGCCATGCAGAAGTGGAGATGGACATTTCCAAATTGGTACATCAGAATGGATTGTGGTGCTTCTCCCAGTACCAGTACAAAAAGGGTGCTTTTTGACCCTATTGTTCATGGGGGGAAAAAAATTCCAAATCAGAACTGCTAGATCAGGGACATTTGCAGTTTGCTCCTGAGAGGCTTTGAAAACCCCCCACCTCAAACCCCTCCACATCCACAGTGACAACTCCCTGACCAAAAGCTTAATTGTTATACATTGCTTCAAATGGGAACTACTTCCCTTATTTTAATACCCTTGTGTCACACACTTGTTCATGAAGTCTGCCTCCTAGGGTGAGCAGAGATAATTTCCAGCCCAACATAACACCAAATCACCACCATCTATCAGATGTACAGCTACACAGTGTTCCAGTAACAGAAACAGTTCCTTCAGCAGTTCTGGGACTATCAATACAAATGGAAACAGAGCACACAGGACTGAGATGTAAAGGGCCCCAGAAAAACAAGCGAGTTTCTCCTTTAAGCAGCCTGGGGTCAGTTACCACAGTGCAGTTTCTGAAGTGAAAAGAGCTGCGAGATGAAGCTGCAGAAGACTGTGCTGAGACCACCAGAAATGCTTTCTGGTCCAGTACACATTTGCATCAACATGATCCCAACGCAAGCTGCCCTCATAGGATAGTGTGGGGCAGTCAGCTCTTCAGGGCAGCGGAGCTGGGGTGATTCTCTGCTGGATTCTCTGCTGCCTTGTGGAGGGCATGTGAGGGACCAGTAGCAGCAGGGAGCATGCATCAGCGCATGAAGACAGCTATTCCTATGACTTAGCACAGCACATGACAAGAAAAATGGAAAATAAGGAGGGAAGAAACCAAAGAAGCTAATATATCTCAGAGCAGTACCCAGGAAGCCACTGAGCTAGGGATGTACTGGGGGAGTAATAACTACATGGACAAAACTAAGTCATGTAGGCCCAAAATCAACATAAAAAATACCATGGCAGATCTGAACAATCAAACCAGAGAATGTGGATGCAATGCAGTACTGTCCCAGCACTCACCTATGAAAAAAACAGCTTCTCTTTACTACAGTGCTCTCCTCAGTTTAGGGAGCTGTGGGGTTGCCTATAGTCTCAGGTAAGAGAAGGGGGCGAGGGAAGGGAGTTTATTGGTATCACAGCAACAACAGATTATTACTACACTGCAAACATGCATCATTCACCACAAAGGTTCTCTCAAGATACGACCTTTTGGAGCCAAGCAGTCTATGGGTTAGTAGCACTATGTCTATGTAAGATGAAGGTCTTCACATTCAGTTTCAGTATTAGTCTTCAGTGACTTTTTAAGACATGTATCCTGAACAAATCAGAGATATGGAGATGCCAGAGAGAAAAACGGATTCAAGGTTACAGTGCAGTTTCATATTTGGCTTTATTAGCTAGCAGAAATTGCTCAAAATTTGTCCTACTGACCTGTTAACTGCAGCAGAGCAAGTCCAAGGCAGAAGTGGCAGGCATATCCAGGTAGGACAATGTTTCGATAATTTTGGCAAAATTCTAAAAGCTGCTCAATTAAAATGCTAGAAAAGTACAGGGAGAGAGTCTGACTCAATAGAAAAGCCAAGTAGTGAGAGCTTGTTTAGAATTATATATATATTGAAGTCTTTTCATTTGCAGACTCTACCTGGAAAATCTTTCTGAAACCTGAGTCGTGCTTAGTCTTTAGTACACACATTTCTGCAATGATTTCATAAGAATTAGTTTTGATCCCCATGGACCGGTCTGGAGCCAGTCTGTAATTAACAGACTATTACAGCTGAGTTTAAAGAGCCAAAGATAGTAGAAGGAAAAGTAACATCACATGTTGTTTGGAAAGGTAGGGGAACTTAAACATAGCAAACGTGCTTGCCATGAGTTATGATTCTAAGGTTCCATGTGCAGCCGAACTCTTAAGTCATGTGAGAATACCAGGGGAAATAAAGTTCTGTACTCTTTATAAGATTATTGCAAAAAAATTTTCATATCCATATAAGCCAAAGGATAATTTTCAAGGTACAGGTCCTTTTTTCTAACTTTTTTTTTTTTGACATCAAGGGAGGTTTGATCTGTGATTCTAAAAAAAAACAAAACCCAACAGAACTCAAGAACAATCAATCACAATAAATTTGAGACATTAATAGGATGAGTGGGAATAGAAACAGGTATATTTCTGTGGACCTAACAGGTGTCAACTTATGCAATAGAGCTTACACAAAGTAAACTTTTCTCTTCTGAATTTTGCTAGCCGTTTGCTCCTGGCACACTATGAAAAAGGCCCCACACTCATCCAGTCCTTAGTTTGTCTGTGTCCCACTGACAGGGCTCTCAGGGCGGCAGGAGACCCACTGCTTGACGTAGCTCCTTGTAAAGTCTTGCCCCTCTTGCTCAAGAGGGATGGACCCACAAATGGTCTGACTGTTTTGCCCAAATTCAGAGTCAACTGGACTTCCACAGTCTGAGTCTACAAAGCCACTGTCAATAGTGTCCAAATCTACACAGATCAAAGGATAACTGTCACCAGGCTTTGTATTGTGAGGGAAGAAGTCATAGGAGCCTTCACTGTAGGAAACACTTTCACCATCAGGAGAGGGTAGAGAACCTGGATTTTCCAAATCCCACTGATAAGGCTGCAAGCAAAGGGCTTCTAGGATGCTCCCCACACCTCCTTCCACTCCCCTTTCTCCTTGCTGGTTGACTGGGACACTTGTGCTCCTCAGGTGGTCTGTGGACACAGAGCCTGAAGCAAGTATTTTGTCCTGTGTACTCAGATCAGCCAAATGTAAGTCACCGGATATCTTTCTGTCTTCCTCATCAAGGTTAACCTTGGGGTAACCGGGTTCTCCAGCACTATCATCTTCCTTGTTGGCATGGTCATGTTCCTTGTACACATGATTACAGCTGCACTGGCAGTTACAAGATGTAAATTCATCAGCCACAGTCACTGTATCAATTGACAAATGCCCATATGACTGGTCCTCAGTCCCATCACTGCTGTTTACACTGCACCACGGTGACTGGCTACCATGACCTGGGGTAGTCAGGCAAGACACACAGGGCTTGCAAGGCAGATTCTTTCTTAGCTCATGCAGCTCTTCCGGTGGGGTGCTGTTGGAAGGATGCATGGTGTAAACTTCTAGGACTTCTGGAAGGACTATTCCCCATTCAAAGAAATCAAAGGTCATTTTCATATGGGATGCACCAACCCACTTCTGCAGAAAAAGAAACACAGGGAGAGGTTAGGTTAGCACCACAAGGTTTGAGGTTCCACAGAAATAACCAAATTTCTTACACATTTGGAGGCACATAAATTAAATTCACTGACTCCTCCAATATAACAGGAGGATGCTGTTATTATGGGATATGGGCAACTGCAGGAGAATTAATTGAAGTAATTGAAAATAATTAGCTCTGAGAGCTTTGTGGTTTTCTCTGACACTCCCGACAGGATCCCAGGCTTCAGAAATCCCATGAACTCAACTCACACATTGAGACAGCACTTACAGAGAATAAAGAGTATAGATGTAACAAAGATTTTCATGGCACTGAACAGATACTGGAAAGCTGTGGTTCTTATATCTGGAGACGTTTGGCATTCCTTTGAAATAGATTTCTCCTTCTACTGCCCTAATGAAAATCCCTTGTTCAAGATAGCATGATGGCCTTTTAGTTTGCCATGTACTCCACTCACTTGAGTAGCCCATTTATACCTTAAAATCTCCATTATGAGCCATGTAAAGAGGTTTGAAAAAGGGAGCAGGGTCTGGGATGCAAGCCATCTTCTTCCACAAGCTGGAAGAGAGAAGAGAAAGGCTTTGGGGTTAGTTACACATTACAAATGCAAATCAAGGCATCTCTAGATCCATTTCAAGCAACTGGAATCACTTGCCCAGCCTTGTGAGTTAGCAACAGCTGAGGTTCCAAGGATGTCTTATGCTGCCAGAGTAATCTAATAGCCTTTCTTGTGAAGCTCACTAGAGGCGAGACCTCAGCACTTGCACACACACATTCACACTGAGGTAAGAGGTTCCAGTTTTTTTCCTTCCTGGAAAAGCACTACATGCTAGAAATGCATTTTCACTGAGGCTGAGCTGGTTTGTGGTCTGCAGGCCAGACCACAAACCTATGCGATTCTTCTGTGGACCTAGGCTGTGCCAGCCCTATTGCTGCACCGGTCCAGCCCTCCTCCATGTCAGCATCCCATATCTCTTCAAGGGCATAAGAAGCCTCTGAGAGGGACAGAGGCCTCCAGCCAGCATTGAGAGACCTATGTCAGCTTTGGAAGGGGGCAGCTCTGGCTACTGTGCTCTATTTGGCAACTGCAGAGCACAGACAAGACCAGGAGAACAGCTCAGAAGGCTGTGTGGCCCTTGCTTCATGCCCACGTGCCACCATCTTGGCCCAGCCAGCCACTGTGACCCAACAGAGTCACAGTGAAAAGCAAGTCACTGGGGGCAGCACATCAGCCAGTGACCATTCCTGGCTGTCCCACACAGGTTCTTAGCTGCCCACTCATAGATATACAAGACTCAAGGAAGGCTGCATGTGAACACCCCATCTTTAACAAGGCAGAATAAAAGCATTGACTTCTGCCTCCTGAAGCATTCTTACCTCTGCTGTTTGGCCAGAAATGTTGTGATTGAAGCCATGATTGCCACGACAATACCAAACAACAACAGCCATTCCATGCCTGCTGTCTGTGTCACTGCTGGAGAAAGAGACAAGGTCATTCAGGCTCACCTTGCATTTATATCCTGATCAATAATCAGGAGATGGTGAGGGGGAAGAGAGAGGGTTTTTGAAATGCAAAGTGTTGTCAAGCATTGGAATGGACTGCCCAAGGAAAAGGTGGAGTCACTATCCTTGGAGATCAAGAGACTGGACATCGCTCTTACTACTATGGTCTAGTTGATTAAATGGCCATCAGTCAAAGGTTGGACCTGATCATCTTGAGGTCTTTTCCAACCTAAATGATTAATTTCTACCCCAGATTCTCTCATTGGGATACTGAGGCTGTCACCTGGGCATCTGTACTCCAGACAGGTTTGATTGAGGGTGCTCAGTGATGACTGCATCAATGAAAGGAGCAGCACACCAGCTGCCCTATGACTTGGCTGCACAACAGACAGCCAACAGTTAGGGCAGGACAGCTCCTTCCCACAAAGACCCCTGCTGTTCTTACTCCTGGTTAGGGAAACCTCCACAGATGATCTGTGAAGTGAAAGAGTGCAGCTGATTAGAGACAGGTGTTGACTAGATGACGGCTTGGTAGCTGCTCTCCACCTGTGATGAAAAGCAGCATCTTTGAGATCCAATACTCAGATGTCCCTTAGCAAATGGAGCCTGGCCATGCTGCCATTGCACCAGGTAAACCCTGTAATACATCAGTTTGAGCTGCAGAGCAGTGAGAGCAGAGAAGCTCAGCACATACTGCTGGCAGTGATCACAGTAATTTTGCACCTGCTCTATTGGAGCAAAGGCTCCTTATTTCATAACCTCTGCTCCACCATGACAAGCATCACTGTACTTCCATATACTGTGAACTCCCTGCAGAGTACTGCAGAGTGGTGGCTACCAAACAAAACATCCAGACCCAGCATGACCCAACATCACAGTCCAGACACAGAACTCAGGTTTGAGAGCAGGATCCCCCTTCCCTCAGCTGAAGACAACACTAAGACCCAGTAGAGGAGATCTCTCCCATTTCTGAAAGCTGCAAATAGGACCCTGGACATTTGACACTGAAAAGGTAGCTAGAGGCTGCGCTCCTGCAAGTGGTATCCAAATGTACAGCAACTCCACAAAACGCTCTTTCTTTTGCCACACTGTGAGAACGTCAATACTGACAGCCCAGGCTTGGGGTTCACATAACCAGTAAGGAAGCTAATCATACCTGTCTTCACTGGACTGTTTAAAATTTGTTCTAATTAATTAGATTTTATTAAATTTCTGAAAGCATTCTCTGACACTGGACTAATTGAAAGGGCAAGGAGATCTGGCAGCATGTACCGGCAGGGCTGGTTTTCAGTGACAGCGGAGAACTCCATTCACTCCAAAAGCCACCATAGTCACTGTCTTCCCGGGGTCTAGCTCTCACTTGGAACTCGTACTCAGTGTCCGCCTGTAGTTCCCATGGCAGGATCACCAATGTCCGTTTATCTTCATGAACAGCTTTAGTCTTCTGAGTCTGTGAATGATTAAACACCAAACACTAGAGTGACTGCTCTTACTTTGCTCACACTGCTGCACAATGAGGATGCCTGCAAAGTAACCTCTTCTGCTTTCATGTTGTTTCTGCAAGGCCATGCTCTGACTGGTCAGCAGCTACATGCAATCCTGGGGGAGCCTTCCAGGCAGGACAGCATGAGAATCAAATGAATTATCAGTCTTCCTCACAGGATCTAATACTTCTCACACAGCTTCTGCATCTCAATTAATTTTTGGATTTTCCTGTTTTCAGCCCAGTCAAGCAGAGACATTTTTTCTAAATTATGAAAACTTTTTTCCCACCAGTGCTGCTGTCTTAGTTGTGCTGGCCTTCTCTTTTCTGGTACACCCTAGTTGATGGTAAACTGACATCTCACTTACCTCCCAGGTGTCAGTTCTTCTTTTGTAACGCAGCTGATACTCCAGCTCCTCATTCAAAAAGTCGAAGGAAGAGTTCTGGTAGATGGTTTCCCAAGAAATATTGTAACCCTCTGAGAACAAAGCGGTCAGGTTGAATGGAGGCTGTGGTTTTACTGAAAGACAGGATGGTGTTATACAGTTAAGAGATGGCCCAACATGGTAACAGCAATGCAGAGCGAGTAGGGAACAAAGCTGCCCTAGCAGTGGTGGGCCTTCCTACACTACAGAACATCCACAGCATTCCTGTCCTCAGCCATGCATGGAACCCCACATGTGAGGAATATAATGAAGTCAGGACCACATTTCTCTGAATATATCTTCTGCTTGTCTCTGAAGCTCCTCATTGCCTATGGAGAAGGAAAGATAGTACACAGAGCTAATAAACTCCTGGGGGATTATGTAAAATGTAGATCACCTTGTTCTTCTCATGACATAAAAGAACTCTGTGTAGTCACGATCACTCACAAGACTGGGGAAATACCCCTCAATGTAACAGAGTCATGAGGAAAAGTTGAGGCTAGGAGACACTGCATAAACCCACTGCAATTCCATGCCCCATCTGCTCAAGAAGCAAGCTATTGTATCCCTGCAGGGAATGTTCATATACTGAAAAGCAGTAGTGCAAAACTCCAGCAGTCTGCAGGGCTCACCGCTGAGCTATGATGCCTTTGGATGAGGGCCTCTAGGAGATATGCAAAGCACCACTACCCAATCTCTAGTCTGTCAGTGGGAGTAAGGAGGCTTCCTGAAATGTTAAGGCATTTGCCAAAAAGATGACGTTTCTCAAGTAAAGTTTCAGAAGAAGCCAAATAGAAAAATCCTTCTCCTACATCTGCCTGATACCCATCTGCCTGGCTCACCACTCCTTTTTTCTCATTTTGATACACAGCCCAGAACTTACCAGCATTCCACCAAGTCAGCTCATGATTGCATTCCGTCTGCGTGTCATGCAGGAGAAATGACTAGGAATTGCCCCAGAAAGGGGAACTGCCACATCCAGTACATCTGGGAAACCTTGTGCCACCCAAAATAATGTCATGTTGATTCAGGTGTCCACTGCAAAAGCCTTTTGAGAGCCTCCAGCTCCTTGGATATTACAAGAGAGCTCTAGAAAGACTTTTGACAAGGGCATGTAGTGATAGGACAAGGGGGAATGACTTCATACTGACAGAGGACAGGGTTAGATGGGATATCAGGGAGAAAATCTTCTCTGTAAGGGTGGTGAGGAACTAGCATAGGTTGCTCAGAGGAGCTGTGGCTGCTCCATCCCTGGAAGCATCCAAGATTAGGTTGGATGGGGCTTGGAACAACCTTGGTCTAGTGGAAGGTGTCCCTGCCCATGGCAGGAAGTTGAGCTGAATGATCTTTAAGGTCCCTTCTAACCCAAACCATTTTAAGGATTCTGTGATTTGTGACATTTGTTATAAAGTAATTCCTCCTGCCCTTTAGAATCTAGCCAAGAACAAGCTCTTGCATAGCCTAGGTATGAGATTGGTCTAAGGTGGATATTTATCACCTACTGCTTCATGGGGAAAAGGAATTTCCACACAAAAAGCATGGAACAAGCCAGCTTGAAGCTCAAGCATAATAGCAATAATAAGAGTACAGTGCTTTCTGTAGATGAATGTACAGCAAACATAGCCCCACACTGCTTGCTGCCACTTTCATCCTTGTCCAGACTATCCTAGCACATAAAGTCAAAGAGTATTTATGGAATTCACCATTTTTGTACTTACTGTTGTCTGACAAATAAAATTCTTTGGAAAGCACGTGCTGCCTATCAGCTATCTGCGTAACATCCACCTGGACTTTGGTATCTGCTAGGAGTTCAGTCATGTCCACAGTGCACATGTACTGTGTGTGACTGGTGTTTTTTGACAATTGCACGAGACTGCAGGCTGCCACAGTATTTTCTGGATCTTCCTCGGGAACCCTAAAAAAGCCAAAATAAAGAAGTCTGCATGTATTACATGCGGTAGTTGGATTAATTTGTTGCTGAACCACCAGGCACAGGAAATTATTAAAATGAAAAATCAACATCTTCAAATAAAAAATTATCTTTGAATTTCAAAACATTTTTTTCCCTTTCTACTTGCTCAGCTTAGCATCTTTGAGAGAAATAAGAAAGTGTTTCTGGAAAGGAAAGGTGCTCCTCAGGGCTACACAGCCCAAGACTGCATCCACTTCCTTGCTGGGACAGAACAGCAGCAGACTGGACAATCTACATGAGCCCTGCCAATGCACAGAGGTGATATTTCACTTTTAACAGCAGCAAAGGGCAAGGTATTCCCATGGTAGCAGAGAAGGCAATGCTAAGGAAGTTGGAACCAGCATAGCAGTCAGCAGCAAGAAGCACAGTCAGTGCAGACAGGAACCAGGGGTCCTTTGCTAGGGAAGAAGTCAGTTTGTAACTGCGGTGCAAAAACCAAGTAAAAAACCAGCATGGCAGCAAAACCAGGATTTCTCCCTAACAAAGAGGACAGAAGGTCACCGCTGTGCTATGGCCATATAGAAGCTTCTGCTAACTGGACTTGCTCATCCCACCAAGACATACCATGTAGCAGTGAGATTGTATGAACCAGCACCCAACTCATCTCGCAGGATACAGGACAGCGTCTGTACATAGTCCACAAAACAAGTGAGGCTTTCACAACACACAGCTGTAGGTTTGGAAAGAGAAAATGCAATATCAACTTCTGTGATAAATCAACATATGCACTCCTCAGGATTCCCACTATATCTGAAGGAAACAGACCAGTCTCTGACAACCGCCCTCCCTCCCACTGAAAGTCTCCAGTTTTGGGGCATAAGACATGTTCCAACTCTACAGGGTGACAAGTCATTGACGGCAAGATAAGTGTCAAACAAAAACCTATTAAAAACGCTGTAGCAGCCAAAATCAGGAAATGCCCAAATTGGGACTCCTGTAGAATCACTACAGCAGAGTCACATATTTCTGCAGGAATCTTAGCTTATATGGCACATAGAAGAGGCCTAAAACCCAGTAAGAAACAGTAGCATATTCAAACATTTTAATGATACCACTTTCAAAATTGAGTACTGTTCATTGCTAGTCTAGTTTTCATTGTACATCTACATAGCACTTTACACATTTTTTCGAGTGCTATTTTAGTAATTTTTTCTTTGCCATTCTCTTTTCTGTTTTCTAAAGCTTGATATCTGCAGTATCAATACTTTTTATGTCCAGCTCTAGGATCTTGAAGTACATTTTTAATGAAATTTGGGAATAAAAATACTGCAAATTTGTAGTTACTGTAATTTCTACAAAACATTCCGATAAGCACAATTTATTAATTACAGACTTCTCAAGAGAACTTGAAATGCAATTGTAGAACTTATACTGGTCATTAGGAAAATCAAGTAATTTTTTGAAAGTGGTCACAAAACAGCATTTGTACTCTTCTACTTGCTCTGCAGGAGCTCTGCTCAGAGAGCGCGTGCTTTGTAAAAGTACAATTGTCCTGTACATAACACACTTATCTCCCTGGATTTCAAGGCAGGTAAGATAGTAGCACAGTGAGAAAGGTCTGCATTGACAAGTCCCCTCCTGACAGCTCCCTGGGCTGACAAGAACCACCACCATTACACTAGGAAATGGCTGAATGAGGAAAGGCCAGCAGGTGATGCAGCATGCCATGCTGGTTCAAACCATGCCTACTGCGGTGACCATTCATTTCTAACATGTAAAGTAGTACCCATTTTCGATGGGAATAAAATGCTCTTCACCTAGGAAAACCCTCATGATTGTTACATCCATACTTAAATCAAGCATGTGTCCTCCCCTACTGTAAAGGCTGCTCCCAGCCTCCTGAGAACACACTACTTTGCAGCCATCAGGCAACCAAACCCTTTGATGCTAACCATGCCGCAAGCTCACTTCCCTTTGTTGTTCTGCTGCTTTCTTGGTTAGAGAAGCTGCACTCCCTGCTTCCTCCTCCCCTGTTGCAACATGCTTATGTCCAGAGTGTTGTTTGTTAACGTGATATGCTCCACAACCCCAATGGCCAATCTTACAGCTGAAGCTGCACACAGGGAACCACCATGGAACGCAGACAGTGTGTGCAATGAAGGACCAGAAACATCGGTTCTGCCCTCCAGAATTAACAGCTGTCCACACAAACAGGCTGCCTGCATTGGCAGTCACAACCAACAGCAGGCGTGTCCAGCGGAGGGTGCAGCCTCCTTCTAGGGTGGGGTAAGTCCAGAGGAAAACAAAGTCCAACTTTTCCCTGCTGAAGTCATCCAACATTTACTTCCTAGTCCTCACATATCAGAGCACATGCTATTCTCCCTACACAAGCTCTGGGCAGCACTCAGATTTGCATACAAAATCCTTCTTAACCCAAAGGTTTAGGATGGTGGCAGAAGAAATTTGGGGATATTTGCAACAGATTGGTCCCAAGGATGTACATATGATTTTTTTAAACCTTTATTTTGACTTTTTAATTTCATACTGACTTCAGAATTCTTTTTTAAATTTTAACTAAGTTCTCACACTTTATTTTGAACCCTCAATAGACTCTTCTGAGGGTCCTGGACCAAGGGCTGTTTAGTCCAGAATCCTAAGCAACTTTTTCTCTTTTAGCCTAACTTTACTCTCCTAAAAAAAAATGGGGTTAGGAAACTCTTGCATTCTTTTAGAAAGGGCAGCAAGTATTTATAGGTTATTAATCATCAGTAATTAGTGTTCTTCTAGGTTATTATGTTGATTAGTCAAACAGATTACTATTCCTAGGTGGACAGACTACTCTTCCTAGGTAGCTGGTAAGTTGCAAGGGTATCTTTGGGCAAGACTCTGTTAAAAAAATTAAGATGACAGCTTTTCACTGGGAGAGGAATAATTAAGTATCCTAAAACCAATCAGTTAGATCTAGGATCTAGATCTAGGAGAAATGTCTCTCCTTGGCAGCTTCAGAAACAAAACTCAAATACTTTTAACAGTAAGATCTAGATTTATCGAAACTGAAATTAGTACATGGTAATTCCCTGGCTTGCATCACAGAAAACTTGGACCAGACATCATAGTGATCCCCTGTGATAGAAAGATATAATTCTGAATGCATCTTTTCTCCTTATTTAGGTCTGGGGCAGGTCCAATGCTTTGCCTACAAGCAGCAGGTAAGATACTAAACTTGCATGGTTCCCTGCAGACATGGCTGTCACTGCCTTTTTCTGTCCAGCTGATCTGTTCAGAAAGTGAGGTCTGAGTCAGCTGGAGTTTGCAGTGTGGGTAGGAGCCAGAAAAAAAAAGGGGGGGGCAGGGGGTGTGACTGTATGCACAGTCCAGTCCCAAGCAAAGGGACTCAGACTAGGAGAGGTTCACTACCCTGATCCTGGCTGACCAGACAACAGCAACCCTGGGGATATCCTGGTCTTGGCCACCAGAACCTTTTCTACAGCAAAGGGTACTTTTGGTGGGGGAAATCCTACTCTAATGTCACTAGGAGCCGTTTCAGTGCAAGGCAGGCACTGCCTCTGCAGGCTCTCCACGGGTGCTGCTCCCCAGAGCCGCATGCAGCCTGGCTGAGCTCTGCCCGGTGTGCACCTTCCTGTGCCTGCCCTCCACTCACCACTGCATGCAACTCTCTCGCCTAGGACCTCATCCTCCGCTTGCTGTCCCATGGCAACCTTGTGCCATGCACATCTCATCAGAACTGGCACGTATGGTCACTAAGATAAATCCTGTGGTTGTACAATCTGAAAGAAATATCTGAGGACTTACTGTACTGGAATAAAAGGCAGATGAAAATATTCTGGAGCCACGGTTTGTTCTTCATGGTGGTTCTCACTGGATGTCCTGGGGAAGAAAAAACAAAACAAAACAAAACAACCACAAACAATACTCCCACAATTTAGAGCTCTGCTCAGACATTTACTTGATTAAGGTTGAGGTGGAATTAATCTTGCTTTCATTTAAACATCTAAAAGTAGAGTGCCTTATTAACACAATTAACTTCAGCTCTTCTGTGTGTATGGGCTAAGGGGGTTATGACCAACAGCCTGCCAACTTGCAGGTCTGTGAAATCTTTCCTCTTTGCTAGCACATGCACAGAGAAAGCAGCAAACTGACTGCAGCACAGGCTATCCAGGCAACAAGAAAGACTCTTGTGCTAATTGCTAACCCATTTTTTCTTCATTGTATCTTGCAGCTAGGAATGGCTTGCCACTAGAAGTGACATTGCTGCAGATTAAATAGCTACACAGTGAATTGGCCAAATGGAGTCTGAATATCATTGTGGGTCTGTGTCAGGAAAGCTAGTGAGAACTCATTGATTTGGCCTACCTGTAGTTAAATAAGCATGAAATATCTAGTTAAGGGACTCCAGAAAGACAGACCAGAGAAAAAAAAGAAAAAAAAAAAAACCTAGACTCCCATGTAGTATACAAGAGAACAATGTATAGTACTGACTGCAGGGAAAGGCTGCCCTAATGGTATAGTGAAGAGAACCTACAAGAAAGTCTTCAGAGAAGATGACAGCAGGATGTTTAAAACAGAGGAAATGGCATCACATACAAATGACTGTTCAACCCAAAGCCCCTGCTCCAAGACAAAGCCCTCAAGTCATATAATGTATTTAAGGCTGTGTTTTCACAGCATTTAAATATTTATAGAAACACATGGATGTGCACAGAAAGACTTAAAATATGCTCTCAAAATATGCAGAGTATTGGCTTTGATATCTGGCACAGACTTCAGCACTGTTTTCTCAAGCTATTCTTAAATGGGGCAAGACTTTGGAGAAGCAATGTGTATTATTTTGGCAACATAATTTCATTGAAAGCAAGTTGCAAGGATGCATAGACAACAGGAAGGGCCCATTTGCCACGCCACATAGTGTGATCTACCCTTTTAATTAAAAAAACCATCACCACTTGTCCTGTTGCAACAGACTCTGCTAAAAAGTCTGTCCTTACCTTTCTTACTGGCTCCCTTTAAATAATGAAAGTTGCAGTAAGGTGTCCTCAAAGCCTGCTCTTCCCCAGGCTGAACAAGCCCAACTCTCTCAGCCTGCCATACATAGCAGAGGTACTTCAGCCCTTGAAGCACTTCTGTGGCCTCTTCTGGACTCAATATAGCAGTTCCCCATGCTCGTCACATTGTGGGGCCCAGACCTGAAGGCAGAACACCAGGCAGGGTCCCAAGAGAGCAGAGTAGAGGGGAAAAATCCCCTCCATCAGCTGCCCACACTACTGGGGAAGAACCCCAGGACATAGGAGTTTCTGGGCTACCAGCACATATGGCCTGCTTATGGACAGCTTTTATTCCACCACTGCCCCCAGGTCCTTGTCAGCAGAGCTGGTCTCAATCTGTTTGTCCCTCAGCCTGTATTCATATGGGGGGTTCAAGGTATTTAGGTCCTGGGGTGCCTATGCAGCATCTACCACAAGCAACAAATACCCAGGCAGTCACCCAGCAGAGAGAAACCCATGAAGCCTTTAAGACTTGGGGAACATTTGTGGAGTTTAAAAATTTCCCAGGTTTACTCAAATAATGAAAGCAAAACAAATTTAGCAGCCACCAGAAAGCCCCTGCAGCCTCATGTGAGCTCACAGATGTGCTCTCAGGGTGTCAGTGCCCAGGTGAGACTAGCAAGACTCATTCTGGAGGTGCCACAGACACAGGTGTCACACCCTGCTGTGGGAGCAATGATGCAGCTCTGCCCCTTCTTTCCTGCCAAACAAACCCTGCCCATGAAGCACTGTTCCAGCTCAGCAAGGAGCCCCAGACACCCGGCCATCCTCCCTCACCTGCTGCCACTGGCAGGGCAGACTCTACCTTTGTACTCCAGCCCTTCTTTCTGCATCACACATTGCCTTGAGTAAACACCTTTTCTTGACCCCTCTGGTCCAAGCTCTCCAAGTTTTCTCTGTATAATAACTTTCATCATTACCATTACTTTTGGTGGTGCAGTCCCTAGGCACTGAGATACAGTCCACTGTCTAACTCCATCTTGTGATCTCACCCATCTTCCACAGCTCTTCTCCAAATCCACATTCCTTTGAGGAAGGCCTGCTGTTATCCTGCTATCTGAGACTGGCTGCACCATGAGCCCATCTCAGCATCACTTAGTATTGTGACTGTCATGCTCCACACTCTTGGCCACCATAGAAAACAAAGAAAGGCAAATTGTGAAAGAAAAAGAAAAGAGAAAGGAAAAGGAAAGGGAAAGGCTGGGCCCTCCGAGAGGTCTGTAAACCCACCACTTATTTCAGAATCCAACTGGCAGGGCCTCTCACGCTTTGTATTCATGATATTGCACTAGCTCCCTGTTTTTATGCTTATTCCTGCCTAAATGAACAGACCAATGCAAGGAAAGTCTTTGCTGCCTTTACCTATTGGACTTTGTGGTTTCTTTCAAGGACCTCCCCTACTTTTCTTTCTCTGCTCAGATAATGGTACCATTGACCTGAAAGGACAGGCAGGACTTAACTGGAAAAAGTCAAAGCAAGGAGCCCAAGTAGATGATTGGGTAGATGTCTTACAGATTTACCAGAGACTGCCATTACACAACGGGGGGAGGTTAGCATACAGCCTTGTAATATAGAAGGAAGATTCATGAAGATGAGCACAGTAGCAAAAATAAGAAAACCAGTAGGATCTGCTAAAATACCTGAAATAAAGAGACAATACTTCCTCAGCTGGGATGCCACTGTTCCATCTCTTACCCTTGCCAATGCCCACAGATTAGTCCAACATTTATCTTCTTCTATTTCCACACCTCAGTGTGGTAGGAAGGGACTCTGACCTCTAGGAGCACCACAGACAGTTTCAGTACTGCTGAAACTGTCTGACCTCCTGGCTGTGCTCCAGATTGCTATGACAGGACATGGACAGACAAGATATGTGCAGAAGAGCTGGGAAAGCTGCAGCTCTGCAGCAGCCTCTTGGTGGTGTTTGATGCCAAAGACCTCATGACTTCAATGGAGATGTATAGCAGCCCTAATTCTAAAGCATGCTCCAGTGTCAGGCCCCCTGCAAGCTTCAATCCCAGTCTATTATTGGGGCCCCCACCTTTCCTACATCCCTCCATTTTTTACACCCTTCCCATTTGCTTTTATCTGTCAGCATGTGATCGTTAACCTGAAGGAAAGAAGGGCAGTGGGCAATGAGCAAAGGCAGGAACTTATTCCCAGTCTGGCATTAGAAAAGTCCTTTCTACCACCTCGTTTCATTTTCTCAGTCTGTGAAATGGGGACTCAGAATCAGTTTCATGCATCCTTGCAACACAGACACTTGTTATAAAATGTCAAACATTTTACAGCTGCCAAGTACCACATCTGCAAACTCTGTAATATCCTTATGAGATCACAGCAATAAAGCTGAGTAGCCATTCATAATATGGACATGTAAATGATGCTACAAGTTTTTAATATACCAGAGAACAGGAAATAGGACTAATAAAGACAGACATTTATGAAAATTATTTTTGTTAAGAATCTGGAAATATGATGCTATAAGCTGCCAAACATTGATGCAGTCTAAGCTGACAGTTTGAACTGTTTTCAGGGAATGTATGTACTTAAAACACAAAACAAAAAAAACCTGGAAAACAACAACAAAACACACAAAAAAAGGGGAAAAAACCCCAAGCAAACAAAAAAAAACCCACCACAAAGAAATCCCCCAAAAACAAACAAAAAACCCCCAAACTCCAAATCAAAACTAATTAAGAACTCAGTTTAAGTAAAAAAAAGAAAGGAAAAAAATATTTCCAAACATGAGAAAATTAATTTTTTGCACCCAAGCAAAAAAAGAGTGGAAGACACAGTCCACCAGTTATATGCCCAAATAAGCTTTCTTCTTGAAAAAAATCATTATCAATGCACACTGCCATCTAATCAGAAAGCTGAAGCAACAGGGAGACAAAGGGGTGCCCTGACTGTCCAGAGGCTAAGAGCAATGATGCTGGGCCACAAGGGCCACATCAGCTATAAGAAAGATTTACAGTGAAGCTGCAACATCAAGCAGGAACAAACTAGCAGCAGGGAGAGCTGCTGGAAACATGGATATTACCTGCCCTGTTCTGTGCATTTCAGCCCTCCAACACTTCCATGACCAGCCTGGTTAAATCATTACTGCAATTGCAGACCCCACCTGGAGAGCTGAGGAGCAGGTGGGGCTCCTTAGCACTGAGGAAGAGCAAAGCCGACTCGTGCACAACCAAGGGCCGGGTGTATTGGAATACACAGTGATAAGTGGAGATTGACGTCACCACTGTATCAGTATTACTGTGCCAACAGAAGGATGTGGTGAGAGGAGGTGATGAATTCAGGTCCAAACACCCACACAACATTTATTACTGTACTGTTCTGCTTTCTTACATGAGAAAAGGGTGGGAGAGCTGATAAAAACTCACAAGCCTCATATCTAAAAGGTCACAGTGGGGCTTAGATTTGTGCAGTGAGGAGGCATCAGTGTCAAGGTATTAGAGGGCTAAGCCAAACTGCATAGTACAGCATGTGCCACATTGGAGACAGTCAAAGACCACTGCATTCAGCTTCCATCCTTTCCCAAAATGGCCCAGGATCAGGGCAACAGCACCAGTCCTTAGACTACAGGCAGGGAGGTCATCTGGCTCCTACACAGGTGAGGGGCTCACCCCTGCTGTATCTCACGCCTGTGACTTGTGTCTGGGCCGGGTCTCTTTAGATGGCAAGGTTGGTGCTGAGGGAGGATCCACCAACTCACCTAATCGTACCTTTAAAGGGGCTTCAAGGAACACACACACACTCACTGTATTCTTGGACAAGAGGGAAATGAGCAGCACTGTGGAAGGATTTGGCACACACAATACAGCGTGAAGGTAGGAGGAGCTATGAGCAAGAATAAGGAACTGTAATAACCCAAGAAGACTGCAGCAGTGAAGTTGGCACAAAGCAGCAGGATGCATGACGAGGGAGCTCCATGTTAAGCCCTCCATACCTCTGACTCACCCTTTGAAAAACAGATGTTTTGGAATGTTCAGGCCATGGCAGGCAGCTCTTGAGCATGCTTGCCAGGCAGTTGCTGGTAACTGAGCTGGTTGCACACTGTCAGGGCATGCATGGTCGCATGAACTTAATCCAGAAGCTACTCCTCATTGTGTTTGGAGCGGCCTCTGTGAAAGACCAGCTCTCCCTTCTGCATGCTCTGAGGATCACTCACAGGCACAATGTCAGGCCCAAGCTTCTAGAAAACACTTGTCTCAGCTGATGGTGCCTGTGGGCTGTGGAGATTGCCACCTCTCAGGGTGCAGTGTGAGACAGTACAGGGTTAATGAGGCTGCGTGGCTAAGTCAGAAATTTCCCAGAAGTAACATCTTTCTGTTGTGAGGATAGCACACTAGGACAGTGGTGTAGCTTTTGCCCCCTGATTACACAGGACTCTCCAAGGTGTGCCAATATTGTTGATTGTGCAGAGGGAGGGAGGGAAAGAGCAGTGTGTCTTATCAGTCCAAAGAGTGATAGTCTGGCAGACACAAGCCATACTACTTTTAAACCATGCAATAATATGTATTTGATATTACAGAGCTAACTTTAAAAACAGGAACACTGGTAGCACTCTAAGACTAATAGCTTTATAAATTTAAACACATTGCACCAAAAGGCCTGTTTTTCTCAAATTTAACTCATAAAAAGTGTAATTTCAGCCTAGCCTGCAGCAATAATATTCACCAAGAAGCAAGCGTGAAGGGCACACAAGGGAAAGCTTGGAAGATTCTATTATTCATGACCCAAAACCATTTTGCCATCACTGGAAGAAGGGCAACATCATTGTGTATTTATCAGCAAGATAAATCATCGAAAAAACAACATTCAGAGCTGACAATTCTTTCTCTAGGATATAAAACCATTCATGCTTGGAGTTATCAGGTTCATGATTTGACGAAAAAGAGAAAAAACTCCACAGAAACAGTACTACCTCTGTACTTTCTTCCTGTCATAACAGAATTAAACCAATATTCCCAGCAGCATCAAAAATACAGACCTGGCATAACTTTAGAGTCAAAGGCACCATTACTGGCTGGTGACATTTAGGAGGAAGATAATCATACATTACAATTAGTGAAAAATGGCAGAAGGAACAGCTGAGACATGAGTAACAGTGTTCTACTGGAAGGGAAAGCAATAGAAGAAACCACCTCAAAGCTCAGGAAACAAGCTAAAATATGAATGAGCCAGGGAGAAAGCGGAGGTGTTAGTCAGCAAAGCAGCAGGTTGAAAAACACTGAAGCTCTAGAGGTGGTGGCTGTGAGCTGACACAGGATGCTGCAGGGGAGGGAGGAGTGCATTGCTTTCAGTCTGGGGAATACTGAATGTCACCTGCAGAGACCCCAGCATCCTGCCCTCCTTCCTCCCTTCTGCCTTTGCTAGTTATCTGTAGCCGTCAACACTGCGGTCAGCCTCTTGTTTTCCCCAATATCCATGGAGTCTGAACCCATACTCCATGAATGCTGTTGTAAAAGGACTTTGCTTTGGCTCTAGTCAGAGGAAAAGAGCTTACCTTCACAGAGCTGTAGCCATGTACGTCTCGCTCATAGGGAGGAGATTGCACAGAGGCTTGTATCTTCTCTTAGGAAATCACCCAACACATGCTGGTAAAGAGAAACAGGAATGACTGTGCTTGTGAACTCACCCTGACTATCTGGAACAGAAACCTACAGCTCTGCTCAGGCTCGAACCCAACATCTGCAGCTGCACCATGCAAAGCATGCCCAGAGCATCTCTGCACAAGGTCAGCAAGACTCACGCATTCCCACAGTGCTCACCTGAGCTGGCAGTGCTGGCAGAACTCCGTGCTCCTTCCACGCAGGTTGGCAGAAACTGACCCTCTTAAGGCAACATTGATCAGCTTGTCCCCAGATCTCTGCAACTGGGGACACACCAAGACCAGAACACTACTCCTGGCACACAGCTGTTCATGCCAAGATCCTCATCTGCATCTCATGGAGCTCTGTTTTACCACAGCTGTCAAAAATCAGCACATCCCACCTATCCTGCCTGGCTGCAGCTCTTCCATGCTTGGGGCTGGTGCAGCAATGGAGCGTGCCTGAGGCAGTTTCTGGCACCTGTCACAGGGTGAAAAACACACCAGCTGTCTTCAACCTCGGCTGTGGCAGCATGTGCAAAGCAAAGGCCTGACACAGCAAGCTGCAGGGGGGTGGCCAGCTGCATCTGTAAACCACAGAACATGCAGTCCTAATACATTCGGTGACTTCTCATGCCACTGGCAGCAAGTGACGTGCCTGTAGGAGAAAAGGCAGGAAGGGAGTGGCTTCTCAGAAAAGCCACCCTTGTAGCCCCCATCCACTATAAAATCTTGCTACACAAACCCAATATAGGAGCAGAGCCAGAGTTGTACGAACAGCAGTTCTTACAAGTTGTTTAAGTTTTTAAGTTGCAAGAAGAGCAAAGGCGGCTTGACCAGAAGTGGGAAGAATTCCTAATACTTCTGAACAATGGTGTCTGTTGCAGGGGCACAGCATAGCTCAGAATGAGGCCATGAAATAGTCAGCACAGGCCAAACTGTGTATCCTAATTCTTGCTATAGCAGAGGAAACAAGGCATTTCATGGCTTCATTGCCCCCGGTCATGTTGTGGAGCAGCATGCTATGTGTTTCTGAAGCACCTCAGCCAGGCAGTGGAGGGGAAAGACCAGGCAGCAGTGAACTGCCCTGCACAACCTTCGAGCCCAGGGCCTGCCAGATGTGCACTGGTCAGCACTTGCAGCACAGTACAAGACACCTCTTCCAGACCTCAGCTGGCTGTTTACCACAGGCACTGGCTCCACGGCCAACGCACATCTGGTTCTCACAGAAACTCCCTAGGGCGTCAAAACAAGAACTGGGGACTGGTTATAAGGCTGACCCAGGCGTGGAAATTCTACCCCCAGAATGCCGTCCAGTGCTTTCTCACCTCATTATAATTCTTGCTGCTGTGTGGGTGGCTCATTGCAAGTGAAACCAGCACAAGCTGAGCTGGGGAGAAGCAGTCAACCTCAAACCCTTCAGCTTATAGTGAATTTCCCCATTTCTAAGAGCTGGGGAAACAGCACCAAGTAGGAAAATCCCAGTGCTACGTATTAGTCAACAACTTGGTAGCCTTCAATCAGAGGACAAATACCACACTGTTATGAATGCCCTGCTCTTTATGATTGGGTAGAGACAGGATGAAGAAAGTGGCTGATCCATCACTAAACTGGGACAGGAGCTCCTTAGGATGCCTGCCGTGCTCCTTGGAGTGGGGCGGGTCTAGCACAGAAATCCCTCTACCAAAGACAGATTGTGGCTGACAGGCTGTACTGTAACAGCTCTTGCCATGACAATTGCCTCTCTGCATTCAGAATACAGAATCTTAGGCCTCATGCAAAGATGATCAGTTTTACAGACAGCGTTCTAAGAGCAAAAAAGACCTAAACAGCTGTTCCTCCCCTCATGCATCTAAACATGCCACAGCAGTCAGTTCCCCATTCTGTTCAACTAGGCCTGTTGCCAGTTTTTCTTCTCTTTCATCTTGCAATCTTACTTGAAGAGACAGTATGGACATTTCAATGTTATAGAAACATTGAAATGGATGGGCAGATTGGAAACAGGACAGCAAAAAGAACAAATAGAGCAAAGCACCTTTGGCCAGAGTTCTGCAGAGATGTAAACTTCCTCTCAACAAGCTTGTCACAAGGAATGAAAACACTCAGGATTCAGCAATCCAGCTGTGCTGCTGATAGCTGTTAGGCACTCTGGGAAAACAGGCCAACGAATGGCAATTCATTAGGCTTTGGTTGTGTTAGTGAAGTAACTGGAAAATGCTCTCTTCATCACTTGACTGTGTTTTTCCTTTGTTTTGGAGCAATCTGCTTAGAAAGACAACAGTCCTGCAGTTGAAAACCAACCAGTTCACTGGTCTCCTTGCTTTTTTTACCAGAAAGTTCCTTCTGAACTTGTGACTTTGGTGCAGTAGGAGAGGCCTTGAGGGCTGTTGCCATGACTGCAAGGTCTCAGTCACAGAAGCATGCTGAAAGAAACGAAAATTCCAGGTAATGTGAGATCAAGATACATCATCATGTGGGAGCCTGGGGCAGACCTTGAATTCGGCAGTCTGCAGAGGTGAGAAATGATCTTGTGTGCATGCATGGGCAACAATTAGTAAAAATTACCGATTTTTTTGTAAAAAATAGGCAGCAAGTGACGTGCCTGTAGGAGAAAAGGCAGGGAGTGGCTTCTCAGAAAAGCCACCCTTGTAGCCCCCATCCACTATAAAATCTTGCTACACAAACCCAATATAGGAGCAGAGCCAGAGTTGTACAAACAGCAGTTCTTACAAGTTGTTTAAGTTTTTAAGTTGCAAGAAGAGCAAAGGCAGCTCGACCTTTGCTGCTAGAAGTGGGAAGAATTTCTAATACTTCTGAACAATGGTGTCTGTTGCAGGGTGAGCCAGACAGCTGCCCCCTCAACCCCACTGTCTGTCTCCAGTTTTGGGTTATACAAAGACATACGAACAGGGATCCCCCTTCTCTGAGAGTTAGTTCCATTTCACCAAAGAAAGACTGAAGGGAGAGAAAAGGAAGAATAACCCCACACAGAAAACCATCATATGGGAATGTGCGGACTGGAAGGCATAGCTATGTTGAACAAAAAAGCCAGGGAAAGGCAAAATGGAGCTGGGGCTCAACAGAGAAGCAAGTGCTGCAGCAAAGTTGGCCTGAGCAGACCTCTCCAGCCAGGCACAAGCCTTTGTGGATGCTTTCTTCTCACAAAGAATGCAAGAGCGAGCATAGGTGTAGAAGGGAAAGAAAGCACCACTGGTGTCCCTACATAAACACCTCTACTACTTTACCATCTTGGAAGAGAGATTTGCAGTACCAGTTGCTGTGCTTAGCATTATGGTTTCCTTCCTTATGAATAGCAATACAAGCAGAGTTTTCTAAATGAGAATAAATGTATACATTTCAATTGAAATAACAAGCAACAATTCAACTTGCCATACAGTTTATTTCCAAAGACTAGTTCAGTCTTGGCAAATGTGGCTAGGCTACCTCCATATAGCTACCTCCATAGTTGTTCTCTTGGGCAAGGGTTCGCACAAAAGTTTCATTTGTTTCTCATTTCTCCCGCTGTTTTCCACTAACAGTTCTATGGGTCTTTTTTTTTTTAACAGCAAGTGCCAGTCTGGAGTCCTCACTGTGAATGGTGAGAGACAGAAAGATAGCAGTTACTCACAAAATAATTAGGTAGCACCTTATCTGAGCCATGGAGCTCCAGGGGCTCTACAGTTTTTCTTTCTAAGCTTAGCCTAATACTGTCCAGTGATGCTGGTAAGCTGACTGCTGAGCCACACCCCCTGCAGCCGTCTGCATGCTTCAGCACCTCTTCACTTCCCCCTGCACCTCCAAGTTTCCCTAAGTGATTATGTGAGTGGCAGTGGAAGTCAGTAATTTAGTCTGTTATCACCACTCTCTTGCATTACTTTCCCAGTAGTGTTAAAGCTTTTCCATTTTGTTGTCTTTGTAGCTCTTTCTCTGCTGTTTAAATCTTGACATTTCATCTCTAACAAATGCAACAGCTGTTCATCTCTGCTGGTATTTTCATCGTTGCTATCACCATACAGCTCATTAGTGCTGTTGATCCAAGGGCTACCATCACTAATCTGCGTGTCATTCTCACTAGATGCTAAACCTGGGACAGTGGTGCAGTCAGAACCCTGAACAGTCAAACACACATCATCCTTTATCCTTGGGTCAGATTCATAGATTGCAGTATCTGGTGGTGCTTCATTCAGGTTGTTGCACAGATTAATGAAGGATTCATATAGTGATGTAGGTATAACCTCATTGTCACTGTCCCAGTATAGACCATTACATTTACCTGCACTACCAAAAGGCTGATAGCCAGATGGCTGAGGTGCAATGGGGCAAGAAATTACATCAGCTTTCCTTCGAACATTTTGATATATTACTTGCTTATGCATTTCTTCCTCTGAAAGAAAAGCTGAAGCATCTTCATTTACATGTGTGGAGAAAGACGGAAAATCAGTATGTTCTGAACAGGTGTTTGGAAAATCAAGCTCAGTGCTGGGAGACGTGTAGTTGTTGTAACACATCTGATTGCTAGCAGGCTGAGCCCTTTGGTCTCTGCAGCTGCATTTGGGCATCTCTGACAACTGTCTCAAAGGTGGTAAGGAAGGCACACTTTCAAAGCCCAGAGTCAGGCTACTGTTAGCCATCGACTGAGACATGAGGGCACTGAAGCTCTTGTATGCAGAGCTGCTTGGTTCCTTGCATGTAGACACAAGCATGTTAAAGCTCCTGTAGGCAGAGCCACAGGGTTCCAGGGATGGAGACAAAAGGGTGTCACAGCTCTTGTGGGCAGAACCATACAACCCCATGGATGCAGACACAAGGGTATCAAAACTCTTGTCTGCAGGGCTGTTTTTTCTGTCTGTTTCAGTTCCAAACAATGATTTATTTGTAGACTCCTGGGTCAGGACACAAGAGCCAAGCTCACTTTCAGAATGACATAGAAAATGGCTTTGATGAACCATTTGTTGAAGATCTCTTGCATCCAGAGTAGCAGAATTTATGCTGGAGCTCCGATATCCAGATTCAAAGGATTCTTCTGATAGTTCTGACTCTTTGCTGGCTGTACTACAATTGTAGCCATCTTGAGAGGCTTTGGTGAAAAGAGGAGCTGTATGAGAAATATCACATGGTTGCGGACTCTGGTCTACACTTTCTTTTGGATTTTGCTGCGATGGATTTTCAGACCCAATGTTCTTTATGGTTTTCCTCTCAGCTGTAGGGAAGTTTGGGCCTTTATTGTCTTCCATGTTATTTTCATCTGCCAGGAGCGCATCAAACATGTTGGCTAGTAACTCATTGTGTTCAGGGTGCTCTCTGAAAGCACCAATGCTGCTCTCACAAGGCTCAAACATGGTGATCTGGTTGCCAGTTTCTTCTTGGCTCTCAGTTTCACTGTCTGTTAAACATACACAGATTTCTGTACACTCTTCAACTGATATTGTATCAGGGGTTAAAACTGCACTGCTGCCTTTTGGCAACCACTCTTCAGACTTGCTGTGGCAACTGCAAGATTTCTCAACATTTCTGATGTTATCTTTTCCCTTGAAGTTTTGGCTTGACAAACTTTGAGCCAGACAGCTCTTGCAACTTCTGTTTTTGGAAGTCAAAAGGAAAGGACGGTTAATGTTTATAGTACAGGAAACAATTTTATGCTGTAATGCAGAGGATTTTTTAAAAAATCTTACTTACATTTGTTGTTCCATGTGACTGTGCTTTAAGTCCTGGAACGGGAACTTAATTTCATCAAAGTAGCACAAAACTGAAAACTAATAAAGATACAAATGGGATTTAGGACACGTATGAACTATATTTAGTATCCCTTACACTAAACAGACAATAGAATTTACTACATATTCTACTTTTGATGATCAGGAAAAGGTATTTTTTGCAAAGCTTTTAAATTACCTTGACATTTTTTACAACTGATTGGCTCTTTGCTGGATTTGGGATTTGATCCCACCATTCTTTCTTCACTCTGCAAGGAAAGAATGAAAATAACTTGTTTTGACTGTACTTGGGCTTAATCAGTGTTCATTTCTCTCTTCTGCTCTCCTTTCCCTCTTAGGCATCTGCACTGCAGCAACAGAAAGCGTTCGTTTTGAGCATCTCCTGATTTTCATTAAACCAGTGCAAAGATGTTTGTATGTTTGGTACGTGACTGCTCTGCACAGTAACAGTCACCTGTTCTTCTAATCACATTTAAAAGGATGTGTGAAATAGACAGGATCTCATTACCATTTAAAAATTTCATATTACCATTTAAAAATTTTTGAAAGAAATAAAGGTATTTAGCCATCCTTACTTGAACTCCAGCAAAGACCAGGGTCCAAAACTGAGAGCC